GAGGAGGAGGGACTGTGAGAGGAGAGAAGATGGGAGACGACGGCTGAAGCTGCAGACACACGGGCAACAGGAGCGGCTGGCACAGTGGCTACCGGGACAGCGCCCCGGACTACTGGAGTAACTGGCTCACGGGCTACGAGGAGCTACAGGAGCAACGGACCCACGGGCGACACGCGCAGCAGGCTCTCTGGGCTACCAGGACAGCGCCCCGGACTACAGGTGCTGCGGACGACAAGACGGCAGCCTCCTCTCAGCCTCCCCAAACAGTCCCACCCCCCCTGACACACACCCCCTGCTTCACCCCTAGCTCCACTCCCCCTTCACCCCTTAGTACCACTCTGACGGCTCCAACAGATCCACCCCCCTCAGCGGCAGCTGCAGCACTGGGAGACGGAGGAGGAGGAGGAGCAGGGGACGGCACACAGAAACTGCACCCCCATACCCCCCACCCCAAACCCTAATTCAGGAGAACGGGCAGCTCAGGGGAAGAGGAAACAGGGCGCCCACGGGCCTGGCGCAGCCCGTACGGGCCGCGCGCGGGCCTGGCGCAGCCCGTTTTTTTTTTTTTTTTTTTTTTTTTTTTTTTTTGAAAGGAGGGTTTGCACTAGCAGCAGTTGGCATACATATAGGAAACCCTAATTGGGTTGTACTCGCTATAGAGTACCCCACTGCAGGCTAGACAATTATAACATTCTGACAGAAACGTTCCTTCGATGGAAATCTGAGTTGACCGTGGCAAAAGCGGCAGAGTTTCGTCGGAAGACGGAGCAAAATAGGGAGACTTTGCGGAAGAAACGTACGCAAAAGCTGCGCGACTGCACGGTCCACATGTACGTGATGTCGGTGAAAGCGCTGTCCCACCTGTGCAAAGTGGAGGCTGTGCTTTTTGGTGAGAAGGCCCTGCACGTCATTCGAGACATCGCGTCCGTGAGCACGGAGCTCAAGTTCAAGGTCCGCGACAAGTGGCGCAAAAACCACAAGTGAGTAGAACAGCAGTGCTTCTCATTAGGCATGAGGTGTTAACGAAATTATGCATTGAACAAATTGTTTGCAACCTTGTCGCAGGGAGTGTGTGGACAGACACCGCGGAAGTTTCAGCGACACGTACTCGGAGAAGGACATACGCAGGATCATGCGGAAGGTGCTTCCCGTCTGGGCTGGAGAGGCGTGGAGAAAATGTCGCAAAGCAGTGTCGCAGAAGCTGTGGAAAATCCTCCTCATGAAAGTGATGACGCTGCTCGGCCACCACACGCTTCTTCGAGGAGGCAGCGTGCGAAGCATTGAACTTCCCGACATCTATATGCACAAGCTGGGCAGCACCTCCCGCAAAGACCCAACGCGCAAAGCAACCATCATGGTCGTGTCGTCGCGGCACTCCAAGACCAACAAGGAAGGATATGCCGAGCAATCTTACGCAGCACGACACGAAGACCACGAGATGTGCGCAGTGGGAAACCTCATGCTTTACCTTCACTTCGCGTACGACCTTGCCAAGGAAGCTTTCGGACAACCAGTTGCACCTGCATTGGACTTCAGCGCACCCGAGAAATGGTACCACACGCATTTGTTCTTCCCCGTACGCAGCAAGGAGCAAGGACCAATCCCTGCGTCAACTCATTTGCGCTTCACAAAGGAGATGTGGAGCAGAAACGGGGTAACCATGAGACGGGTCGTCCACGCAACTCGTGCGGGGGGAGCACAAGAGCTGGCACTAAAGGGTGTGCCGCAGGCCGAGATCGCCAACATAGGGCACTGGTCCATCGACAAGATGAACAGGTGCTACCTCACGTCGATCCCGCGCATGGGTGTTTTGGTGAAGGCTGGTTTCACCGGCTCCAAAGGCGACTACTTCCTGGGCAGAGACTCCGTTCCCATGACGGAGGCGGTGAAGGAGTTGGTCAAGAAACACATTTTCCCGTGGATCGAGGAACAGGAAGCAGCGGTGAGTGGCTAACACAAGTGGTGCGTAAGTTTCTGTCCATCTGCGCAGCTCATCCAAATTGTTAAAATGTCCTCCGCGTACCCTACCCAGGCATCCGCGTACAACAAGGTGAAGGGTCAGGAGGACAGTGCTGGACCTCACTTCCTGCGGACCCTGAGGAAGCTAGGCCGCAAAATTGTGGCTCAGGACCTAGCGATGATGCTGTACAAGACACCGTACCACCCGTACGTACAAGCGTCATCGCTGTGCCGTAACACCGAGTTCCGCAAATGGGCGCACGCCGTCTTCCACACCCAGGAGAAGGCATCGAACGAGAGGAGAAATCCCACGGAGACAACAGAGGCGGTACGTCAAGTTCACCTCGTGTGAACGATTGAACTTTTGCGATTGTACAGAACCATTCGCACGAGCTCACACTGTGACACACAACGACCTGATTGTGCAGGAATATTCGGCCCGTCATGACGCCGAGGAAACCGTCATGTGTCTGCGGACGCAGCTGGATTGCCAGCTTGTCATAACGGCTGCGGAGGCCAACAAGGCATCTCGGACCATCCGCAAGCTGGAAAATGACAACAAAGCGAAGGAGGATCTCCTCCTGCAAAAGGATGCTGTCATCGCGGAGAAGGATACTGTCATCGCGGAAAAGGACGCTGAAATTGCACGCCTGCGTGCGTTACTTGAACAGCGTGCAGCAGGAACATGCCCGCCCTCGGATGTCACGGGCCAGTCCCCCCCGCCTGACCGAGGGGCCCCAAAGGTGGAACTTCAGCAGCCCATTGACGCTGCGTACGAGAAGGATGTCGTGGCACCATGGCGGAAGTGTCAATCCGTGGAGCATGCATGGGTGCTGTGGAACCTCCAAGGACGGGGCGACAAAATGTCAACGGGAGTTGTGTGTTGGCCCCGTCCTCGCTTGGGCGGAGCCGACTTCGTGGTCGGGTGTGAGGGGAGCAGCCGACCTGCAGCAGTGGGCGAGCTGGTTGACGAGGAGGTCGACCTGCACGGGGACCACTGCACGGGCGCCGACTTCAGGGTGACGCCGACTTCGGGGAGGTCGACTTGGGAGTCGACCTGCGGAGGACGTCAACTTGGTGACGTCAACCTGGGGAAGCCGACTTCGGTGGTCGGCTGACGGACTGCTGGTCGACCTGCTGGTGGTCGACTGGACCTGGTGGTCGACGAAGGAGGGGCCGACGTCGACCTCGACTCAGGACGCCGAGCAGTTGGGCGTCGAGTAGCGGGGCGTCAACTTCGTGACGCCGGACTTCGGGTAGCCGACTTGGGAAGTCGGCCGACAACTGCGCTGGTCGACGAGGGGCTGGTCGACCAGGAGGGTTCGTCGACCTGGAGCTGGTCGACTTAGGGGCGTGGTCGACCTGGTGAGGTCGACTAGAGGTGGCCGTCGACTTGGGAGGTCGACGGGCACGTACGGGAGCAGCTGGTCGACGTGGTTGCCCGGTCGACCAGGTTACCTGGGTGACGAGGTTCTGCGGAGGAGCGCGACGGTCGCCCAGGCGAAGTTGGCGAGCCCGACCTCGGTGGTGGTATCCCGAGGTCGACGTGGCAGATCAGAAGCAGTCGTCAGCGCGAGGTTGACGTGGTGTGTGCGCTGTGTAGGTGACGAGACTCTGCACGCCAATCACCTGCGCGCACCTGCGAAGTGGGTGCGCTGCTGTTCTGCGTAAGCAACGCTGGCACGCCGTCAACCTGCGACGTTGGCACGCCGTCGACCTTGCACTGCTGGAGCGCGGTCGACCAAGTCGTGCTGGAACGCGGTCGACCAAGCTGCGCTGGCAGTTGGCCGACCTGAATGCATGCTCTGATGTAGTCTTGCTATGCCAACTTCATTGTACCATTGTTGTCACCTTTCTCTAGTGAAACTCTTGCCAACTTGCCCCGTGAACTAGCAAGCAGTGTGTGCACTAGGAAAACGACTAAGGACCAAAGAACGCAGAGATCACACGAGCACCCGTGCCTAGCCCGTAGTCTAGCTCCCGTTGTAGTAGTTATCTCCGCATGGTGCGGTGAGCGTGGACGGCACACGACTTACCTTTCAGTCAGGTCGACATAGAGGTCACTTACCTAAGCTGTTCGTAGGCCGGCAGCCGTGCAGTCACTAGCGTGCGCGTAGGTGACACTAAGGGAATGGAGACCCTGGAAGCACAGCTGGAGGACGCGAGGACACGCCATGGGGCCCAGGAGTACGAAACGATCCCCTGGGCGGTTGTGGAGGCTGGCATTCGCACCATGTGGGCGACGTTGCACCCTCCTCAACCTGCGTCTCCTCGACCGGTGAACACAGAGGGCGGCGTCGACGTGGGCGTCAACGCCGGTGGTGACCAAGTCGGCAGCAGTGCGGGAGGCACGTCGAGGCAGAGAGGTGTGATACACGCCGATGAAGTCGGCGGCGTTCAGGCGCGAGGGATGCGGTCGACGGCGGCTGCAGGCACCTCGCAGGGCGACGTCGGAGGTCGACGAAGCGGGTTGTCGCCGATGTCGGCGACCCAGGTGACAGCGGGCGGTATTGCCCCGAGCTACGGCTACTTCAAGTTCACGCCGGACAGGATCCTGGTCACCCCACCGCTCACTGGTCGACCCGACATCCTCACTTGGAAGGAGGCCATCGAGCCCCAGCTGGAGATGGCTGGGCTGATCAACTTTGCTCGAGGCACCGTGGTGACGCCGGACGACCCCGACATGCGAGCGGAGTTCCGCGCCGTACAGCTGTTGACCTTCACGGTCATCTCGCGGTGCTGCTCGCCGGGCGTGCAGATCGCCTTGAAGTGGTGTCGGGAGTACCTGGACGCCGGCCACCAGGCGTGACACTTCATTGAGTCGACCTACCAAGTCACCGACGACTTGTTCATCTCCCAGCTGGAGGGGCAGCTGACGCACCTGCGTATGGGCGACGAGGAGACGGCGACCGACTACTGCAACCGGGCCAGGTGATTCAGGTGGTTCAGGTGATTCAGGTGGTTCAGGTGATTCAGGAGGTTCAGGTGATTCAGGAGGTTCAGGTGATTCAGGAGGTTCAGCTTCGGGTTCAGGTTTAGCTCTAACAAGTGTTAGAACGTGTCAGCTGTGCACCCACATGCACCCCCTTCTCCCCATTGTCCGCATTCTCTCCCTTCTCCCCATTGTCCGTATTCTCTCCCTTCTCCCCATTGTCCGCATTCTCTCCCTTCTTCCCATTGTCCGCATTCTCTCCCTTCTCCCCATTGTCCGCATTCTCTCCCTTCTCCCCATTGTCCGCATTCTCTCCCTTCTTCCCATTGTCCGCATTCTCTCCCTTCTCCCCATTGTCCGCATTCTCTCCCTTCTCCCCATTGTCCGCATTCTCTCCCTTCTCCCCATTGTCCGCATTCTCTCCCTTCTCCCCATTGTCCGCATTCTCTCCCTTCTCCCCATTGTCCGCATTCTCTCCCTTCTCCCCATTGTCCGCATTCTCTCCCTTCTTCCCCGTTCCCTCAGCTAAGCAGCGCCATGTGCTACCACATGCGTCTGTTTGGCATGGCGTTGGACCGATGGGACCTCATGCACCATGCTCCCACCCTCGCCCTAGCTGCTACTGCTGCTGAATCTTCCGCTGCAGCTGAATCTGCCGCTGCTGCAGCTGAATCTGCTGCGGCAGCACCAGCTGTTGGCACAACTGCGGCCGATACTGCTGCGGGTGAGGCACCCATACACATCAGCACCGCTGTGCGCCCCTTTGGAGCCTTCTGGACCGCATCCCACTACTGCCTCGTGCTGCCCTGCTTGGTGGGGGGAGGAGGGGAAGAGAGAGGCAAAGGGACAGCCGCAGACTGGCACGAGGCTGCTGGGAGAGGGAAGGAAGGGGAAATGGAAAAAGGGAGAGGGGAGGAAGGGGAAAGGGAAAAAGGGAGAGGGGAGGAAGGTATTGAGGCGAATGCTGGCAGGGAAGGCGAAGGGGTGGATGCAGGGGAGCAGGGGGGAGGGAATGATACCATGAGCAGGGGAGGGGATGATGATATGATGGGCATGTTGATGGGGAGGATTGACTGGGAGACGGTGGAGAGGGTGGTGTCTCTGGGAAGCAGTAGTGCGCTTTTGAAACACCGTGCTCATCGTAAAGCTTATTATGATGCTCGTCGTGCTGCTTATCATGATGCTCTTCGTGCTAGTGGTGGTGGTGCTGATGCTGCTGCTGCTGATGGTGGTGATGCTCCTGCTGCTGATACCAGTGCTGCGGCTGCTAGTGCGAATGCCGCTGCTGCTGCTGCGAATGTTTCTGCTGCTGATACCAATGATGGTGGTGGTGCTGCTGTTGCTGATACTAATGCTGCTGCTGCTGATACCAATGCTGCTGCTGCTGCTGCTGCTGCTGCTGATACCAATGCTGCTGCTGCTGCTGCTGATACCAATACTGCTGCTGCTGCTGCTGCTGATGATACCAATGCTGCTGCTGCTGCTGCTGCTGATACCAATGCTGCTGCTGCTGCTGCTGATACCAATACTGCTGCTGCTGCTGCTGCTGCTGATACCAATGCTGTTGCTGCTGCTGCTGCTGATACCAATGCTGCTGCTGCTGCTGCTGATACCAATGCTGCTGATGCTGCTGATACCAATGCTGCTGCTGCTGCTGCTGATACCAATGCTGCTGCTGCTGCTGCTGATACCAATGCTGCTGCTGCTGCTGCTGCTGCTGCTGCTGATGATACCAATGCTGCTGCTGCTGCTGCTGCTGCTGCTGCTGCTGCTGCTGCTGCTGCTGCTGATACCAATGCTGCTGCTGCTGCTGCTGCTGCTGATACCAATGCTGCTGCTGCTGCTGATACCAATGCTGCTGCTGCTGCTGATACCAATGCTGCTGCTGCTGCTGCTGCTGCTGCTGCTGCTGCTGATACCAATGCTGCTGCTGCTGCTGCTGATACCAATGCTGCTGCTGCTGCTGATACCAATGCTGCTGCTGCTGCTGCTGCTGCTGCTGCTGATCTAAACACCAACAGCAGCAGGACCAGTCACAATGCCTCTGGTAGCCCTACCACGCCTCTGCTCATGACCGCTCGTGGGCCTGTGGAGGAGCGAGAACTGAACGGCATGGTGGCATGTGCGGTGCACTCGCGACTGGTGTACCAGCTAAAGGGGAGGGACCCCCATGGGCGCACAGCACGCAGTGATTTCGTGGGGCCGCAGGGAGGCACGTTTCAACAGTACTTCCAGAATCTGTGAGTGCATTTCCTGGAGCATGCGGGTTAGACTGCACCTGTGGGGAGCAGAGCAGTCGCAGCTGGTGTACCAAAAGGGAGAATAGCGCACAGCGAGTTCGTGGGGCCGCAGGGAGGCACGTTTCAACAGTACTTCCAGAATCTGTGAGTGACATTTTCCCCTCTCGTTGCCATGTGAGCGTTGCGTGGGTGAGGGAGGGACTGGGGGGTGCATTCGCGTCTGGTGTACCAGCTAAAGGGGAGGGACGTGAATTTGTGGGGGCCCAGGGAGGCACGTTGCTACAGTACTTCCAGAATCAGTGAGTGCAGAGAAGACATGTCCCGTCCCTCGATTATCTCTCTCTGCCCAAAAGCAAGTGTGGCCCACCCAGCACCCCTGTTCAAGTGGAGCATTCTTATCCCTCGGCTGTCCCGACGACTCCCAACTGCTGCTGCAAGTACTGCTGCAAGTACTGCTGCAAGTACTGCTGCAAGTACTGCTGCACGTACTGCTGCACGTACTGCTGCACGTACTGCTGCACGTACTGCTGCACGTACTGCTGCACGTACTGCTGCACGTACTGCTGCACGTACTGCTGTATGCACTGCCGCAATCGAATAAGATGAACAATTTTGTTCAAAAGAACCGGAGCTTAAACTCACAGCTTCGAACCCCGAGGCCGTTATTCTTGATAAATGTATGAAATACCAGGTATGGATTATATTGCTGTGCTACCCCTACACTACACCCCTCCCTTCTGCTCCCCTGAGCACTGATCGTAACACACCTACCTAACACACCTACCTAACTCATCACATCACCAGGTACGGCATATCGCTGCAACATCCGTACATCCCTACACCCCTACCCCTACAACCCTGAACCCCACACTTTTATCCGCATCACCAGGTACGGCATATCGCTACGGTATCCTGACCAGCCCCTGTTCGCTGCATGCCAGTTAAAGCCAGAGCTGCGCAATGCACTGCTGCTGCAACAACAGGCACCGCCCGAATGTAAGTGACGCTGTGTCTTGAGTCGACTCAAAACTTGCATTCTTGTGCGTGCCTGTACTTGTTTCGTTTCATGGTTTGAGCTATCCGTTGCTGGACTGGAGTAAGCAGCGGAAAGCACAGGATAGCCATTCGTTGCTTACTCCAGCCAGACCTACCATTGCAGGAAACCTTTGAGTCGACTCAAAAGTCACTTGTTTCGTTTCATGGTCTGAGCTATCCGTTGCTGGACTGGAGTAAGCAGCGGAAAGCACAGGATAGCCATCTGTTGCTTACTCCACTCCAGCCAGACCTACCATAGCAGGAAACCGCTCCCTACCCTTTCCCACCCCCCTGCTCGTCTGCCTTCCCACGGAACCCCCTGTCCCACCATCACCGTGCAATTTATTTCCTTTACCCCCACCTCTGTATCCCCTTTGGTATCTCCCATGCATTCCTCTTGCATTATCCCTCACTCAGTAGACACTTTAGATATTGTCAACAGGGCGGTCCAATTAGGGCGAGAGCAGCAGATTCCTGTAACTGCCAGTGCTACAGTGGGGACGGCTGTAGCTGATACAGCTGGAGCAGAAGAGAAGGCTGTAGCAGGTCAGGCTGTAGCAGGTCAGGCTGTATCAGCCAAAGCTGCAGCTAACAAGGTTGTGGCAGATGAGGCTGCAGCAGGTCAGGCTGCAGCAGAACGGGAGCAGCAGGAGCAAGGCATGGGGAAGGAGGAGGAGACAGCTAAGCATAAAGAGCAGCAGCAGGGCAGGGAGAAGGGCAGGGGGCGACAAACATCACATCTCCCTCGGAAGACATCATATCTCCCATTGGAGCTACTGGTGCCGGTGTTGCCACTGCAGCACGTGCTCTTTGCGTCGCTGCTCCCCTCGCTGCTCTCCCGCCTTGACTGCCTACTCACTGCCCGGGATATTCGGCGATTCCTTGTGCAGCAGTATGGGTGTGAGCGCCAGGGGGGGGTTGGTGGCGAGCGGAGGGAAGTTCAGCAGCAGCAGCAGCAGCAGCAGCAGCAGCAGGAACCGCATTTTCCTGCTACTGATGTGAGCCACACACACCTCTGCACTGCACTGATTCTTGAGTCGACTTGACATGCAAGATCCCCATTTCCTGCTGTTGATACGAGTCACTTGAATGCGGTGCAGCAGCTCCATTCTTGTGCTCTACGACCCCTATCCACTAACCAGCACATCTTACTTTACTTCTAGGTGACTTCTGAGTCGACTCAAAAGTCACCCCTTCTTGTGCTCTACGACCCCTATCCACTAACCAGCACATCTTACTTTACTTCTAGGTGACTTTTGAGTCGACTCAAAAGTCACCTCTTCTTGTGCTCTACGACCCCTATCCACTAACCAGCACATCTTACTTCTCGGTGACTTTTGAGTCGACTCAAAAGTCACCTCTTCTTGTGCTCTACGACCCCTATCCACGAACCAGCACATCTTACTTTACTTCTAGGTGACTTTTGAGTCGACTCAAAAGTCACCTCTTCTTGTGCTCTACGACCCCTATCCACTAACCAGCACATCTTACTTTACTTCTAGGTGACTTTTGAGTCGACTCAAAAGTCACCTCTTCTTGTGCTCTACGACCCCTATCCACTAACCAGCACATCTTACTTCTCGGTGACTTTTGAGTCGACTCAAAAGTCACCTCTTCTTGTGCTCAACGACCCCTATCCACTAACCAGCACATCTTACTTTACTTCTAGGTGACTTTTGAGTCGACTCAAAAGTCACCTCTTCTTGTGCTCTACGACCCCTATCCACTAACCAGCACATCTTACTTTACTTCTAGGTGACTTTTGAGTCGACTCAAAAGTCACCTCTTCTTGTGCTCTACGACCCCTATCCACTAACCAGCACATCTTACTTTACTTCTAGGTGACTTTTGAGTCGACTCAAAAGTCACCTCTTCTTGTGCTCTACGACCCCTATCCACTAACCAGCACATCTTACTTTACTTCTAGGTGACTTTTGAGTCGACTCAAAAGTCACCCCTTCTTGTGCTCTACGACCCCTATCCACGAACCAGCACATCTTACTTTACTTCTAGGTGACTTTTGAGTCGACTCAAAAGTCACCCCTTCTTGTGCTCTACGACCCCTATCCACGAACCAGCACATCTTACTTTACTTCTAGGTGACTTTTGAGTCGACTCAAAAGTCACCTCTTCTTGTGCTCTACGACCCCTATCCACGAACCAGCACATCTTACTTTACTTCTAGGTGACTTTTGAGTCGACTCAAAAGTCACCTCTTCTTGTGCTCTACGACCCCTATCCACGAACCAGCACATCTTACTTTACTTCTAGGTGACTTTTGAGTCGACTCAAAAGTCACCTCTTCTTGTGCTCTACGACCCCTATCCACTAACCAGCACATCTTACTTTACTTCTAGGTGAATTTTGAGTCGACTCAAAAGTCACCTCTTCTTGTGCTCTACGACCCCTATCCACGAACCAGCACATCTTACTTTACTTCTTCGACTCAAAAGTCACCTCTTCTTGTGCTCTACGACCCCTATCCACTAACCAGCACATCTTACTTTACTTCTAGGTGACTTTTGAGTCGACTCAAAAGTCACCTCTTCTTGTGCTCTACGACCCCTATCCACGAACCAGCACATCTTACTTTACTTCTAGGTGACTTTTGAGTCGACTCAAAAGTCACCTCTTCTTGTGCTCTACGACCCCTATCCACGAACCAGCACATCTTACTTTACTTCTAGGTGACTTTTGAGTCGACTCAAAAGTCACCTCTTCTTGTGCTCTACGACCCCTATCCACGAACCAGCACATCTTACTTTACTTCTAGGTGACTTTTGAGTCGACTCAAAAGTCACCTCTTCTTGTGCTCTACGACCCCTATCCACGAACCAGCACATCTTACTTTACTTCTAGGTGACTTTTGAGTCGACTCAAAAGTCACCTCTTCTTGTGCTCTACGACCCCTATCCACGAACCAGCACATCTTACTTTACTTCTAGGTGACTTTTGAGTCGACTCAAAAGTCACCTCTTCTTGTGCTCTACGACCCCTATCCACGAACCAGCACATCTTACTTTACTTCTAGGTGACTTTTGAGTCGACTCAAAAGTCACCTCTTCTTGTGCTCTACGACCCCTATCCACGAACCAGCACATCTTACTTTACTTCTAGGTGACTTTTGAGTCGACTCAAAAGTCACCTCTTCTTGTGCTCTACGACCCCTATCCACGAACCAGCACATCTTACTTTACTTCTAGGTGACTTTTGAGTCGACTCAAAAGTCACCTCTTCTTGTGCTCTACGACCCCTATCCACGAACCAGCACATCTTACTTTACTTCTAGGTGACTTTTGAGTCGACTCAAAAGTCACCTCTTCTTGTGCTCTACGACCCCTATCCACGAACCAGCACATCTTACTTTACTTCTAGGTGACTTTTGAGTCGACTCAAAAGTCACCTCTTCTTGTGCTCTACGACCCCTATCCACGAACCAGCACATCTTACTTTACTTCTAGGTGACTTTTGAGTCGACTCAAAAGTCACCTCTTCTTGTGCTCTACGACCCCTGTCCACTAACCAGCACATCTTACTTCTCCCCTCCCTCCCTCCCTCCCTCCTTCCCTCCCTCCCTCCTTCCCTCCCTCCCTCCTTCCCTCCCTCCCTCCTTCCCTCCCTCCCTCCCTCCTTCCCTCCCTCCTTCCCTCCCTCTTTCCCTCCCTTCCTCTTTCCCTCCCTCCCTCCCTCCCTCCCTCCCTCCCTCCCTCCCTCAAGAAACCCTTACTCTTCCCCCACCTTCAGCTCCTGCGCGCCCTCACCTGCCCCGGCACAAACGAGGGCAGCGTGGGGACATACGAGTCAGACGAGGTGCTTGGTGACAGCTGCGTGCAGCTCACCTCCTCCTGCCACCTGTTCGCTGCTGCTGGCTTGCCACGCCAGCTGCAGCACGGCGGGCAGGGGCACGGCGGGCAGGGGCATGGAGGGCAGGGGAACGGTGGGCAGGGGCACGGAGAAAGGAGCGGGGTGACTTTTGAGTCGACTCAAAAGTCACTTGGCTTGCCACGCCAGCTGCAGCATGGAGGGCAGGGGCACGGGGGGCAGGGGCAGGGAGAAAGGAGCGGGAGTGTTTCATACGATGAATGCAAGGCCTCCCAGCCGACATTCGATGGAATGAAGGGGCAGTGCGTGAAGCTGGTATCAAACAAGCACCTCGCAGCGCTGGCACTTAAAGCCGGTGTTCCTCCCTTGGTTCGCTGCAAGCCCTTCAGAACCCGTGACTGGTTCGGCCCTCTCGTCCCCCCCTCCCACGCTGTGCTGCTTTTGGCTGACTCCCTCTCTCACTCACTCCTCCCACCACACTCGCTTTCAGACTCCCTCTCTCACTCACTCCTCCCACCACACTCGCTTTCAGACTCCCTCTCACACTCACTCCGCCCACCACACTCGCTTTCAGACTCCCTCTCACACTCACTCCGCCCACCACACTCGCTTTCACACTCTCTCTCACACTCACTCCTCCCACCACACTCGCTTTCAGACTCCCTCTCACACTCACTCCGCCCACCACACTCGCTTTCAGACTCCCTCTCACACTCACTCCGCCCACCACACTCGCTTTCACACTCTCTCTCACACTCACTCCGCCCACCACACTCGCTTTCACACTCTCTCTCACATGCTAAGTCTCAAGCAGCAGCCTCTCGTCCTCCATCCCCTTCTCAGGCTACTGCAGCTTCCCAGAACCTTCCTCCGAGCCCTAAAGCACTTCTCGACTCTGCCTTTGCCTCGCTGGCAGCGGCGCGGGCAACAGCCGCCGCCAAGTCAGCGTGCCAGCTGGACAAGAAGGTGCTCGCTGACGTGGCAGAGGCCTTGGTGGGCGCCAGCTGGCGGTGCGGCGGCGCTGACATGGCGCTGCCGGTGCTGAGGTGGCTGGGCCTGCCTACGGAGGGCGTGGGGGAACTGTTGAGGGGAGAGATGGGGTGGAGGGGGAGAGAGGTGGAGGGGGTGGCAAAGAGAGGGGTGGTGGGAGTTGCAGCAAAGCCAGATATGGCACTGGGCCTTCCTACGGAGGGCGTGGGGGAGTTGCTGAGGGGAGAGATAGGGTGGGGAGGGGGAGGGGCGGCGAGGGTGGTGGAGGGAAGCGTAGAGGGGGTGCAGAAACGAGGAGGGGTGTCGAGATCTGCTGCTGATTCAGATGTGGCACTAGGAGCGAAAGCAGCAACAACAACAGCAGCATCAGTGGCAACAACAGCAGCAGCAGCAGTGGCAACAACAACAGCAGCAGTGGCAGCAATGGAGGCAGCACGAGGGAAACCGGAGCAAAGGGTGTGTGGCAGCAAGCACGCATTGGAGCCGGCTAGAGGGCCGTCCCTGCTGCCGCTTCAACCGCCAGAGAAGCGACTCAAGCTGCTAGAAGGGGAGTGCGTGCAGCAGCAGCAGCAGCAGCAGCAGCAGCAGCAGCAGCAGCAGCAGCAGCAGCAGCAGCAGGAACAGCAGCAGCAGCAGCAGCAGCAGCAGCAGCAGCAGGAACAGCAGCAGCAGCAGCAGCAGCAGCAGCAGCAGCAGCAGCAGCAGCAGCAGCAGCAGCAGGAACAGCAGCAGCCGTCTCAAAAAGCTGGTTGGCTGTGGGAGCTTCAGAATGCGATGGGGTATCGATTCCAAAATGAGGGGATACTGAGGGAGGCGATACGGGAGGAGGGGTTGACGTGGGAGAGGCGGTTTGTGTTCCTGGGGGAAGCTGTGTTGGATTTTCTTGTCATGCACCACATGGTGCAAGCAACATCTGGAGCACCACATGGTTCTCCTGCCACGTCATCGCATGCCACGTCAGCGCACGCCGCCACGTCATCGCTCGCCGCCCGGCTGTCCCCGCACCAGCTGACGGACCTGCGCAAGGTGGTGATTTTCTCGGAGCGGTTCTGCCAGCTGGCGGCGCCCCGTGGGCTGCTGCGATTGGTGCGCAGGATACAGCGGGCGGCAAAGGCTGCTGCTGCCAATGCAGCTGACTCGGTGCATGTGGCTGCTGCTGGGGACATGGGCGTGGGCAATGACCTTGATTATGATGATAAATTACAGAAGCCATTCCCCAAGGTAACTTATTGACTTTTGAGGTGCCTCAAAAGCCGCTGCAGCTGGCTCGGTGCATGTGGCTGCTGCTGGGGACATGGGCGTGGGCAATGAGCAGGATTATGATGATGATGCGCAGATGCAATTCCCCGAGGTAATGCTGTTACACACATTCCTCTTGCATACCCCATAGCCCTCACACATTCCTCTTGCATACCCCATAGCCCACACGCATTCCTCTTGCATACCCCATAGCCCTCACACATTCCTCTTGCATACCCCATAGCCCACACGCATTCCTCTTGCATACCCCATAGCCTTCACACATTCCTCTTGCATACCCCATAGCCCACACGCATTCCTCTTGCATACCCCATAGCCCTCACACATTCCTCTTGCATACCCCATAGCCCACACACATTCCTCTTGCATACCCCATAGCCCTCACACATTCCTCTTGCATACCCCATAGCCCACACACATTCCTCTTGCATACCCCATAGCCCACACACATTCCTCTTTCTTCGACATGCTACAACACTGTTCACAATTCCCCTCCTCCCTCCACTCCTCTCCCCCCTCCTATCTCCCCTCCTCTCTCTTCTCCTCTCTCCGCTCCTCTTCTTTCTCCTCTCTCCTCCTCTCTCCCGTTCTCTCTCCTTCCCTCTCTTCCCCCCTCTCTCTCCTCCTTTCTCCTCCTCTATCCTCCTCTCTTCGCCTCTCCCCCCTCCTTCCTTCCCTCCGTTCCCTTGTATCTTTCTTCATCCATATTTTTATCTCTCCGCTTTCCTCTCTCCCTTCTCCCTTCCTTTCTCCCCATCAGGACGTATCTGATCTAATCAAGGCCCTCACAGCAGCAGTTTTCCTCGATTTCACTCCTCCAAACACCTCTCCCACCGCACTCAACCCCTGCGCACCTCCCCCTCTCCATCCCTCATGCCCTCTCGCCGGGACGTGGCAAGTCGTTTCCTCCTGGCTATCCCCCATCCCTCTGTTGCATCCCCTCTCCCTCCATCCTCCCTCCGCCCTGCTCCTCTTTTGCTGTGCCCTCTCCCTCCCCGCCCCCGTTTACCTGCCCAAGGCTCAGGGGAGTGGGGGAGGGGGGGGGCAGTCGGGGGTGCAGTGGGGGGATGGGTGGGGGAAGGAGTTGGGAAGAGAGTGGGGGAAAGGGGTGAAAACGGCGGGAGAAGGAAAAGGGGCGTGGAAGGATGAGGGGGGTGGGGAAAGAAACGGGGGTATGGTGTGTCGAAGGGATGTGGAAGGTGAAGGAGGGGAGGATGGGGAGGGCAGAGTGGAAAATTGGCTGCGTGAAAAGGGCGTGGGGGAAAGAGGAGGAGGGGTGGGGGAGGAGGGGGTGGTGATGGAAGTGGAGGTGAAAGGGTTGGTGATGGGGAAGGGGTGGGGGGTGGATGATGTTGCAGCAACAATTGAAGCAGCTGCTGGCGTGCTGAGAAGAGCCAAGGTCAGTGTAAGAATATGAATGAAAAGCACATGGGAAGTAGGAGGAGGGGGTGGTGATGGAAGTGGAGGTGAGAGGGGTGGTGCTGGGGAAGGGGTGGGGGGTGGATGATGTAGCAGCAACGGTAGAAGCAGCTGCTGGTGTGCTAAGGAGGACCAAGGTGAGTGTGATGAGCATATGTGACTGTAATGAACATATGTGACTGTAACGAACATATGTGACTGTAATGAACATACGTGACTGTAATGGTGTACATGTCACGTGGTAAGCCTTCCTGTTTCCTCGCCTCTTCTCCTCGCCTCCCCCTCAGATTGTGCAAGGCTTTCGGCAGCTGTACCGGGAGTCAGAGGGGGTGTTGCCCTCAGCTTACCCTCTTCCCTCTCCCTCCCCCTCGCCTCCCCCTGAGACTGTGCAGGGCTTTCGGCAGCTGTACCGGGAGGGGGAGGGAGTGCTCGTGCTGGGGGGTATGAGGGCCGCATGGGAGGCGCAGGAAGAGAAGGCCAGGGCGGGGGAAGAGGAGGGAGGAAAGGAGGGTGAAGTGGGGAAGGAGGCAGGAGGAGGAGAAGGTGTAGCAGGGATGGAGGAAGTTCGCCCTGAGGGTAGCTTGAAAATTGGAGAGAATAATGATTGTAATGGTGGGCAGAAAAAGGCAGGAGGGAAGAAGAGGAAGCGTGGGAAGTCTGGAAAGGGGGTGGCAGCAGCAGTGGAAGGGGAGTCTATGATAGGTTCGGCCGCTCCGGACGCCCTGGGTGGGTTCCGAGGCTGTGAGCCAGGTCCGGCGGTTATAACTACACTGGTTAACTTGTGCCAGGCGCGGCGATGGACAGTAGTGTACAGTGAGAGAATCATATCTCCAATGTTTAAGAAGGAGGCTACTATAGTTTGGAGTGGATCCGCCCAAGGTGGGGATTTTGAGGCGTCTCAGATGTCCTCAAGGAGCAAGCTAGTTTGGATCAGACCCGACCAAGGTGGGACTACAGTTGGGTGCTCCTCTGCTGCGACTTCAGCGGCTTTTGAGGCGCCTCAGAAGCTATCTCCAACTTCAAGGAGCAAGCTAGTTTGGATCAGATCCGACCAAGGTGGGACTACTGTTAGCTGCGAATCTGCTGCGCCTGCAGCGGCTTTTGAGGCGCCTCAGAAGCTATCTCCAACTTCAAGGAGCAAGGCTGCTGTAGTTTGGAGTGGATCCGCCCAAGGTGGGATCTTTGAGACGTCTCAAAAGTCTTCGAGAAAGAGGTCTATTCTAATTTGGCATGGATCTGCAGCAGGTGGGACAAATGTTGGGTGCGCCTCTGCTGCGCCTGTAGCGGCTGCTCTCGCTGCTGCTGCTGCTGCGGCTGCTCCTCCTGCTGCTGCTGCTGCTGCTGCTGCGGCTGCTCCTGCTGCTCCTGCTGCTCCTGCTCCTGTTCCTGCTCCTGCTCCTGCTCCTGCTCCTGCTCCTGCTCCTGCTCCTGCTCCTGCTCCTGCTCCTGCTCCTGCTCCTGCTCCTGCTCCTGCTCCTGCTCCTGCTGCTGCTGCTGTTGCTTCTGCAGTTGCTGGGGATGTGCCAACGGATGGTAGATCCACCGATGGTGGTGTAATCAACGGTGTTGAATCAACCGTTGGTGGTTCTACCGGTGCTGCTTGTGATGGTAGTGGTGGGGATGCGAGACCTGCTGGTGGTGACAGCTGTCAACATGGTGGTTGGAACACTGGTGCTCCCAGGTATGTAGCTTCTTAGCTCATTGAATGCATCGGCTAATCCACCACCGAGTGAAATTGAAGAAGCTGTTTCTACTACCCTATTGCTAATATTTGTTTTCTTTTATTTTCAGGATTGTAGGTTACAGCTATTGCTTGGATTGTGTGGTCAAAGCATCTGACGGTTCGACGGTGGTTCAGGTCGAAGGTAGATCAATGCCCTCGAAAAAGGCGGCAAAACAATGGACAGCAGCAGCAGTGTTACAAGCCTTAGCCTCCAGAGAGTGGCCTGCCAGCACCAATATGCCTTTGTAGGTTTCATTTCATGGTGGTGATGGTAATGGATGAGGATAGGAAAGGTAGGCGGCGTCATGGTTTGAAATGGCATATAAATCCACCGTAATTGGTGCGCTGTTGAAATACTTCTTACACAGCTGGGACCTGCAGCAGCGAGTATGTCAGTTTTTTACATTTTCCCGCCAATTCTTTCCATGTCAACCAAGGGCCGCGTTCCGGACGTTTTGGAACCATGGCAAAATGGCAAAATTAGTCTCAGGCGTGCCCTTTCTTTGTGACCTTGGTTGAACTTTGGTTCCTCGGGATTCAAAATACGTTTTTCCGGTTCGAGGGGTCATAACACCGTTTCACATTTGGGAAAACACCTTCAACCACCCTGAGATGAGAGGGGCAATTGTTTCAAGCTTTGGAGCTCAACTCTTCGCTCAATTTCGTGCTTCATTTAGGGGAAACTAGTGCAGAGCAATGCACGTCGCCATACCTTCACCACCTCACCAGACACACAAGCTTGCGTTTACGTATCTCGCAAGGTCTTCCTGCCCGTGCCAGGCATGGCGTCCAAGCTTATCTCCAGTCAACGCTCAATCATCGGGTTTAGTTGCGCTAGGCTGGATCCTAGTCGCGCCGGACCGTTGAGCACTAACGGCTGCGTGACGGTGTTCCGTGAAGGCCCGACGGCCTTAGCACGTCCTGATGAAGAGCATTCTAGGCGAATTCGGCGAAGCTTTTCTTCGCAGACAGACTTGTTGGTGTCGCAGCAGCGTCCTGTGGTTACCAGTTGCGGGTCCAGCTCGACCTCTTTGAGACTTCCGCAAACCAGGCGAAACTGGAAAGCGCATCCCAGGGTTCGGGTAACGAGCCACCGTCTAACGAACCACCTTAGTGTGTCTAATCCAGGAATGCAGCCGCTGGTAACGGCTCTCATGATAAATTCTGTAAATAAATTTGTTCATCAGAGTAGTCATCAGGCGTTTCGATCTTATAATGGATCGCGTTTACCGGGTACGACGCGGATTCGGGGTGTTTCCAGATTCGGGTCGGGGGGAAGACCGGAATCGGGGGCGTCTAGCACTTTCACGGGGACGAAAAACGGCGGAGATGCGATTAGACACGGGCCGTTACACTCCACGAGGTTACGAGCTGTCAGATCGTTTGATAGTCGTTCTGGTAGCAGGCCGTCCCTTAGCGAGGACGGAGTGGCAGCACCAGAGGCAGAACCCGGTCCGCATAGTGGCGAGAATCAGCAGGAGCAGCAGCACCACCACCAACAACAACACCCCCTTCTGGGCCTTCTCCCGTTCTTGCGCCCGTTCCTCCCCCTCGTCCTCCGCGCGTGGCTGTGCACCGCCATCGCCCTCACCGCGCTGCTCCTCTTCATCCCCCGCTTCGGCGCGCTCACCACGCTCCTCGCGCAAGGTGAATTCCCAAGGTTACCCGATGGAGATTTTCAAGGCAGTTTACCCAGATGATTTTCCAAGGTAATTAACCCTGGTGAATTCCGGAGGTGGCTTCTGAGGCGCCTCAGAAGGCGTGGCTGTGCACCGCCATCGCGCTCACCGCTCTTCTCCTCTTCATCCCCCGCTTCGGCGCGCTCACGACCCTCCTTGCTCAAGGTGAATTCAAATGGTGACCCAATGTAATCCTCCAATGTGGGACAGGCTGGTCTCGTGCAGGCTCCTAGGCAAACCGTTTTTTCTCTTTCCCCCCCACCCTCGTCCCTCCTCTACACCGCCTCCCTCCACCCCCCTCCACCAGGCGACCTTCGTGCTCTCTTCCGCGCGACAGGTGTGGTGCTGCTACTGGTGGGAGTGCGGTCAGCAGCGACGTACTGGCAGGACGCGTGGCTGTGGGAGGCAGCGAGCGGCGTCACTCTGGCCGTGCGGAGGGAAGCATGGCACCACCTGCTGGGGGCTGATCTGGGGTTCTTTGAAGGGCGCGGGGGAGGGGGAGGAGGAGGGAGAACAGATGGGAAGGGAGGAGGTGGAGGGGAAGGGGCTGAAGTGACGGAAATAGGAGTAACAGCAGAGGCGGCAGTAGCGACACCACCATCGGCTGTTGCAACAGGGTCATCGGCTGTAGCATCAGCAACATCAGCTGTAGCAACGGGGGACCTGGTGTATCGATTGACAGCGGAGGCGAGGGAGGTGGGCGAGGTGGGAGGGAAGGGGGAAACAACTGTAGCAAGGGATGCAGCTGTAGCGGCACCAGCAGCTGTAGCGGCACCAGCAGCTGTAGCAACAGGGGACCTGGTGTATCGATTGACGGCGGAGGCGAGGGAGGTGGGCGAGGTGGGAGGCGGAGGGGAAGCAACTGTAGCTGGGGATGCAGTATCTACACAACCAGCAGCTGCAGCAGCAGAACCAGCGGCTGTAGCAACGGGGGACCTGGTGTATCGGTTGACAGCGGAGGCGAGGGAGGTGGGCGAGGTGGTGTTTGCAAGAGGGGCAGGGGCTGCAACAGACGGGGTTGCTGTAGCAGCAGAACCAGCGGCTGTAGCGACAGGGGACCTGGTTTACAGGCTGACAGCGGAGGCGAGGGAGGTGGGCGAGGTGGTGTTTGCCGTGCTCAAGGCGGCAGTGCCAGCTGTCTGCCAGGTGGCAGTCATGCTGACACGGATGGTCCAGCTCAGCCCGGTGATGACGCTGGCCACTCTGTGTGTGAGTGGGAGACATGTAGACAAGTGGTAACAGCATTTGGTAATAGCATTGGTAATGGTAATGGTAATGGTAATGATAATGGTAGTCGTAGTCGTAGTGGTAGTGGTAGTGGTAATGGTAATGGAAATGGAAATGGTAATGGTAATGGTAGGGTTAGTGGTAATGGTAATGGTAATAGTAATGGTAATGACGGTGGTAATGGTACTGGTAATGGTAATGGTAGTGGTAGTGGTATTGGTAGTGATAGTGATACTGGTACTGGTACTGGTACTGATAATGATAATGGTATTGGTAATGGTAGTGGTAGTGGTAGTGGTAATGGTAATGGTAATGCTAATGATAGTGGTAATGGTAGTGGTAATGGTAGTGGTAATGGTAGTGGTAATGGTTGTGGTAATGGTAATGGTAGTGAATCCCTTCTTGTGTGTCCATTCCACAAATTTTCTCCACATGTGGTACCACTCATGTCAGTCATCATCGCTACATTAGGAGAGAGGGTTCGCCGAGTCTCCTCAGAGGCCCAGGCGTCCATTGCAGCCCTCTCAGCGCGGATCACCGAGGTCCTCCCGGCCATGCTGCTCGTCAAGGCACACGCAGCCATGAGCCCCCTGCCCTCCCCCCTCTTTCTCCTGTTCCACCCCTCGACTCCCTCTCTCTTCCCTCTCTTGTCTCATTCCCCCATCTCCCCTCCTCTACCAGGTCGTCCCACTCATGTCAGTCATAATCGCCACACTTGGCGAGAGGGTTCGCCGCGTCTCTTCCGAAGCCCAGGCCTCTGTGGCGGCCCTCTCAGCGCGGATCACCGAGGTCCTCCCGGCCATGCTGCTCGTCAAGGCACATGCAGCCGAGCCGTACGAGGCGCTCCTGTTCCGCCACCTGGCGGAAGCTGATAGGTCTGCGCGGCTGAGGAAGAAAAGGCTCAAGGCGCTGTTTCCAGAGGCGATCACGGCGGCGTATGCGGCGGCGGTGGTGGTGCTGTTTGGAGTCGCCACGTGGGCCGTGGGGCATGGAGGATTAACGGGTGCCGGGATCGTGTCTTTCTTCACGTCCCTTGTGTTACTGATTGAGCCCATTCAGGTGAGGATGGGCGAGACCCTTCAGGTTATACCCTGACAGCATTCAACGAGTCTTTGTTGAACCACTCAGTCTTCGTTATCTTTCCCTCCTGCAGGCAGCAGGGACGGCATTCAACGAGCTGAAGCAGGGCCAGCCTGCCATTGAACGAGTGCTGACAGACTCAATCAGCCTTACCGCACTCCACTCCCTCTCACCACTCTGTATGTACCACATTCTCCTTCCTGTTCTCCCCCCCCGTCCCAGGCAGCAGGCACGGCATTCAACGAGCTGAAGCAGGGCCATCCAGCCAGCCATTGAAAGAGTGCTGACTTGCACAACGAAACCCACCCCTCTCCACTCCCTTTCACCACATTGTTTTCTTTTTTCGCTCCTCCAGGCAGCGGGCACAGCATTCAACGAGCTGAAGCAGGGCCAGCCAGCCACTGAAATCACCGCACTCCACTCCTTGTCGTCACTCTGTCTTCTTCTGTCCCTCCCCCAGGCAGCAGGCACAGCATTCAACGAGTTGAAACAGGGCCAGCCAGCCATTGAACGTGTGCTTTCCCTCACACGCTTGAACCCACCACACTCCACCGCTTCCCACTCCTCCTCCTCCTCCCCCTCGTCCTCCTCCTCTCCCCCCCGCACCCTTCAAGAAGAGGAAAAAGACATTGGAAGGCTAGAGGGAGACATTGAGTTCCAAGGGGTGTGCTTTGACTATTTCTCACCGACAGAAGCCAGGATACAATCAGTGGCACCAGTAGCAGGAGATGCCACATCACAAGCAGCAGCAGGAGTAGCAGCAACATTACCAGCACCAGCAGCACCAGCAGCACCAGCAGCACCAGCAGCAGCAGCAAATGGGGAGTCGTTGGTGTTGTCAAATGTGTCGTTCCGGGTGAGGCGGGGTGAGACAGTGGCTGTGGTGGGGCCGTCTGGGGGAGGCAAGAGCTCCCTTCTCAAGCTGCTGCTCAAGCTCTACCGCCCCTCTGCAGGTGAGGCGGAGGTGGGTTAAGGTGGGTTGAGGTGGGTTAAGGTGGGTTGAGGTGGGGTGAGGTGGGGTGAGGTGGGGTGAGGTGAGGTGCTGTGAGGTGCGGTCAGGTGAGGTCATATGCTCAAGCTCTACCGTCCCTCTGCAGGTCAGGCCACATGGTGCAGTGGGGGGAGGCGTGGTGAGGTGAGGTGAGGTGAGGTGAGGTGAGGTGAGGTGAGGTGAGGTGAGGTGAGGTGAGGTGCGGCCTGTGCTGGCATGCTCTGCATCCAGCGTGCGCCGTCAGATTGGCTTTGTGCCACAGGAAACGGTGTGTGTAGGTGTGGTGGCGGTCGGGGGAGTGATGGTGTGAATGAAAGGGGACAAAGATAGCAACGTTTTATTCTGGGTGTTGCGAGTGACAAGTAAGGCTTTCTCGTCCTATCTGCTCTGCACTCTCTCCTCCCTCTCTCTTCTGTGCTCTTTCCTCTCCCCTCCCTCCTCCCTCCTGTCCCCTCTCCCCTCCCTCCTCTCTCCTTTCCTCACCTCTCTTTTCTTCCCCACCCTCTCCCCTTGACTCTTCTCAGGTTCTTTTTTCGGGAACAGTGGCTCAAAACATCGCATACGGCCATTTGGAATACCTCTCCTTGAAATCTTCCAACCTGCCCGGAAAGGCAACAAATTTGGCCATGGTGGAACGAGCTGCCCGCCTTGCCAATGCACACGATTTTATTTCTGCCCTGCCTGAAGGCTATTTCACCCAGCTGGGGCCTAGAGGGGCGTCTCTCAGTGGCGGGCAGAGGCAGAGGTACAAAACAAAACTTTTGCTGTTCCAAATTGGCGCTTGTTTCCTTCTTTTGGCTTCCTTACCTTGTTTTTCCTCAAATACTTGAGGCCCCTCAACATGTGTTTCCATGTGTTTATTTCCGATTTCAATTGAGCAAACACCAGTTGTGAGGTTTCCATGCTCAAACCTCACACGAAGCTTGACCGAACCTAGTGCCGAACCTCACACTGCTCCAATACCATCCCTGCCAGGCTGGCCATCGCCCGAGCCATCTTCAACGACCCTGCCATCCTGGTACTGGATGAAGCCACGTCAGCACTGGACAGCCAATCAGAGGCTCTCGTTCGCGTAGCTCTGCGCCGCCTCATGATTGGCCGAACGGTGCGTGTGTGGTGTGTGTGTTGGGGGGGGGGGGGGAAGATGTGGAGAGGGGAGGGGAGGGGAGGGAGGGGGGGGGGGAGGCAGGGGAGGGGATGGGAGGGGAGGAGTGGGAGGGGATTGGAGGGGAGGGAGGGAGGGGGGTTGAAGGGGAACGGAGGTGGGACGAGAGGAGAGGATGGGTGGGAGGATATGATGTGTTGGAGAGCAACGGAAGGGTGATTGGGAAGGGTAGGGCAGGTATGGGGTGGAAAGGGTAGGTTAATGACTTGGGCAAAAGTTGGGGAAAATCACGTCACAAACCCATCTCCCTGTGCTCCCATGTAAGCCCAACTGTGTTCCCTCCGTTGTTAATTAGGCCAACTCCCTCATTCTTCCCTCCCCGTTTTTTCCCTTCTTTCGCCCTCTCATCAGGTGATTCTGGTGGCTTACAGGCCGGCAGCAATTGCCGATGCTGACCGAGTGCTGCTGATGGCCCTCATTCTCCCCCTCCTTCCGCCCCTCCTTCCCCCCCACGTTCTCCCTCGTTCTCCCCCTTCATTCTCCCCTTGTATCAGGTGATTCTGGTGGCGCACAGGCCTGCAGCCATTGCCGATGCTGACCGGGTGCTGCTGGTGGAAAATGGGCGAGTGAGGGAGATCACAAAGAGTGCCCGCATGAGTTTCTCTGGAGAATTGACCACACAAGGAGGATTGGCTGCACGAGGCGGTAAACTCTCAGATGGAGTGGGTTTAGCCGTTGTGGGTCGATCGGATGAATCTCGTGGTTCATTGGATGATTCTTGCAGTGAGAATGGGGCATTAGCACTGGCGATGCTTGGAAATGAAGAAGCCTCAATTGAGCCCCTGGTGGGGCAACCTCTAGAAAGAACGCTCGAATGAATATTGGGTTATCGGTTTAATTCATCTGCTTAAGTGTAATGGTCCTCAATTAGCAAGCATCAAACAAAAAAAACTTTAAAAATCTAAACAATCACTTCCATGTAAATCATGTCCAACCCTCTACGATTTTTTCTAGTGTTAGAGGATTACTACACCAGGATCCCTGGTGGAATTTCGTTGCAAGCATGCAATATAAAGATTTGTTTGTGCTTCAGTCGTAACAGCGGAGACCTGTCTATCGAATAAATGGTTTCGTGGTGCCACACTCCACCTTCCAATTTGCTAGGCGAGCTGCTCCCACCCACATCCACCCTCGCGGCGCAGAAATCAACACCGCACGAGCCGCGCGCGAGTCGGGACCTCCAACCCAACCGTCCCGACCGTACCACTCTCAATTTCCAGAATTTGGAAATTCGTACTCAACCGGGTTGTAGGCGCGGGGATACAACTCGGTTTGTATGCCTAACCCTACCCAAACGCTCTGAATATACGACAAACCGCTCTAGCGTGTGATGCATCTCTCCCCACCGTATCAAAAGTGTGGTATTTCAGCTGTCACACGCAGCCCCTCCACAAGCACACCAGCCCCACAAGCCACCTTGTTAGCACCATCCCTTCCCCTAAAGTCGCCTTCCCCCACCACCTCCATACATATATCCTATGCCTGTCCATCCGTCCTTACGTCTTTCCGTCTCCATATGCATTGCTAGGTGTCGTTACCGAGATGGAACAGCTCCTCTTTGTGCTGCTACAGACCTGATTTGTTCGCTAACTAGTGCTGCTGCTAGTTCTAATACCTGCGCAACTATAATTGTTCTGCTAAGAATAGTCGTAGAACACAACATCCTTGACATTGCCGCTCTGCCAGATTGACTTGAGTCTAATCAGTAACTCGTCCCCTCCAGCCGCTTAACTCCAGAGCACCCTTTTGAGTCCGACTCATTGAGTGCGTCAACCGTTTTCTTAGGCGCCTCGCGCATTCAGCATCGAGCATCGAGCTAAGCTGCAGCGCATCATGGACCGACGAGCTTCATTCCTCTGCTTATCGATCTCCCTCCTGCTCCTCCTCGCCTCCTCGCCGCAATTCACGCCGCGCGTGGCGGCGCAAGCGGAATACTCGGGACGGCTCGCGTATCTGCGGATCGTCGACGCGTTAAAGGCCAAGGGCTACTCGATCGCGCTCGACGGACTTGGAATCTCGGGACTCAACGACACGCTGATCAAGCTCCTCCCGACGAGAAACGTGACGATTCTCGTCCCCACTAACGGCGCGTTTTACAAGTTGACGGCGGCGCCGTGGAAGGGGTTAAAGAAGACGCCGGACAAGCTCCGTCAGATCCTCGCGTACCACACGCTGCGCACGCGGATGCGCTTCCTGGAGATTAAAGCGCTTTCGGTTGGAACCACGGTAAGGGCGGGGCGGGCAAGGCGGTGAAGGGGAGGAGGGGGAGTTTCGCGTTAAGTTCCAGGCAAAGTTTCAGGATAATTTTCAGGAGGAGTTGAGGAGCATCGAGCATACGGCGCGCCATGTAAAAATCATCGCGGAGTTATCAAGGAGGCTTTTTTAGGCGCGCTCTCCATTTCCTTCTTCCATCCTCGCTTTCCCTCTCTCCATTTCCCGCTTTCACTCTCTCTCTCCGTAACCACATGTATTCTCAACTCTCCCCTCTCCCCCACATCCCCGCCTTTCCCGGCCACGTTCCTCCAATCGCAGTTCCCTACCCTAGACTTTGAGTTTACCATGGCACGAATCAAGGATACGCGCCCAATCATGGGTGCCAAAGGATCCAAAATCGGCGCTTTGATTATCGACCCGAATGTGTACTCAGACCCGCGCGTGATAATCCACGGTGTGAACATGGTGGTCATGCCACCCAAGCTGTATTAGGGTGAGGCTGCGGCAACGAATAAGGAAACCGAGCTTAGACAGACATTCATGTCTCCTATTCAGTTCTGGTATTCGCTTGTATTCCATTAGATTGTAGAACAGCACGGGTTGCATGTTGCATGAGCTCCATGTGCAGCGCTTGCTTTGGGTCCACAAGAAAGAAAGCAAAGTACAAATCCAATTACAGAAGAGTGTTACGGTATATAGAAAGGTCCAACTACACACAATTACGTACAAATACTTCAAGTTCGGATTACACTGTTACAATAGTAACCAAACGCTATACCGTACTTCTATCCCCCTTCCCCATCAATCACTTAACCATTGGGTGCAATAATGACAACAATGGCTACCCCATAAATCACCTGCGGAGCGGATCCACATACAGTCTCCAGCAATGTTCTAAAGTCCTCCAGAGGCCCATCCCATCCCCCTTCCCATCCATCACTTGACAATCTTGGGTGGGATTATGACGGTGTCTACCCCGTGCACAATTACCTGCGGATCCACATACAGGTCTCCAGCGACAATTTTGAGCCCTCCTGTAGCTCCAAGCTTGGTGAACCTTGCTGGCTTGGTGCCTGACTTGCGCATCACATACTTGTAATCCAGAGTGGCAAACTGTTTCAGGAGCAACAAGGGAAGGAGGGAGGGAGGCGAAGGAAGCAACTGATTACACAGGTCCCTCAGAGGCCCCTTTCTTGGTGCCCGCCTTCCTTATCACATACTTGTAATCCAGAGTGGCGAACTGTTTCAGGAGCAACAAGGGAAGGAGGGAGGGAGGCGAAGGAAGCAATTGATTACACAGGTCCCTCAGAGGCCCCTTTCTTGGTGCCCGCCTTCCTTATCACATACTTGTAATCCAGAGTGGCGAACTGTTTCAGGAGCAACAAGGGAAGGAGGGAGGGAGGCGAAGGAAGCAACTGATTACACAGGTCCCTCAGAGGCCCCTTTCTTGGTGCCCGCCTTCCTTATCACATACTTGTAATCCAGAGTGGCGAACTGCGAGCGAGCGGGAGAGGGGGTGTGGGAGGGGGAAGGGGAAGTAGGGAATCATAAGGAATCATCACAAGTCCCCCAGAAGCTCCAAGCTTGGTGAACCTTGCTGGCTTGGCGCCTGACTTGCGCATCACATACTTGTAATCCAGAGTGGCGAACTGTTTCAGGAGCAAAAGGAAAGGAGAGGGAAAGGGTTGTACAAATAAAACTGGATTCAACCTTCTGACTGGACCTCCTTTCTGTAGTGTCGCATGCATGGAAGGTGAAGGGATGGAGGGAGGGAGGGAAGAAGAGGGCACCGGTATGTGCTTAAAGCACACCAAGAGAAATAAATCGGGAATGCAGTGAAAGTAGTCACCATGACCCGTGTTCCCACTTTTGCCATTCTCACCTGCGTGCCCACTTTGATCGCCTGCAGCGTGGTGTTGGAGAAGCGCTGCTTGAATACATGGAAGGCCATGACCTGGTACGAACAGTGGCATGCTCCCAACAACGTCATGCTTCTTCGTCCGTGACATTCTCACCTGCGTGCCCACTTTTATCGCCTGGAGGGTGGTGTTGGAGAAGCGCTGCTTCCACACGTGGAAGGCCATGACCTGCAGCAGCGCTTTCGGATTCTTCTTGAGCTTCGAGTAGCTGAAGCTGCCCGTGAGCTTGCTAAACGCGCTGTTGCGCGGCACCAGTATCGTCATCTGGGACGTCGGCAGCCATTGCTTGAGTGTGTTGTTGAGGCCTGGGGAAGGTGGGGGAAGAAGGAGAGGGAGAAACGCAGGTTAAGTGACAGAGACGTCACCACCGCAGCGCGGCACCCTAGCGGCTGTATCGCACAGCACAGCGCAGCGCGGTATCCATTCGGTATCCATTCGAGTCACCTTAAAGTAATCTGGTGACGGAAATGCCCGTGGCATATTCGGCCATATCGGTTGCCGTCTCGCCTCAGTAGAAGCCTCACTTCCGCGAAGCGCATTTATGCTACTAAGCGCAAATTTTTACTACCGGCCCGTCCGCGTTAGGGGAATGCTTGCCCCCGTCACGGGAATGCGTGTCCCCGTTACCGGAGTGTCCCCGTTACCGGCGTGTCCCCGTTACCGGCATGTCCCGTTAACGGCCTGCCCCTCCTACCAGCTTGTCCACATTTCCAGCTGGTTACCCTAATTGTCTACTTTTCCAAACCGGCTGCTCATCTTACCAGAAATCTTCGATTCGAAAATTCAGATTCGGCACATTAAGCTCGCCTTACCGGAACGTAGACGTCGAGTTTTGAGACGCCCCTAACCAGCTGGTTTCCCTAATCTACCAGCGTATATCGACTCACCAGACGTTTGCCACGCGGCTAGGGCCGTGCTGTAACCCTTCTTTTTCAGCTTCGCTACCATTTGCTGGTACCCGGTATAAGCTGACGCGAATTGTGCGAGGCAGAGCACGCTGACGACAGCAGCAAATACGAGAAGCAGCGCCGGGCGTCTTCTTGACGCTCGATCCATGATGAGAGAAACTTTGTTAAAGACGTTCGCGAGATAAGTGAAACTTCGTTAAAAGCGTTCGCGAGATCAGTGAAACTTCGTAAAGAACGTAATAGTCTCGCTGTGAAAGGTATTCGTGTCGAATTGTATACGAGTCGGCTTGAATGCAGAGGCAAACGTACAGTGAATATGCTAAAGCATTAGCTTCGCACTAGGGAGTAAGCGAACTTGGTAAAAGTAACAGCTTTCTTGCTGCAGGGGCGACGAATAGACTATAGAAACAAACTAAGAAACTAAATGACCAGACTGCACACTGCAAACATGCTGGTCAGGGACGTTTTCACTGCACACAGCAGATGCTGCTTCAATTCAATGGACGCCGCTTTGTTCGCAAGCAGAGAGAGCTGACGCGGATGAGGCCAGGAGTGCGGCGGCAGCAGGGGCACGATGCGAAGTTGAACAGAATTCTAGGGCAGGGGGGTGGAAGGCAATGCATTGTCATGGAAATGAGATGGCGTCTAAAAAGGTTAATGCAGGGTGGTGTGGGTTTACGATGAGCGGTAACCGTAGTTTGGTTGTGTGGATTTGAATGGGTGAGGAGGAAGGAGGCGTGGCGAGCAAAACAGCACTAGAAGCTTCCATGCGTGGTAGGTATGGTGAGGGCCGAGGCGTGAAAGCATTTGGCCTGACAGAGTTCGGCGGCTCTCGCTGACGTGTCCACTTGGCGGTGGTTGATTCGGTTCAGTGCGGATGTCGGTTATTTTGAAGGTCGGGCGTGCTGCTGTACAAGAGACTGTCGGTTATGTCCTCCAACTCCAACTGGGAAAAAGTTCGGTTCGGGCTCTGGTGAGGTACGTGTATGGATTCCGACATTTTGCCTGCACCAGACCAGACCGAACCCAAACACGTCAGGTTATCAGGGAATAGGTGCGTGCCACGTTGTGCAGCAATACATGACACGTCCTCGAAGGTAGAGGAAAATGTGGGCTCATTACACCGCGTACACCGAACCGAAGGCTTGACAATTTGTCTCAGCCCCGAACCGAAGCCGAAGACCTTGCCCAGCCAGTTTCGCGCCTCCATGCTCTCATTTGATTCGTTATAGTAGTATGTACTTTCATGTGTGTGGATTACTGCATGCTAGAATTTAGACACAATTTGAAATTATGTCATCCTAAAAGCATTCTCAAACATCAGGTACTGGTTCTTGTCACATGTGCCTCATCACCGTGCATATATGAATACTAAGTGGTAAATAGGATGAGGAAGAGTTCTCTGACCAACATGGTACTCCCATACACTACACTGCAGGTCACTGTGGTAAGCATCAAGGCAATAGTGTGCTACATGGAAAACAAACAAAATTAACGATACATACACATGCTACCGCTTCCATCAAATTTCCCATCCATTTCAGCGTATCTTGGGTGGAATGATGACCGTATCGGCTCCATGCACGATAACATGCGGGTCCACATACAGGTCTGAATCAATAAACACGAGCCCTTCCGGAGGATCTACTCCAGGCTTGTTGAACAAACAAGGCTTGAAGTCGGTCATCTCCATCACATACGAGTAATCCAGGGTGGGAAACTGCAAGAGCAAGAACGGAGCAAGACGGGAGCGACAAGGAAGAGAGAAGCAGCTATCACAGGTCCCTCGAGAGCTCCTCCCTTGGAGAACCTTGCTGGCTTTGTGCCGGACCTGACCACCACATACTTGTAATCCAGAGTGCCAAACTGCAGGAGCAGGAACGGGACATGAACGGAGCAGGAACGGAGCAGGAACGGAGCAAGGAACTGGCGTGGTGCCGGACCTGACCATCACATACTTGGTGGAACGTCGAGTCGTAGAATCGCTGCTTGACAACATTGAAACGACACGACCTGGGTGGTATAGACAAAACCTCCATGCTTCCACTTGTACGCCGCTCTCACCTACGGTACAACTGCTCCTGCGACCGCCTCAAGCGACCGCCTCAAGCGACCGCCTCAAGCGACCGCCTCAAGCGACCGCCTCAAGCGACCGCCTCAAGCGTCGAGTTGTAAACGCGCCTGCATCATGACGTTGAGTGACATCGACTCCAGAGCCACTTGCACGCCGTTCTCACCTGCGTTCCAGTACGGAGCCCGGAGAGATCGTCGATAGAGAAGCGCTGCCTCCAGATGTGGTACGACATGATCTGCCGCAGCACCTTGGGGTAGTGCCTGATCTTGGAGTATCGAAAGTTGCCCGGGAGCTTGTCAAATGCAGCGTTTTCTGGCACCAGAAATGTCATCTTGGACGTGGGCAGGAGCTGCCTGAGCGTGTTGTTTAGACCTGGGGGAAGGTGGGGGGGTGGAGGAGAGGTGGGGTGGGAGGGAGGTGAGAAAGACATGGGCCATGACAAAGAGAAGGTACCAGAAATGTCATCTTGGACGCTGGCAAAAGCTGCTTGAGCGTGTTGTTCAGGCCTGGGGCGGAGGGAGGAGGGGAGATGAAGCAAGAGAGGTGGGTGCGTGGGTAGATGAGAGGGAGGGAGTTCCCCGAGAGCTTGTGATATTTTCTTGAAAAGAGACTGCACGAACACTGCCATTTTCTTGAGCTGGGTGAACACTTAACACGTTGAGATAAACACTTTTTGAGCTGAGGTAAATGCTTTTCAAAGTTCCTATCGAATCGACCATTAAAACAAAACAAAACAAAACAAAACAAAACAAACTCACAGCTACTAGTCGTTCGCCATGTGGCAAGGGCTGTCAGTAGCGGACAGGTGGGCTGCGGAGGCCTTAACTACTTCCCTCAACTCTTGTTGTTCATTAGGAAGCCACTCTGATCACAACTAATACTGACGTCTCGCGACTCACCAGACAATCGCCATGCAGCAAGGGCGATACTGTATTTCTTGCTCTCCGTCAGCTTCGCTACCAAGCGCTCATACCCGGTATAAGCTGACGCAACTTGTGTCACGCACAGCAAGCTGACGACAGTAACGAGCAGAAGAGTCGCCAGACATTTCTCCGATACCCGAGCCATGGCGGAAGTCTGATTTACGTGACGCGGCGAACGACGTTGAGTGGACTCGGATTACTGAGCCGTGAGCCTGGGATGACCGCCGAAAAAGGCGTCAGGAGTCAGGAACCTAATTCTTACCTAGTAATTTTGTAAGGTGGTAAGAAATCCTTACTACACAAGATGCCCAACCCCTGCACGCGAATTTGCTCTGCCCGCGATGGAAACTCTGCACCCGTGTATTAGGGTACCAGGCAGTTGCACCCCATTTATAAGCACCTCGAGCAATACGAACCACAAAAACCGAAGTTTGACAGAAGAGACCCATGTCAAACGGTCAACAGCGAGTTACAAAATCTTTTAAAAGCCCTTTTTGCTAAGTGCGAATTGACGAAAGCTCAACGAAATGCAAGAATCACTTAAGAGCCCTCTTAGCAAGGCAACCTTGGGTTAGTCAAACGGGCATCGTGTGTATTGATTTTCCTGGACAGACCTACCGTAAGCTGAGACATGAACGGCTGAAGGCAATTTCGAGCAAACACATGATGCTCAACCTTATCCCGTCCCGTACATCAGCCACCCCATCACACGTGCAAACAGTCACAGGCAGCAGCCGGCACATCGTTTACAGTCACTCGTTGCGTTGCTGTTGGCAGGCGTGCGACTTGGATTTGCCTCGCCGGCAGGTCTCCTCGGCCGGACCCTCCTCCTATGACCCCCCCATCACCCCACTATTGGATGCTTTGTTATAAGTTTGCTTGCGGCTATATCCCAAACGTTGTTACTGTCACCTTGGAATTCGTGGAATTACAATATCGTCCATGAAATAAGGAACCTTACTGCCTAAACCAGCATCTTCCTATACCATATAATTATATCTTCTAGATACTAACACTGGGAAGCCCAGAGTTATGAAGGATTTTATTTACAAAAAAGAAGATCCAAAATTTAAGCAAAAAACAATAGCCTTCTTCAGTGTGGGAATAGGCAACATCAACAGTACATTATCTACCTACTACTTCCATTCCTTTTAGGTGGGACAACCTGCGTGTCCATCCACATACACATCGGGTTTGACAATCAGGAAACCCCCGTCCAATAGTTGTGGTGCTTGGAATAAGGAAGATCTGTCCCAGAAACTGCCTGAGGATCCTGTAAGACCCCCATATAAGCATTCTCATTGAACATGGACGATATTGAACTAATTATGCTACCCTTTTCGTCCTCTTCTACATCCACTTATAGAATCTTGGGTGGGATGATGACCGTATCTACCCCATGCACAATAACCTGCGGGTCCACATAGAGGTCTGGTTGGACAATCGCAAGCCCTCCCGTAGCTCCAGGCTTGGCAAACCTTGCAGGCTTGGTGCTCGTCTTCACCATCACAAACTTGTAATCCAGGGTGCCAAACTGCAGACGCAAGAGGGATGGAGAGGGAGGGAAACATGACCCTCAAAAGCGTATGTCTAGTGAGCCTTGCAGGTTTGGTGCCTGTCTTCAGCATTACATACTGGTAGCAAGAGGGAAGGAGAGTGAGGGGAAATAAGCTATGATCCACCAGTCAACCGTCCCTAGCAGGCGGGTGTTGTGAGGGGAGGTTTCAGTATGCATTCTTCCTAGATTCCCTAGCCAGCCATTCCAAAATGTCCAGGAACCTATCTAAAACGTAATCAATCACACTGGATCGCGCCGGTTCAAAGTTCGTTATAACGCGGGTAATAGTGCGCTTCTGTACGGGGTGAGTTTCTAGTAACGGGTAACCCAATATACCGGAATCCACAATCGCGAAAAACAGGGTGTACCTGCCTGCCCATTTTAACAGCGTGCCTAGTAGTGGAATCGTACAAACACTTGTTTTTCTCAAAGAACATTTAGAGAAATTATCAATCTTACTTTCATCGCTTTCCTTCGAGCACCTCGTCCTACCTGAACGCCCCCCACTGAAGTGCCTGTAGCATGAAGTAGCGGAACCGCGGCTCGAAGCGCACCAAGAGAGAGAGAAACCGAAAATACTACTGCGAGAGTGATCGATCGCATTCGTACCTGCGTGCCCATTTTAAGCGCCTCCAGCGTGGAGTCATAGAAGCATTGCTTGAGGACGTGGAAGGACATGACCTGCCTTTGAGATGCATCTACGGACGTTGAGCGACACGACCTGGTACAAGTAATGCCATGCTTCCCCTTCTCTGCCATGCTTCCCCTTCTCTGCCATGCTTCCCCTACTCTGCCATTCTCACCTGCGTGCCCGTTTTAAGCGCCTCCAGGGTGGAGGCGTAGAAGCGTTGCTTGAGGACGTGGAACGACATGACCTGGAGAAGAGCCACTTTGTTCTTCTTGAGCTTCGAGTACTGGAAGCTGCCCGTGAGCTTGTCAAACGCGCTGTTGCGCGGCACGAATATCGTCATCTGCGACGTTGGGAGGAACTGCTTGAGCGTGTTGTTCAGGCCTGGGGGAAGGGTGGGGAAGAGAGAGAGAGAGAGACACGGAGACAGGTTAAGTGACAGAGACACGGGGGAAGTGAGAAAGAGACCGCACAAACACCGTCATCTGAGACGTTGGGAGGTACTGCTTGAGCGTGTTGTTCAGGCCTGGGGCGGAGAGGGGGTGTGGGGGGGTGGGGGGGGAATGGGGAGGCGAGAGAGACACGGGGATATGAGAACGCGATGGCACAAACACCATCATCTGAGATGTTGGGAGGTACCGCTTGAACGTGTTGTTGAGGCCTGGCGAGGGTGGGGGAACGTGGGGATGGGAGGCGAGAGAGAGAGGCACGGAGACGAGAACGAGGCGGCACCAGCATTGTCATCTTGGACGTTGGCAGGTACTGCCTGAAGGTGTTGTTGAGGCCTGCGGAAGAGAGCGGGGGGAGGGGGGAATGGGGGAGGTGCGAGAGAGAGAGACACGGCGACATGAGAACGAGGCGGCACCAGCAGCGTCATCTTGGACGTTGGCAGGTGCTGCTTAAAATTGTTGTTGAGGCCTGGGGGAGAGAGCGGGGGGAGGGGGGAATGGGGGAGGTGCGAGAGAGAGAGACACGGCGACATGAGAAAGAGGCGGCACCTGGACGTGTCATCTTGGCGTTGGCAGGCACTGCTTGAAGGTATTGTTGAGGCCTGGGGGAGAACGAAGGGGAAGGGGGAGGGGGTGGGGGGGGGGATTGAAGAGGAATGGGGGAGAAGAGAGAGTGACGGGGATAATGAAAAGAGACGGCACCAGCAGTGCCATCTCCGACGTTGGAGGGTTCTGCTTCAGCGTGTTATTCAGGCCTCATGCGGAATTCCGGGGTGACTCTAATGTCACCTCGTCGGCAGGTACTGCTTGCGCGTGCTGTTCAGACCTCGGGCGGAGGGGGAATGGAAGACGATGGAGAAAGGTGGGTCGACACGAGAGGAGAAATGGACGGCACGAGAGGTGAAATGGACGGCACGAGAGGTGAAATGGACGGCACGGGAGGAAAAATGGACGGCACGAGCTCGATTTTGTTCGGGACACTCTTTAGGCAGTCTAGGAAGTGAAGAGGTTGGCGGGTATGAGACAAGTTTTGAGGCGCCTCAATACTCGTCTCATCTCATGAGGGAAATTGGCTGGCGCGGCACGGCATCGCGCGTCGAAACGTAAAGCACTACAGCGTTTGAGGGTGACAGCGGGTGTTAGTAGCGCAGCAATCAAAGAATATCCAGACCTTCTCAACCCCGACAACACCTGCACACTTCCGCTCGTCTGCACCAGCTCGGGTTTGCCATTATTTGACGTTGTTATTGTATTTTGTATTGATTTTGTTTACACTAATATTAGTATCATCAATAACTTCACTAAAACACAGTAATGGGATGGATCTCCAGACTCCTGCCCAGGAAAACAATGTACTTTCTTTCCAGAAGACAAGAAACAAAGGTGGTTCTGACACCTTTCGACATAAGAGAAAGTTTACACCATTCAGAAATATAAAATGTTGCAAACACGGTGTTCCTCACCTGGATAGAAAATAGGAACGTTACAACCAGCAGACGAGGTGTTCGCGAGTCGTGACTCACCAGAAGTTTGCCACGCGGCAAGGGAGGTGCTGTATCCCTTCTTCGTCAGCTTCGCTACCAACTGCTGGTACCCGGTATAAGCTGACGCGACTTGCGTCACACACAGCAAGCTGACGACAGCAACGAGCAGTAGAGCCACCAGGCCTTTCCCCGGTACTCGAGCCATTGCGAGCCTGATTTACGTGACGAGACGAACGGCTGACAGTCTTGATCTAAGAACCTATAAGGAGCTAAAGCCGAAGAGGATATTCACAAAAAGTCGTCGAGCCGAGGCAGAGTGCTGAACCGTGAGTCCGGACAATCGACAAAGCGACAGAACCTTGTGCTTGACAAAAGTGTGTAATACGATAGGTGCGTGCGATAATAATTCTCGCGGCTTCCCTGGTCAGAACGAAGCAGGAGGACGCTATGTATCTTACATGAAGCGAACCCCAACAGTGACACGGGCTGCTCGATAGGCAAACTGGTACGGTATGCGAACGGCAAGCAAAGGGTGATCTTCTATTTGCTGGTTTGTGATGGGAGGAAGGCGAGGTACGATAATTGTGGGATGGTGGGGATAATTGTGAGCTGATCACCGAACGTGCGGGTGGGGTGGCGGAAGGAAAGTGCAATGTAACTGAGTGAAGGGAAGGGGGGGAGGGGGTGTTAGAGGGAGGATCTGGGGGATGAAGAGGGATTCAGCAAGGTCTAGACGGAAGGGGGGGGAAGGGGAGAAGGGCGTGTGGTCTGCGGAATCTGGCGGGATGAGGGAGGAGTGGAGCGGGGTGGGAGGGCCATTATTGGTGCCGTTCCGTGCGGGGCGGTGCCTCCCTGACTTAGTCTTGCGCCATTAGCGCACAGCATTGCGGGAGCGCCTGCGACACGGTTGACCCCCTGAGCCGTTCGGCTTCAGTGCCGGTAACCACCACCACACCACACCCCTGATTCTAGTTGTCGGTGACGTTTGACCAGGCTGAGATGGGTATGTGAGCATTTTACCGTACCCATGTAATCTGAACAAGGGACGCAGGTTGTGTAAAAGCAACGCAACTACAGAGAAGGGCATTCGACCCAATCAATTTACAAGATAAACAATCTCTACAGCTTCTAGCTGCCCAGAAAACAAGGGAAAACAACCTCCATGAGACAGCAGCGAGTCGGGTTTGGTGTAACTGGTCAATGTGTTTCCGCTCTGACAGCAGCTGAACTGACCAACCAGCACTCCTCCTCGCACGCCTTTCATCAGCTTCTAGAAAATACCGAATAGAAACTCTGGTATCGGAGTAACAACGATTCTCAAACCCGCTGATGTGTAATAACCTTCTGAGGTGTCGAGCATCGATTCGCTCTGACTGTGTACGAATAAGCTTCCCAAATCAAGCCAAATAGCTTCTCCACGCTGGCTCTCCCTAAAGCTTCGGTGGTTCGTGAACCAGGCAGGTTGGCTGAGCCTGACACACTCGGCACATTTCCAGGTGCCACATAACCATTCGGTAGCCTGTGCCTCCTACCCAACCGTATGCCAGATGCTTCGCGAAGATGCAATTCTCGAGACTGGCTGACCGGCAATTTCAAGGAAATGCGAATTCATGAGCCCGAAATCTCCCTGGGCGCTGTTCTGTTGCCGCATGGGCCTTTTGGCCGAGAACCGCACAGCACAGCACAGCGGGTGCGGAATGAACCTTCAAGGTAGCATCATGTCGATTGAAGCCACGTGGATCCTACCTCACATCAGCGGCGAACCTCTAGGGCCGTTAACATTTTATTTTTGGGCAACAGACCGTGGAATATTCGAGTAGAAAGATTGGCGAAATACGGGTTATTGCCTGCCCGGTCATTTATGCCTGCCCGGGTGCGGACGTGCTCAGCCTGAAACCCCCCTCGTCGTGGGGATTCGCATAGCAGTGCGGCGCATCAGGTTTACCCGTTCAAGGAAATTTCGATGTAGATTCAGACCGCATTACCGGTTCAGCGTTTTGTTGCCGCATTTGTCTTCTCCGCACAGCACAGCACTGGTTAGGTTCGGGATGGAGTTCAAGGTCCCGAGCCTGTTTTAAGGAATACGCCCCTGTTTTTGAAGCCTCGCTTTTCTAACACAGAGGCCTCCACGAAGCATCAGCTGGTGCTATGCGTCGGAGGCCTCAAAGCCAATGCGGCAACAGAACGGGGCCCTGATGTCAGCAAAGAAACAGAAATCTGCAAGCTTCAAAACTGCATTGATCCAAATCTGAAGGGCATTGCTGCAAAGCAATAACACCTGAACCCACCAAAGAACAGCAGAACAACTAGTTTCTTTCTGCTCGTTCCACGCCATGGCCGCCGTCCACCTCCAGTCCGCCGTTGCGTCTGCCTTCCCCGGCATTCGCTCGCCATTCCGTGCTGCTGCCAGGCGGCTGCACTCGGCGTCCTTCGCGGGATCCAAGATCGCGACGCTTTGCAAAGCCTCTGTGCTGCAGTCGGAATTCATTGGCTCCGGTTTCAATGTAAGAAACCCAGTGCGGCAAACATTCGTGTGTAAGCTTCTCAAGATCGGTAGCGCGAGAAATTTTTTGTAGCGTTAAAATCTCTTCGAAGAAGCCAAGCCACTTTCAACAACAACATGGTCGAATTGCTTCAACGGTTAATGTCGAAATCCTACAAACTGTGAATCCCGCGGTCATCGTGCTCCTTCTCAGATGGCAGAAATTGTTTTTCACCAAGTCAGCGTGATGGTTCCTGAGATGCCTTATACAATCCTGTGCTCGAATATTCATAATGTCACGACAGGCTGCTCCTGCTCAACTGAGCGGTACCGCATTCTTGAGGAGGTCAGCGAGCTCGACCGGTGCTCGCGCGTCTGCTGACGTGGAGCAGCTGCGCGGAGCCAGGGACGAGATCAAGGAGCTCATTAAGAGCAAGCACTGCAATCCCATCCTGGTATGTAGATGCTGATACTTGATTCGTAAGACTAGAACTTCACGCGGATGATTGGCACTACAGTTCGGAGACGCGTACTTGAAAAAATGCGGTTTAAATGCCTCGCAATCCTTTCTAACAAATCTGCTCTTTCAGCATTGGGAGATCCCAGCCGTCAGATTCTCCTGCCATCGTTCATTCCTCGCCCATTTGTTTCCGTTCGTTTCTGCGTGCGCGCAGATCCGTCTGGGCTGGCACGACGCGGGCACATACACCAAGAGCATCGCCGAGTGGCCCCTGGCGGGCGGCGCCACCGCCAGCATCCGCTTCAAGCCCGAAATCGAGCACGGCGCCAATGCTGGTACGAGTTTACTTTTTAGTCCTCTCAATATGTGCTTCACAATGAAATTCTGGCTTCCGAGTCGACTCAAAGGACGACTTTTGAGGCGCCTGAAGAGGCGGGCTGGGCCACCGCCAGCATCCGCTTCAAGCCCGAAATCGAGCACGGCGCCAATGCTGGTGCGGCTTGCACACACGCGTTCTAGACGCCCCTGTGCTCTCTCCACGTTCAGGATTACCGCCACTCGCGGATGTCTCTTTTCTATCCGCTCACCCTCACGTTTCACGTGCAAACTAGTTACTAATCTCCCCCCTCCCTCCCTCCCCTTCCAGTCCCCCTTCCATTCCCCCTTCCATTCCCCCCTCCCATTTCCTCATCCTTTTACCACCTTTCTTCCCCAATGTCGTCCCCCTCCCCTTCCCTCTCTTCTATTCCCTCCCTTCCCCCTTCCTTCCCCTCTTCCCACCCCTGCAGGCCTCGCGGGCGCCATTGCTCTGCTGGAGCCCATCAAGCACAAGTACCCCGCCGTCAGCTACCCCGACCTCTTCCACCCCAGGCTGTTTGTATCAACTTTCTCTATCACCCTTCCCCCACCACCCATTCCCCGCAGGCCTGGCGGGCGCCATTGCTCTCCTGGAGCCCATCAAGCAGAAATACCCTGCCGTCAGCTACGCTCCAACCTCTTCCAGCCCAGGCTGTTTGTCCCATCTCTCTCATTCCCCCTACGCCTTCTGTACTCCCCCAACCCCCAGGTCTGGCGGGCGCCATTGCTCTCCTGGAGCCCATCAAGCAGAAGTACCCTGCTGTCAGCTACGCCGACCTCTTCCAGCTCGCCAGCGCCACGGCTGTCGAGGTGCGTCCGTGCTATTGCCTCCGCTCATGCTCTCATGCTCATGCTCTCATGCTCATGCTCTCATGCTCATGCTCTCATGCTCATGCTCTCATGCTCATGCTCAAGCTAGTGGTGCAGCATATGCTTGGATTTCCGCGCTGACATTCAAATGAAGAGAAATCACTGGGTAGACGTCGTAAACGTCCAGCTGTCCCAGCTGTCGTCTGTCAGCTCGACAGAGGCCCCAAGCGTTGGTTGCCATGCCGCCATGTGAACGGCATCCCAAGGGATGAAATGAAGCGGTAAAGTTATTTTCTTCCTCCTTTTTTGACGTCCTGCTGTATGTATGGGCTGTGTGTGTGTTGTTATGCTGTATGTATGTGCTATGTGTGCGTGTGCGGCTGTATGTGTGCGGCTCTATCAGCTCGCAGGAGGGCCCAAGATCCCGATGAAGTACGGCCGTGTGGACGCCAACGGACCCGAGCACTGCACTCCTGACGGCACTCTCCCAGGCATGTCCCCCCTCCCCCACCAGCCGTGTGCTTCATGGCCTCATCTCATCCTCCCCGGGCTGTTCTTCATGCCCCCTTCCCCCCAGCGCTGTGCTTCATGCTCTCAGCTCCTTGTGCCTGTGCTTCATGTCCTTCACTCCTCATGCTCTGTGCTTCATCATCATCTGTGTCTCACTCCTACGTAGAGATTGCCATCCCCATCCCCATGACCATCCCCAGTCTCATCCACATACCCATCCAGGCCCACATCTTCCCGCCTTCCCCTCTGTCCCACCATCGACAGTCTCCACATTCCTGACCTGTGACCCTTCACCCCGTTCCCACCCACTCATCCGCACTCCCTCCCCGGGCCCCCTTTCACGCACTCCCCACCCTGCACTCCCTCCACCACACTCCCCCCCCTTCACCAACAGATGCCGGCCCACCATCCCCTGCTGACCACCTGCGCAAGGTGTTCTACCGCATGGGGCTTGACGACAAGGTGAGCATAAAGCGGTGTGGCCATGTGACTCTTAATCGATTTGATTACGATTAAGCGGTGTCAAGGTGTTGATGACAAGGTGAGCATGAAGCGGTGTGATTATAAGGGGGGATGCAAGGTCCTCGATTTAGGACTCAAGTTCACCCGTCTGCTTCCCATCGACTTACACCATGCATGTCCGACCCTCCTTTCTGATGGCAGGACATTGTTGCCCTTTCCGGCGCACACACATTGGGACGCTCTCGGCCGGAGAGGAGCGGGTGGGGCAAGGCAGAGACCAAGTACACGGTGAGACGTGCAAGGGACGCTGGTGATGGCGATGATATGAGGGATGCTGGGTGTGCTGGGTGTGCTGGGTGTGTTGGGTGTGCTGGGTGTGCTGGTGGTGTTGGGTGTGCTGGGTGTGCTGGAGGTGTTGGGTGTGGTGGTGGGGCAAACTGTAGGTCGGTGGAGAGGAACAGGTGCGTCAAGGCGGAGAGCAAAGCTCCATATGTAGCGTGCCTGGGGGTTTTGAAACGCTAGAAAATGGAGCCCTGGTCGGCGGCATAGTCCCATGTTTCAGAGCCTGGGGGTTTTGAAACCGTCTCAAAGCATGTGGTCGACGACGCACCATGCTTCCAAGTACGAGGGGGGTTTGGAACAGCATAGAAGGCTCCCATCTCTTTTGATCCTCCCCCCCTCCCTACCCTAGCCACCCTTCCTCCCCTCTCTGCTCCCCTCACCTGCTCCGATGCCTCTCCCTCGCTCATACACATTCACACCTCCACTCTCTCACCATTCCCCTTTTGACCTTCCCCCTCCAACCCTCCCGCTCCCAACTCCTCAACGCTTGCAGAAGGACGGGCCTGGTCTGCCGGGCGGCCAGTCCTGGACGGTTGAGTGGCTCCGATTTGACAACTCCTACTTCAGGGTGAGTCTCAAATCCTCCTTTGCCTTGGTATGACTTTTGAGAATTCTCGGTATGACTTTTGAGAATTCTCGGTATGACTTTTGAGAATTCTCGGTATGACTTTTGAGAATTCTCGGTATGACTTTTGAGAATTCTCGGTATGACTTTTGAGAATTCTCGGTATGACTTTTGAGAATTCTCGGTATGACTTTTGAGAATTCTCGGTATGACTTTTGAGAATTCTCGGTATGACTTTTGAGAATTCTCGGTATGACTTTTGAGAATTCTCGGTATGACTTTTGAGAATTCTCGGTATGACTTTTGAGAATTCTCGGTATGACTTTTGAGAATTCTCGGTATGACTTTTGAGAATTCTCGGTATGACTTTTGAGAATTCTCGGTATGACTTTTGAGAATTCTCGGTATGACTTTTGAGAATTCTCGGTATGACTTTTGAGAATTCTCGGTATGACTTTTGAGAATTCTCGGTATGACTTTTGAGAATTCTCGGTATGACTTTTGAGAATTCTCGGTATGACTTTTGAGAATTCTCGGTATGACTTTTGAGAATTCTCGGTATGACTTTTGAGAATTCTCGGTATGACTGACTTTTGAGAATTCTCAAAAGACAACTCCTACTTCAGGGTGAGTCTCAAATCCTCCCTTGCCTTGCTGCCCCCATACCATTTACTCAAAACCTGCCTGGCTTAGAGGCGGCATGTTCTGCTTGGTGAAACTTCTCCCCCCCACCTCTTTCCCGCTCCCCCTCCCCCCGTCTCTCCCGCAACCAGGACATCAAGGAGAGAGCGGGTGCAGAGCTGCTGGTGCTGCCGACAGACTTAATAAAACACCCTGCTGGGCTCAAACTTTGCCCACCCTCTATCCCCTCCCCACCTCCCCTCTCCCCCCACCCCCACCAACCAGGACATCAAGGAAAAGACAGACGCGGAGCTGCTGGTGCTGCCCACAGATGCCGCCCTGTTTGAGGACGCGGGCTTTAAGGTGTATGCAGAGAAGTACGCTGTCGACCAGGCGGCCTTCTTTGCCGACTATGCCCAGTCGCACAAGAAGCTCAGCGAGCTCGGCGCCAAGTTCGACCCCCCCCAGGTGAGGCCTTTTCTTCCAGGTGAGGCCTTTTCTTCCAGGTGAGGCCTTTTCTTCCAGGTGAGGCCTTTTCTTCCAGGTGAGGCATTGCCGCAGGTTTAAGCTACTCCCCTAACCAGGCGGCCTTCTTTGCCGACTATGCCCAGTCGCACAAGAAGCTCAGCGAACTGGGTGCCAAGTTCGACCCCCCTCAGGTGAGGCCTTTTCTGCATGTGGGGCACTCCCCCTGGGTGAGGCATTACCCCCCAGGTTGAGGTATTACCCCTAGGTAAGGTACTCCCCCAACCAGGCGGCCTTCTTTGCCGACTATGCCCAGTCCCACAAGAAGCTCAGCGAGCAGGGAGCCAAGTTCGACCTGCCCCAGGTGAGGCCTTCTCCTTCCGGTGCCACATTCCCCTCCGGTGAGAGACTTCACCTGCAGGTGAGACATTTCCCCTAGGTAATCCCACCCACAGACCATGTTTGAACCTCCCCAGGCAAGGCATTCCGAATTCTGTTTTGCGTCAGCTTTGATTGCTGTTTTGGCTCCATCTTGGCTCCCTCCCCTTGTCCCCCTTGTTTGTGACCCTTGTGCTTCGTTGTGTTTGCAGGGTGTGACCCTTGACTAAATTGGCAGCATGATTTGTGTTTTGGTGCGAAGATCTGTATCAGGAATTGTACTCAAAAGTATACCGAGTGTTACAAAAAGGTGTGATTTGGTAGAAACAGATTGTACCAGGCACGCAGGCAAGCATCCTCTACAAGAGCTGGCGCTACAATATTACTACAAGCAATTGCTGCAAGTAACAAATACCGTAAACAGATAAAGTACCTGTGGCAGAGCAAGTCCAGATGCACACCACACCACGAATTGGAAGAGCTCTGACTGCTCAGTTTCCACCTGCTGACCAGAGCCACTTGCTGGTAAAACACAAATCATAACTCAGAGTCCCATTATAGCCTCTATGTGTACAATCTCCGGGCTCGTTCCAGCGTGGCATCCACCAATCGGAAGAGCTTTGGCTGCTCTGATTCCACCTGCTCCATTGACATCGCCTCGTGTGCTTCCGCCTGCAGGCAAAAGGGAGGAAGCAGGAGATTGCAGGCGAGAATTTTGAGGCATATGCTGATCCTGTACCTGCACTGTTCTGAAAAAAAAAATATGGCAAGATTCCTGAAGTGTGAGCCGACTCAAAAGTCAACTAATGTTGAGGCGTATGCTGATCCTGTACCCGCACTGTTATGAGAATAAGATCTGGCAAGATTTCTGGAAGAGAGTCCGAGAAACCTCATCCCACGTGAGCAACCGAGCGAGTGAAGGTACAGCGAGGGAGATGTCTTGTGTGCGTACCTCGTCAAATGTGAAGAGAACGAGATTGTCAATGGTGGGAGGGAGAGCCGCATTCCACCTGCCACACAGCCACCACACGGGGCAAGAAAGGTGGCTCCATTTAATACAGGCATCCCAAGCGAACCAAACATATTTGAAGACCAAGGAAGGAGGAAATGCTTTTCAAGATCACCTGGTGAGAGTCATGTGCCCCATGAACTGCCAGACTTGGGAGTCCTTCCAAAAAAAGACTCCGGAAGTGTCCCCAGAAGTGACCCCAAAAAGAACCCCAGACGTGACACCAACACCAACACACCTGGTGAGAGTCATGTGTCCCATGGACCGCCAAATTGCTCGCCCAATATCCATGCCTCCTCCTCCCCCACCTCCTCTCCCACCTCCTCCTGTCCCTCCACCACCACCCCCATTCCCTTCACCAGCAGATTTCACTGCCCGTTTTCTACGCTCCCCCTTCTTCCTCTGCTGCTCCTGTCCGCTCCTTCCCTCTCCTGAGTGCCATTCTCCTGCCTCCTCTCCTCTCTCCCCTCCTCTTCCCGTTGCTCCTCTGCCATTTCTCCATTCCCGGAATTCTGCTCCCGAGTGCCGCCCCCGATTTCTCCCTGCTCCTGAGCGGTCCCCTCACCCTCACCCTGCACCCGAATGCCCTCTTCCTCTCGCTTCTCTCTCTCCTCTCTCTGCTCTCCCTGTGCCATCCCCTCCTCCTGTGATCCAACATCGGCCCCACTCCCGTCCGACTGGCTGTGAAGAAGCTTCTTGGCAGCTTCCTTCTCCCGGAGATGCTGCCACGCGCTGCGGCCGCGCCACACCTCCCTCACCACAAACATGACGTCATCCATGTCCACCTGTGCACGCATGGACACATAGATAGGGATTCGGACGCATGCATCTGGAAGGGGTAGAGAGATGATGCCATCCATGTCCACCTGTGTGCATTCACGTAAGCATACACATAGACACATACACATGGATAAGAGCTCAAACATGACGTCATCCATGTCCACCTGCGCACACAGATAGGGATTTGGGCACGTTTACATGCACGCACGCGCCCATGCACCTCCTATTCTCCACCAGCCTCTGGCACAGCAGCAAGTAATGGCAGCACACATACTCGCCCACACACACACTCACCTTAACTTCACTCGCTGATCCAAACCGCATCTCCTCTCTCTCCACCAGCCGTTGGTGCAGCAGCGAGTAATGGTCCGCACTTAGCCTCAACTCAACACCGGTTCAAACCCAACCCCACACACACTTTGTCATCCATGCGCACTCTCATCCACACTCAAACCCACCTCCACTTCACTTGCCGATCCAAACCGCATCTCCTCTCTTTCCACCAGCCGCTGGTGCAGCAGCGAGTAATGGTCCGCACTTAGCCTCAACACCGGCTCGGCTCCAATCTCATATTGACACTACCTCTTCCGTACACACTCACCCACACACACACTCACCTCTACTTCACTTGCCGATCCAAACCGCATCTCCTCTCTTTCCACAAGCCGCTGCTGCAGCAGCGAGTAGTGCTCTGCACTTAGCCGCAACACCGGCTCAAACCCAACACACACATATCCACCTACACATGGCTCACCCACATATACAAACTCACCTCTACTTCACTAGCCGATCCAAACCGCATCTCCTCCCTCTCCACCAGCCGTTGGTGTAGCAGCGAGTAATGCTCTGCACTTGGCCTCAACATACACACTCAACCCCATACATGAACTCACCTCAACTTCACTAGCCGATCCAAAACGCATCTCCTCTCTCTCCACCAGTCGCTGGTGTAGCAGCGAGTAATGGTCTGCACTCAGCCTTAGCACCGGCTCAAACCCCACGTCCATTCCGGCCAATGAGGTGACGACACGTGTCGCCAGCGCCAGGCCAAACATGGCAGGGATGGTTCCCAGGACGGGGATGACTCTTACACGAAACCCTGGGACCACCTGTAACGAGTATGGACAAATGGGGAGTGGAACAGGCAAAAATATCATATGAGATATGCCTCTTGTGGCAATCCGATGTGAAAATTACCACCTGCGACAAGTACGACGATAAGGGTCTGTACTTTACTTTGATAAGTAAAAAAGGAGAGAACTGAAAAGAAAAACCACAAGTCCAGCACAATAGTAAAAAAGGGAACCTGGGAAGCCACCTGAAAAGCACCTGAACATCACCTGGAGGTCAGCAGGCTGGAGTGAGTCGTCAGCAATGGGCAGCAGCCTGGCCTTGGGACGGTCGAGAGAAAACACCGCCTCCACTGCTGCTGCTGCTGCTGCCCCCAGTGCCTTGCGCCCAACAAGCAAGAGAAAGGCTGAGCGCCTCACAACACAACAACACCTCACCTGGAGGTCAGCAGGCTGGAGTGAGTCGTCAGCAACGGGCAGCAGCCTGGCCTTGGGACGGTCGAGAGAGAACACCGCCTCCACTGCTGCTGCTGCTGCTGCCCCCAGCGCCTTGCGCCCAACAAGCAAGAGAAAGGCTGAGCGCCTCACAACACAACAACACCTCACCTGGAGGTCAGCAGGCTGGAGTGAGTCATCAGCAACGGGCAGCAGCCTGGCCTTGGGACGGTCGAGAGAGAACACCGCCTCCACTGCTGCTGCTGCTGCTGCCCCCAGCGCCTTGCGCCCAACAAGCAAGAGAAAGGCTGAGCGCCTCACAACACAACAACACCTCACCTGGAGGTCAGCAGGCTGGAGTGAGTCATCAGCAACGGGCAGCAGCCTGGCCTTGGGACGGTCGAGAGAGAACACCGCCTCCACTGCTGCTGCTGCTGCTGCCCCCAGCGCCTTGCGCCCAACAAGCAAGAGAAAGGCTGAGCGCCTCACAACACAACAACACCTCACCTGGAGGTCAGCAGGCTGGAGTGAGTCATCAGCAACGGGCAGCAGCCTGGCCTTGGGACGGTCGAGAGAGAACACCGCCTCCACTGCTGCTGCTGCTGCTGCCCCCAGTGCCTTGATTTGAGAGTGCTCATACATTCACTATACCTGTAAATCAGCAGGCTGCAGGGAGCCATCCCCATCCCCGACGGGCAGCAGCTTGGCCTTGGGACGGTCCAGAGAGAACACCGCCTCCACCGCTGCTGCTGCCCCCAGCGCCTTGATGTGAGAGTGCTCATACATTCACTATACCTGTAAATCAGCAGGCTGCAGGGAGCCATCCCCATCCCCCACAGGCAGCAGCTTGGCCTTGGGACGGTCCAGAGAGAACACCGCCTCCACCGCTGCTGCTGCCCCCAGCGCCTTGATGTGAGAGTGCTCATACATTCACTATACCTGTAAATCAGCAGGCTGCAGGGAGCCATCCCCATCCCCCACAGGCAGCAGCTTGGCCTTGGGACGGTCCAGAGAGAACACCGCCTCCACCGCTGCTGCTGCCCCCAGCGCCTTGCGCAACCGCTGCCGCACCTGCAGGGGGTGGGATAGATTGGATGGTGACGATTTGATGTATGCTAAGTGTGTCTACATCTCGACATATGTTAAGTGTGTCTACATCTCGACATATGTTAAGTGTGTCTACATCTCGACATATGTTAAGTGTGTCTACATCTCGGATGGGGTCCGCCCAACTAATGACAGGCAGAGCTCTCAGCAATGAGTGGAGGGCGCAAATGAACAACGGTCAATAGCTCACCGCACGAGAGAGAGGGTCAATAGACGACTCGCTGATGTCAGCGATGCGGATGCGAGTGGGGTCCGCCCGAGCAAGACAGGGTGCAACGGGTGGGGGGTTGGGTGGGCGGGAAGGGTGGGGGGGTGGGTGGTTACCATACCGCACGGGAGAGAGGGTCGATGGACGAATCGCTGATATCAGCGATGCGGATGCGAGTGGGGTCGGCCCGAGCGCCTGCCCCCATGGCGCTGATGACCGGCAGACCACGGCGCACACAGGCTGAGAGCAGCGCGACCTGCAGAAGTAGGAAAGAGAAGCAGGCGGCGTTGGGGGCAGTGGGAGGCGTTGGGGTGTCAACGATGCGAATTCGGGTGGAGTCGGCCCGACCGAGCACCCGCCCCCATGGCGCTGATGACTGGCAGACCACGGCGCACACAGGCTGAGAGCAGCGCGACCTGTGAATGACACAGAGGAGTAGGGGGAGCAGCGCGGTTCTGTGGTAAAGACCTTGGGGGGGCATGTGGGGTCGGCCCGAGCGCCTGCTCCCATGGCGCTGATGACAGGCAGACCGCGGCGCACACACGCTGAGAGCAGAGCCACCTGCGAGAGGGAGGGCGAGAACAGAAGCTGTGTGTTAGGGAGCCACCTCCTTGAACCCTTCAGGTTGGCTGGCATCGCTCGAAATTCTCGCGAAGCCGGTGGCTGCGAGTAACTTTGCTTTGCTTTACGCCATTGTTTGTTGTGCTCATCGTGCTTTCAGCTGGCTGTCGCGTGCACATTGCTGCAAAAACAATTGAATCTGACTCGCTTTTTATTGAATCGATTTGATCTGATTCTGACCTTTGTGTCGATGTTGTCGATGCAGTCCACAACGTAGTCGGGCTGCCCGAACAAAACTTTCTCCTCGTTCTCCTCCGTGTACATGGCTGTCATTCCCTCCACTTGCGCTTCGGGCAGAATGCGAAGGAAATGCTCCCTCATGCACTGTGCCTTGGGAATTCCTACATCTGCCCGCGTGGCAACTGCATGGCGATTGAGGGAGGATAGTGACACCTGTGGTGGGGTGAGGAGGCGGGGCGGGAGGAGGGGGAGAATGCGAGTCAAACTGTGTCAACCTGAGTCAACCAGAGTCAACCTGAGTCAACAAAGTCAACCAGAGTCAACCCAAATCAAACGGAAGTCAACGAGTCTCAGGAAGCCAACACCACATTTGAGCAGGGCAGACGCAGCATTGCTGCCCACCCACCAAAGCCCAATCACCACCACGAACACCACCCGGTCAATCCCAGTCAACTCGAGTCAACAGAGTCAACAGGGTCAATGGAGGGACCCAGTACCTGGTCAAAGTCAACGAGTCTCAGCCTGCCAACACCGCATCTCAGCAGCGCGGCAGCAGCATGGGTGCCCACCCCCCCCCCAGCCCCACCACCACCACAAACACCACTCAGTTGCATTAAGTCAACCAGAGTCAACAAGTTCAACGGGTTACTTGCCTGGTCAAAATCGACGAGTCTCAGCCTGCCAACGCCACATCTCAGCAGAGCGGCAGCAGCATGGCTGCCCACCCCCCCCAGCCCCACCACCACCACAAACGCCCGGTGCACTGCCAGCTGGCCGGGCAGACCAAACATTTGAATGTTCCTGCCCGGCAACGATGAGGGGAAGGGGGAGAGGTGAAGGAAGGTCAGTGAGGAAGGGAAGTGGGGGAAGAAGGGGGAAAGGAAGGGAGGGGGGTGGACATAGTTGGTGGACATAGAAAGCTCAGAATCAGAAATGGGCGTGCTTATAATGAAGGTGCTTAAAACACGTGCCTGGTGAACTGCTCCACGATGATGTCATCATCAGCCGCTGCCAGGCTGGCAAGATCCTGGCCATCCAATCCACCACTGCCACGTGTCTCCCCCCCACCAGCAGGTTCCTGGCTGCTAGCACCGTGCAGCGACTCAGGAGGGCGAGATGCACCGGTGGCATCAGCAGGAGCTGAGTCTGCATCAGGTGACTTTTCAGGTGGTTTCAGGTGCTGCTCGTGATGCTGTTTCTCCTGGTGCTGCTGCTGCTGCTGCTGCTGCTGCTGCTGCTGCTGCTGCTGCTGCTGCTGCTGCTGCTGCTCCTGCTGATGATGATGCGGCTCTTGCTCCTCTGCTGCTGCAAGCTGTAGTGAGGCCAGACCCGTATGGCCATCGCCGTACCTGGATGGAGTGAACGTAAGTGAAGGAAAGGGTGGAAACGAAAAGATGGAAAAAAGGGAAACATAAGAGTTCTTATGTGTAGGGAACTCGACGATGCTAATGGAAGGGGCACTCTATATGAGAGACAGACGTGCTTGTCAGTTTCTTGGTCCACAAAGATTGCGGAGCGAGAGAGTTTGGATGCGAGGAAGGGGAGAGGTGAGATCCGAGAGAGGGGACGGGATGCAACAAACCGGGGAGAACGCAGAAAATCGCGCGGGGCTCTAGCTGGCGCCCGAAAATGCCGAGAAACTGGCAGGAATTCCGAAAACAAAACAGGGATAATCTCGACCATAAATACCTGTGATAAAGCGAATACTAACGTGATTTCATGCGGCTCGTCAGCAGCGTAAACGGAATAGAGCTTCCACGCGCAAAGCGCGGCGCACGAGCCGGCAGCAGCTCCCAGAGCGAAGGTCGCCCACGGCGACCTCAAAAGCCTCATGGCGAATAGCGAATATTATACAAATGAGGACAACCCAGATGAGGAGGACCCAGCCACATGGCAAAACGGACAGGGCCGCAGCAGGCGACTACATGAATGACGGCGACATTCGCACAAAACAGAACGACATGACGAGCAACGAAGGAAAAAGAAGCAGCAGCGTATCACGCGCCGCAACGGTAGTCGAGCGGATTATGGTTGGAATGGAATACGGTATATCGAGGTGGTGATTTTCTTGTGCCAGGCAAACCTAAAAATGCGGAAGAATAAAACGGTGAAAACGAGTGTGGAGGTGAGGGGTATCGATCCCCTTACCTATCGCATGCGAAGCGATCGCTCTACCATGTGAGCTACACCCCCATATTCGTCGAGCTAGAAATTAATTATTATACAGTTACAGCTTTTTACAGAAGCTAATCAATATCGTTCAATACACGCGGGAAATTTCTGTCAGTCATCGTCGCTTCTTCTTGGATTGAGTGTGCGACACGCACGTCCCACCAACCCACTGCACCGTGATTGGGGTCATCTTGGAACCATCTTTGACCTTGGGATTGGGAGAAAATAGCAACGCCTGATCAGGCCTGACGACTGACGAGGCGAGACTAGTCATACAGAGCTTTCCGGACCGATCATCGTCGACCTTGGGAACTTCGCAACCGCCTGCAGAGGCAGACAGTTTCGCACTGGCCGAAGCTGGAATCTGGGTGGATGTTTTGAGCGGATTGGCTCTCGATAGTGCGAGATCGGGAACAGTGAAGTTCTGCTGTAGAAGGATTGTTTCATGAGAGTGATTTAGCGCTTTGTGACGGTAATTCACGGTCTGCAAGTGTTGAGATGTTTCGAACTCGTGAAGCAGCCTGATCGGCTCAGGGTTCCTGCCGAGCACGAATGCAACGGACGGCTGACAGAGAGTAAAAGGCGAAAGATAACGAGAGCTGGCGGGAAATTAACGTTGACGGAAACGGAGCAGGCGTCGCAAGATGGCGGATGGCGGATCCGTCGGATCAAAGGCTAGCGATTGCGGCTTCTGGTGTCTGGTTACCAGTCGCCGGTTCGCCGAGGCGGTTTCGTCGCTGGCGAAGCCGAGAGAGGTGGTGCTGCGACCCAAGGAGGAGCAGGATATGGTGGGGTTCGGATGGCGGGAAATTCTGGGCCTGAAACAGAAGTCATCGGGCAATGCTGAGCTTGCTGCTGAGACGCATCAGGTGAGCCGATGCGTGTATGGTTCCTCTGATGCTGCGGCGATGCAAGGGGGAACGGGATCTGGTGAGATGTAGATGACGGGATGGGATGCTGGGATCGGCGCGCAGTACCGTGCCGTGGATTTGAAAGAAAAAGTCATAGGGGAATGCCGATCTTACTGCTATGGCGCATCAGGTAAGGCGTGCCTCCACCCAAGCTGCGACTCGTGCCATCCGCAGGTGTATCACGTCACCAATCGGGTCTGCAGGCGGGAGGGCGTGTGGCAAGGCGCCTTATGCTCCTCCCCCTCTCCCTACTGCCTGCATTCTGCCCCGTCCTCAGGTGTATTGCGTCACTAACCGGGCGTGCGCGAGAGGGAGAGGGCGTGGTGTACGGCTTGTATCCGAATGCACCCACCTCCTGCCTACTGCCCTGCTTCTTGTCCCATCCTCAGGTTTTACTACGCCATTAACCGGGTGTGCGAGAGGGAGAGGGCGTGGTGTAAGACTACTAGCACCATGCACCCACTTCCTTCCTACTGCCTTGTTTCTTGCCCCATATTCTCAGGTGTACCCTCGTCACTACGCTGCTGTGCTGCGCCTCACTGCTTCAAGAGAGGGAGGGTGTGGTGTTGTACGGCTCTTAGCCCAATGTACTCTCCCCCTGCCTCCTGCCATGCTCTTGCCCCATATCCTCAGGTGTACTACGTCACGAATCGCGTGTGCGAGAGGGAGGACGAGAAGATGGGCAAGGTGTACGGCAAGCACATGGACAGTGGCCTGCATGTCGGTGTGGTGAATGTGAGTTATAACGGGATGCTCTGGCTCCCTTCTAAAGAGGGAGTGAGAGGATGGGAGGATGGGCAAGGTGTACGGCAAGGTCATGGACAGTGGCCTGCACGTGGGCGTGGTGGATGTGAGTTATAAGAGGATGCTATGATGGCCTGTTTGAAGGGCTAAAGGAAGAGGATGGGGGGACTGGAGGATGAGACGACGAGAAGATGGGGCAAGGGGTATGGCAGCTCATGGACAGTGGTGGATGATAGTGATAGCAATGTGAGTGATAGTAGGGTAGGATGTACTGGCATTCCCATCGACAGCATGGGAGTGTACTGCTTGGAATAGGAACAAACTTATCTTTGTTTTCGTTTGTAACTGCAGGTGGATTGTCCGAACGGCAAGCCTCAAGTGAAGCCGGAGGGGCAGCTTGTAACGAGTATGGATGCAGAGGCGTTCAAGCAGCGGCTGAGGGAGCATGTGGCTCGCGATGAGAACAAGGCAGTGCTCGTCTATGTGCATGGGTATGTATGTGCATGGGTATGTATGTGCATGGGTATGTATGTGCATGGGTATGTATGTGCATGGGTATGTATGTGCATGGGTATGTATGTGCATGGGTATGTATGTGCATGGGTATGTATGTGCATGGTTATGTATGTGCATGGGTATGTATGTGCATGGGTATGTGTGTGCATGGTTATGTATGTGCATGGGTATGTATGTGCATGGGTATGTATGTGCATGGTTATGTATGTGCATGGGTATGTATGTGCATGGTTATGTATGTGCATGGGTATGTATGTGCATGGGTATGTATGTGCATGGGTATGTATGTGCATGGGTATGTATGTGCATGGGTATGTATGTGCATGGTTATGTATGTGCATGGGTATGTATGTGCATGGGTATGTGCGTGCATGGGCATGTGTGTGCATGGGTAGGAGTGTGTTTGGTTATGTGTGTGCGTCAGTATTCATGGGTATGTGCATGGGCGCCGCATGTGTGTGCATGGCAGCATGGGTATGTTTATGGAATATGTCTCAGCGCTCGTCTCTCGTCCATTTGCGGATCTTACACAATTTTCCTCTTCTGCTGCCTTACCCATTCCTCTCTGCACTTTCCGTTCCGTGGTGTGTTGTGATTCTTGCGTTGTGTTCTCCCTCCCTGCAGCTGCTTCACTGACTTCAGCCGAGGCATGGGTTATGGAGCATTCATGCAGGTACAAGGATGGACCACCCCCCCCGCCCCTGTGTGTGTGTGCCCCACTGTGTGACCCCGCCTTGAAACCTGGTCATAAGTGCTCCCATGCTGGTGTACAGCTGCCCAGTAGTTCTCAATAGTGAACTACCTGTACCCGTTTCTAACTGATTTCTGAGTCGACTCAAAAGTCATCTTGCCACTCGGTGGGACGGCTGCTGCGCTGGAATGATCAATAATGAACCACATCAACCCCCCGCCCCCCATCCCGTCTCTTCCCCTCGCAGCGCGGCTTGAACTTCAGCAGTCCCATGGCGGTGTACAGCTGGCCCACGGTGGGGCGGCCGTCTGTGCTTGTCACTGGTGTACCATGTACCTCCATCAATTAAAATCCTCCCAACCGCCCCTCGCCCCTCCCTTTCTCAGCGAGGCCTGGATTTCAACGGGCCCATGGTGGTGTACAGCTGGCCCACCGTGGAGCGGCTGTTGGTTTGGTCATTGGCGTATCTGTATCACTCAGGATTCCCTCCCGTACACTCCTTGCCTCCCGCGCTCTCCCCCTCTCAGCGTGGTCTCGATTTCAACGGCCCCATGGTGGTGTACAGCTGGCCCACCGTGGGGCGGCCGTCCGTGTCGGTGGGGCTGGGGGTGATCAGCCTGTACCGCCAGGACGAGGTCACGTGCATGCAGGCCGCTCCCGACCTCAGGGTGAGTGGGGCATTTGTAGTGTTGAAACTCACATGTATTTTATGCATGTATGTGGATGTCTTATAAGGGGGGCGGCCGTCCGATTGTGTCGGTGGGGCTGGGAGTGATCATCAGCCTGTACCGCCAGGACGAGATCACCTGCATGCAGGCCGCTCCCGACCTCAGGGTGAGTAACATCATACGTCTGTATACGTATGGAAGTATCTGGATAAAGACCATCTGTCCGTGTCGGTGGGGCTGGGGGTGATCAGCCTGTACCGCCAGGACGAGCTCACCTGCATGCAGGCCCCCTTCTTCTCCCCCCTCCCGCCGCCCCTATTCTTCCCACCCACCCACAGGATCTGCTCCAGATGCTCTCAACCGAAGTGGGAGCCAAGGCGGTGCACGTGATGGCATACAGCATGGGCGCGCGCACTCTCCTCGAGGCTCTCCGCCTGTCCGCGCTCTCCCCGCCGCACCTGGACCCATTCCACGCCCGCACCGGCGTCACCTCCCACATCTACTTCATGGCTCCTGATGTGGCCGCCCACTCCTTCTCCTCTGTTATACGGAAATTTAAGTTCCCGGGGATTGCGTGGGATGGAGAGGCGGAGGAAAAAAGTGAGAGGGCTCGCGGGGTTGCATGGGAAGGGGAGGCGGAGGGACGAGAGAGGCATGCTGAGGGTGCGTTGGAAAGAGGGGCAGAGGAGGGAGAAACGGGCTCTGGAGTTTTGGATGCCATACCCCCTTTGACCTTTCTCCAGCAAGCCTCAGCACCTTCCTCCCCATCTGCCTCCGCACCTTCCTCCACACCTTCCTTCATGCATGAATCAGATGCGCGCAGTCACGATTCCATGATAGAGAGGATCGCAGACGTGTGGAACGTGGCCGGGGAAAGCACGTCAGGCTGGGTAACGCTACGGCAGGCTTGGCAGGAGGTTCGGGAAAAGGGGCTGATGGAGGTTTGGAACGAGATCTTCCACCCGCCAGGCCTTGCCGAACCTGGTGGCTATGCGTCTGCCGAGGCTGTGCCGAGTCTTGTCGGCGGCGGCCCTGAGAGGTTTGGAGGTACATCCGAGCCTGTTTTCCGAACCAGAGAGGCAGGAGGCAACGAGGCTGAGCACAGGTCGAGAAGTATCAGGACTGGCAGTGCTTCTAACGCATTTGAAGGGCCTAGAAAGCATGTGCTTAACGGTTTACAGATGTCTGAAGCAGCTCAGGAAGCAGCAGCGAGAATGGGAGGATCGTGTCTTGACAGCTCGTGTGCTTCTAATGAATGGGAGCGGGAGACGGGGAGGTCTATGCCTGATGGTGGCCGCTGGCAAGAGAATCATGCGTCTATACGTGTAGATTCTGTGTCTCGCAGTGTAGATTCCCAGTCCAGCAGTTTAGAATCTAGGTCAAGAGAAGGTGTAGGTGTAGGTAGAGATGCGGTTCCGTTCCCGGGTGCGGAACGGCCAACAGAATCAGCGGTCAGGCCACTGCAATCAGCAGCATCAGCAGGAGGAGGAGCAAGAGGATCAGGAGCAGGAGAGCAGAGCAGCTCACAGCCAGCAGTGCGGGAGAATGCGCAGGCAGCAGTGCGGGAGAATGCGCAGGCAGCAGTGCGGGAGAATGCGCACATACATCTGTTCACGGCTCGCAACGACATTGCTCTGCTGCTCTCCGAATTCATGGATGCCGGTATTCCCAAGGTACGCCAAGCAAGAGGCACTTTGCTTCCAAGGTATGGGCGTGCAAAACACATGCAACTTCTTTAACCTTTTTCTTCTTCTTCTTTGAAATCTCAAAACGCTTTGTTTTCTCCAGCTGTTGGTCGACTCAAAGGTTTTTCACATGCCGTGGTGGAGCCTTTTCAAACCTGAGCATTGTGGCAACGGGCGCCATTTTTCCCCCATTCTGTAGGTGCGTGCAGGCACAAGGCGTTCGACACAGTCGATGTGAGCAGCCTCAACAGCGGGCTGCTGAGCACGGGCCACTTCTACCTCTTCCACCACCTCTTTCCGTCCTTCCCTCCTTCACCCCTCTTTCCTGTCTCCCCAACCCTTGCAGGTGCGTGCAGGTGGAGGGTTCGACGATTTCCTGCTGTGCTGCGCGCACAAGGCGTTCGACACAGTCGATGTGAGCAGCCTGAACAGCGGGCTGCTGAGCACGGGTCACTTCTACCTCTTCCATCGCCTCTTTCCCTCCGTCCCTCCCTACCCTTGCAGGTGCGTGCAGGGAGAGGTTCTGACGACTTCCTTTTATGCTGCGGGCACAAGGCGTTTGATACAGTCGATGTCAGCGGCTTAAACAATGGGCTGCTGAGCACGGGCCACTTCTACCTCTTCCACCACATCGTGCGCCAAGACATGCGCCGCCAGATGCTGGGACTTGGAAGGGGAGAGGTGGCAGGGGTAGGAGATGCAGGGGGGAGCGGAGGGGCAGTGGCAGGGGGAGACGGAGCAGGAGGAGCGGGAGGGGGAGGTGGAATGGCGGAGGAGGCGTGGTGGAGGGAGCATGCGGAGTGGAATCGGCACAAGTATGTGCGCCTCACTGCTTCCCGGCCACCTGCTGCTGCAAAACCATCCAGCGGGCCTTCAGAACCTTCTGCTTCAGCTGCAAGTGCTTCATCCCCCCCCGCACCATCTGCTGTACAATCTACAGTACCATCCAGCGGGCCTTCAGAACCTTATGCTCCGCCGGACGGTTTTGCAGCAGCTGCTGCAGCTGCAAGCGCTTCATCCCCCCCCCCACCACATGCTGTAGAATCCACAGTACCATCCCCACCACTCCCACAATCAGCATCAGCAGCAGCACCACTTGCCTCGCCTCTTGAGCCATGTTCAGCCTCGTATACGCCACGTTCGTTCTTCTTCCCTTGGGCCAGAGCTGAACCCGCCAGGCACGGCAGCAGCAGCAGCAGCAGCACACTCGATTTGTCACCCGCTAGGAGTAGCGGCAAGCTGGGTACCAGTGCTTCTAGCCACAGCAACCCTCTGGTACGTACGCCTTTTGAGTCGACTCACCTTGTCTCTGTGCAAGTGATCGTCTCCTGTTTCATGCATCCCTTTCTCCTGCACACAACCCAACCCCCCTTGCAGTTTGACTCGTCACCACTCACCTGGGCATGTCCATGAGCAAAGTACGCACGGATTGGAAGGAGGAGGGAGAGGAGACTTGCGCGAGAAATCTCTGAAATGAGTCTGCTTTTGAGTCGACTCTGAAATGAGAGATGGCGTTGAACGATTTTCAAGAATCCTCAGGAGGATTGTCCGAAATTTGTATTCAACCCAAACATGGAAGTTGATAGGCACATACCCACGTATAGGCGGGACGTTATAGGCTGCAGCTTTACGAAAATCTTTCGCGCACGGCTGTATCCCAACACCGGAGAGGCCCACGGTACCAACCAGTATCAATTAAAGTAATATTCCTCCTTCAGTTTCATTTAGTGTTTCAAGAGGTTTTGTTTGGCACGTGTGGAACAACACATGCATCAGTAGTTCCGCTATTACTGTGCGGAAAATGGTACAAAGGAGAGTGTATCTGCAGATAACAGCTCAAGCACCCTGTGGTGTGGTCACTATGCATGGAGATATTCTGTTCTGTATACCTAATTGCATTCTTGAGGGTTTAGTTATATCTCAGATTAGTATTCTGCGTATAGCACGCATATATACAGTTCGACATTAATCTGTACAGTGCTGCGTCTCAGGATTCTGCCAGAGAAAAGGGCAAAGCAGGAAACATTCTGTCGCTTTCTTGCAATGAAGTGGTTCCGTGCGGTGCAGATGTCTCAAGACATCCAGATGACAAGCACAAGCTTCGCACAGCGAGAAGGCTGAAACCTGTACCATAATGCGCAACCACATTCAGGAAAAGGGCCTTAGAAGGAAGCGTGGTGGAGTGGATCGAGGGAGGAGTGGGGGCCTGGCGAGCGGCAGAGAGGGCACTGGAGACCCTTAAAGGGTGCTGAGCTGGCATCTAGAAGGCAGCGTGGAGCAGAGGAACGAGGGAGGAGTGCGGGGCTGGCGAGCGGCAGAGAGGGCACTCTGGTTTCTCGTTGCACCACTCCGCAATGCACCCCCTGGCAGGAGCGGGAGAGGGTAGATGCAGCAGGAAGGGGAGAGGTATAGATAAGGAGACGGTGGTATCGAACAAGACACGGCATGAGATAAGTGTGAGCAAAGGGAGAGTGGCAGAGGGCACTCGGGCTTCTCGTTGCAGCACGCTGCAATGCATGCACCCCCTGGGGGGAGTGGAAATGACGCATGGAGAAAAAGGGTAGAGAGAAAGAGATAAGAATCAGGGGTATTGAATAAGACAGGTCGACGGACTTCCCGCGGCCTCCCTGGTCGTCGTCGTTACTCTCTTCGCGGCCGGGGCACTTGTAGGAGAGGTGCTCGGGGTCGCCGCAGATCCAACACTCCCGCCGTCGACCGCCTCCGCCTCTACCGCTGTCCTGCGCCGAATTCGACCGGTCGGCGTCCTTCGCCGACTTCCCACTTCCGCTACCACCTCCTCTCTGCTTTCCACACTGCCCCTGTTGACGATTCTGCTTCGTCGGGGCGACGTAGTTCGCCTGCGAAAGGAGCTCCGTGGCTCGCTCTGCCTCCAGCATAGCCTCATCCTTGATGATGTGGCTCGACAACGTGTCCTCGTTCAGCGACTCGCGCACGCCGGGCATCGCCATCATCCGCCGCATAAGATTATAGCCGCTCGGCAGTCCCTTGACGACGTGCGTGATGTAGGACGCTGTCGAGTAGTCGACGCCCCCCATCCGCATGTTGGCGAGGATCCGTCGAGCTCGGTTGCAGTGGTCCGTTGCTGACTCCTGCTCGCCCATCCTCAGATGAGTCAAGCGCTCCTCCAGCTGGCCGATGTAGAGGTCGTCGGTCGCCTGGTACGTCGACAAGATGAACCGCCACGCCTGGTGGCCTGCGTCCTGTCGAAGTCGGCACGGCTTCAGAGCAATCTGCACCATCGGCGAGCAGCAGCGCGAGATGACCATGAAGGTCAGCAGATGAGCCGCGCGGAATTCTTCCCGCAGCTCGACGTCATCCTCTTCCGGCGTCACCACTTCGCAGTCGGCGAAACAATTCAGCCCTACAATTTCCAGCTGGGGCTCGATCGACTCCCTCCACGTAATGAGGTCTCGTCGACCTTCGAGCGGTATAGGCACGGCGATCTTGTCCGGCGAAAGATTAAAGTATCCGTAGGCTGGCGCAATTCCGCCCGACGTCACGTGCGTAGAAGAGCTCTGCCGCACTCCACTTCTCTGTGGGGAGCGACGTCGACCGTCGACGTCGCCGTGCGAGATGCCCGCACCCGGCGTTGACCGCTGCACTCGCGCATGTATTCCGCCGACTTCGTCGTCGGCGGCCTTGATCACTCCACTCATCCTCCTCGTGCCCTCGTCTCTGCCGACTTGGTCACCATCGTCGCCGTGCTCGTCGACGTCGCCTTCATTGCGACAGGTCGGGGCGAGGTAGACGCGCTGTCCGCTGCAGCACGGGGAGGTGGGTGGTCGCGCGCCCACTGTGCGCGAGTGCCGAGGAGTGCCCATTCCAAGGGGACCTTGCCGAACTCGCCAGCTCTATGGCGTCTCCTAACATCAGCCTCTCGAGTCTCCAAAGTATCCTCTACGCCCGCTTCAACAACAGAGTCAAACATGGCGACTACGAAAGCTGCCGGCCTACCAACGAATTAGAAAATGTGCACCTAAGTCGGCTACTCTGAAGGTATCTTTGCGGGGCCGTCCACGCTCACCGCACTATGCGGAGAGTCACTACACAACGGGAGTGGACTACGGAGGAAGGCACGGGGTTGTGCAGGTGATCGTAGCGTTGCACTAGGCATTCTCACTATTTGCTAGGTTCACAAGGAATTATGGCAAGAGTTTCACTAAGAAATTGAGAGAACATTGGATTACAATGAGGCATGCAATTCGATATAGCTAGAATGGCATTGCAACACCTAGCAAGCCCTCTGCAGGGCGAACTATGCCAGCACAGCAGAAGAGCGGCTTGCCAACGCTGCAGCAGAGTAGTCTGCCAGCCTTGCATAGCAGCGGTCTGCCGGCGCCGCAGAGGCAGTTGAAATTCTGCCCATGTGCGCACCTACCAAGTACGTGCAGGTAGACGGTCGTGCCGTCAGGCACATTGCGCAGGTGCCAGGTAGAACACGTGACGACGGTTTCGCCTGCAGTGCACCGTCGAGCACGAGATGCCGTTCCGCAGGTTGACTTCGCGAAAACCTCCTGAGGCGAAGTTCGCGCACATCTGCGACCTTCGCAGACGAGCAGCTTCAGTCGGGTGGTTCGACGCTCCTCCGTCGAACAGCCTTCGCCAAGACGAGCCCTCTACCGGCCTCGTCGAGGAGCTCCTCTACCGACCAGGTTCCGTCGAACCAAACTCCTCGACGGACTCGTCAACCAGCTTCCTCTGCGACCGCGTCCTCTGCGACCTCGTCGACCGCGTCCTCTGCGAGCTCGTCGACCAGCGTCATCTGCAGACGCGTCGAGGTCGAACTATACGGACAAGTCGAGGTCGAACTCTGCAACAGAGAGGTCTACTCGGGCTTTTCGTTGCACCACTCTGCAATGCACCCCCTGGGGGAGTGGAAACGACGGCACATGGGGAGGAGGGAGAAAGAGATGGATTGGGAGGTGGTGGAATTGAACAAGATAGGTCAGGGGGGAGTGAGAGAGGTGCCAGGGAGGAGTGAGGGAAGAGTGAGGGAGAAGGAGAGGGCGGAGTGCGGGAGGAGCGAGGGAGAAGGAGAGGGATGAGTGAGGGAGGAGCGAGAGAGGAAGGCGAGCAGGAGGGTATGTTGGGCGTACCAGCAGAATATGTGGCCGCAGGGGCAGCAGGTGGGGTGGGTGGGTGAGGAGGAGTGAGGAAGGAGAGGGAGGCAGAAGGACAGGAGTAGGGCATTAAGCATACCAGCAGAAGATGTGACCGCAGGGGCAACAGGTGGGGTGGGAGCGAGCAGCCAGACACAGCGAGCACCGACCACTGGCCTCACTCCCTGCCTCCCCCTCCGCTTCACCCTCTTGAGCCTCTTGAGACGCCTCTGCCTCTGCGCCCCACCCCTTGCTGGACTCAGGTGGAGCATTGGCTGCTGCCTGTGCGGCTGAGGATAGGTTTTGTATGGGGGGATGGGATGGGATAGGATGGGATAGGATGGGGCAGAGAACAGGGAGCACCGACCACTGGCCTCACTCCCTGCCTCCCCCTCTGCTTCACCCTCTTGAGACTCTTGAGACGCCTCTGCCTCTGCGCCCCACCCCTTGCTGGACTCAGGTGGAGCATCGGAGGCTGCCTGTGGGGCTGAGGATAGGTGGGGAAGAAGAAGAGAAGACGAGAAGCGTTGAGCATACCAGGAGGAGATGTGACCAGGAGATGTGAGGTGGAGCAGGTGGGGAGCAGGTGCGGAGCAGGTGGGGAGCAGGTGGGGAGCAGGTGGGGAGCAGGTGGGGAGCAGAGCAGGTGGGGAGAAGGAGGGGTGGCAGCAAGGCACAAAGAACATGCCTCACCTCGTGCGTCGAGTCATGCCATGCCTCACCTGTGGTTTTTGAGTCGACTCAAAAGTCAAAGCAGCAAGGCACATGGAGCATGCCCACTCCGTGCCTCGAGTCATCCCATGCCATGCCTCACCTCGTGCCTCGAGTCATCCCATGCCATGCCTCACCTGTGGTTGGCAATGGTAAGGCATGCGCCAGGGGTCTGTGTTGCAGCAGGGAACGGCGCAGCCAATCAGAGGAGAGAATGGTGAGCTGGATGAAGAGGAAGAAAGCGAGCATGTGATACCTGCCGTGTGGGGGGTGGGGTGGGATGGGATGGGATGGGATGGGATGGGATGGGATGTGATGGGATGGGATGGGGGGGCATGATTGGGAGATATGAACCATGTACACTCTTGGTATGGGGGCGGGCGGCACGTGGGTGGGAAGGGAGGGAAGGGAAGAAGGCGAGGTGGATGAAGAGGAAGAATGCGAGCATGTGGTACCTGCTGTGGGGGGGGTGGGGATGGGATGGGGGGGCATGGGTGAAGGATATGTGTCAAGTGCGCATGGGGGGAATGTGGGTGGGAAGGGAGGATGGTGAGGTGGATGGAGAGGAAGAATGCGAGCATGTGGTACCTGCCGTGGGGGGGGTGGGGATGGGATGGGCACATGAGATATGATGGGATGGGATGGTGTGGATATGTGCCATGAGCACATTTGGTGTGCGCGGCATGGGGGCGGCAGGAGTTGACTTTTGAGTCAACTCAAAAGTCAACATTTGGTGTGAGCAGCATGGGGGCGGCAGGAGAGGATGGTGAGCTGGATGAAGAGGAAGAAGGCGAGCATGTGGGATGGGGGAAGGGAGGCATGACACGGGTGGGAAGCACCGGTGAGGCATGCTGGATGCAGAGGGTCACCCTGACTCATGTTTCGAAGGGCTGCAGTAGTAGAGAGGACGCTTAAGCAAAGGAACAAACAGTAAAAACTGGTGAAAAAAACGCAGATCTGAAAAACCCTGCGTCCTCTCTACTACTGCAGCCCTTCGAAACATGAGTCAGGGTGAGGCATGCTGGATGCAGAGCAAGAATGCAAGAATGTGGTACCTGCCGTGTGTGGCTAGGGTGGGAAAGGCAGGTGGTTGTGCCGTGTAAATATATCGGACCCCTGTCTGTCGCCCTCTTGGCTACGTGCGGGTATGCTCCGTGCCAGTAGAACAGCAGCAGATGCGGCCTCCCCAGCAAGGTGACTTTTGAGTCGACTCAAAAGTCACCTCGTTACATGCGGGTATGCCCCGTGCCAGTAGAAGAGCAGCAGATGCGCCCTCCCCAGCAGCACAGTGGTTGCCTTTCTAGAGCGCGCTCACAAAAGAGCAGCAGAACACGAACCTGGGAGAGTAAGCAGGTGGCTGGGCTGTGAAGATATACCGAATGCCTGTCACTCGCTTTGCTATGTGCAGGTACGACCCGTGCCAGTAGAAGAGCAGCAGATGCGCCCTCCCCTCCTCAGCAGCAGAGTGGTGTCAACCGGGGAGCAGCCTGCTGCTCTGAGAAAACGAACCTGGGGGAATACGCGGGTGGTTGCGCCGTGTAAATGTATCGCACCCCTCTCACCCGCTTGGCTACATTCAGGCACGACTTTTGAGGCGCCTCAAAAAACCGTGGGTGGTAAGGGTGGAAAAGGCAGGTGGTTGCGCCGTGTAAATGTATCGCACCCCTCTCACCCGCTTGGCTACGTGCAGGTACGACCCGTGCCAGTAGAAGAGCAGCAGATGCGCCCTCCCCTCCTCAGCAGCAGAGTGGTTTCAGGGGGCTATGACAGAAGGCAGCTCTGCTCTTGTCTGAGACAACGAACCTGGGAGAGTAGGCAGGAGGTTGGGCCGTGTAAATGTATCGGACGCCTGTCACCCTCTTGGCTACATGCAGGTATGACCCGTGCCAGTAGAAAAACAGCAGATGCGTCAGATCCGTCGTTATTTCTCATTGAGAACCCGAGCTCTCAGAAAACGAACCTGGGAGAGTAGGCAGGTGGTTGTGCCGTGTAAATGTATCGGACCCCTGTCACTCGCTTTGCTATGTGCAAGTATGCCCCGTGCCAGTAGAAAAACAGCAGATGCGGCCTCCCCAGCAGCATCAACACATCCCCCCCTCGCGCTGCCACCCCCGCCCACACCACCAGCGCCCTCCTCCCCGTCTCCCTCACTCTCTCCCTCACTCTCTCCCTCACTCGCTCCCTCGCACGGCCCACCCAGTGCCACCCTGCCGCCGCAGCTGCCACCCATCCCAACCCCCTCCCAACGCTCACACTTGCTGCGTCCACACCGCCTCCCTCTATTGCGCCTCCCTCTCTCCCCCAGGTCCCTGCTGTCACCCCTCTCCCTCTCTGCACTGCTCCGCCCTCCACTGCTCCCCCATCCCTTGCTCCCCCCTCTCCTGCTGCTGCTCCCCCCTCCCCTGCTGCCCCTTCCACTGCTCTCCCCTCGCTTGCTGCTTCTCCCCCTTCCCCTGCTGCTGCGAGCGCCCTTCCCCGGGCAGCAGCGCGGGCGCTGATGTGAGCCGCTACAGCCGGGAGGAGGGCATGCAGTAGCACGAGGAAGAGGCGACGCGCTGGCGTGGGGGGAAGGTTGTAGCCGCCTGACACCTGAGATGGGGGGGCGGGGGTGGAAAGGGGAGAGATTGGCGCTGATGTGAGCCGCTACAGCCGGGAGGAGCGAGTGCAGCAGCACGATGGAGAGGCTGCGAGCTGGTGTAGTGTAGGGGGGAGATTGTAGCCTCCTGATACCTGGGAGAGTGGGACGGGGGTGGAAAGGGGAGAGATTGGCGCTGATGTGAGCCGCTACAGCTGGGAGGAGCGAGTGCAGCAGCACGAGGGAGAGGCTGCGAGCTGGTGTAGTGTAGGGGGGAGATTGTAGCCTCCTGATACCTGGGAGAGTGGGACGGGGGTGGAAAGGGGCTGCAGGGGCGCTATTGTGATCTGCTGCAGCCGGGAGGAGTGAATGTAACAGCACCAGGGAGAGGCGATACGCTGGCGTGGGGGGGGGGGGGGGGGGGGGGGGGGGGGGGGGGGGGGGGGGGGGGGGGGGTTGTAGCCGCGTGACACCTGAGAATGGGGGGATGGGCGTGCAAAGGGGCAGCAGCGCCTTTTGAGGCGCCTCAAAAGACCTGAGAATTGGGGGATGGGCGTGCAAAGGGGCAGCAGCGCGGGCGCTGATGTGAGCTGCAAAGGCAGGGAGCAGGGCGTGCAGTGCAGCAGCACGAGCGAGAGGCGGCGCGCTGGTGTAAGGGGGGAGATTCTGAAGTATGAAGGGGAGGGGGAAATACCTGCATTATGTAGCAATACTCCTCCCCTAGAGTCCTGCTGCCAGCGTGTGAGGGGAGGGGGAGCGGAAACACGATAATACATACTACCAGGACACTCATTACCTGCACGGGAGGGAAGAAACACTACGAGGGGGAGGGAGGAATACCTGCAGAATGTCGCAGTACTCCTCCCCTAGAGTCCTGCTGCCGCTGTGTGTGTGTGGGGGAAAGGGTGGGGGAGCACGTTAATAAAGTCTATCAGGATAGTTATTACCACGAGGAACAGTACCAAGGGGAGGGAGGAATACCTGCAGTATGTCGCAATACTCATCCCCTAGAGTCCTGCTGCCGACACCGGTGGTCACGAGGTAATAAAGACACCGCGCCGCCACGCGAATCGGGCCGCCCCATTGGCCCGCGACGCGGTGGCCGAGCTGCGAGCCAATGGCGTCGTGACACATGTCGCCCAGCGACGCCGCGTACAGCTCGTCCTTCTCCGCGGCGCGCATCACCTCCGGCTGCGCCGCCGGCGGAAACTGCACTCCGGGGGAAGCCGCCAGCGCGGAAGCCGCCGCCGGGGAAGCCGCCGGCGGGGCATCGGGCCGCCTACTGCTGACGATTTGCGCTGCCGAAGCAGACATGCCTAATCTTTCTGGCTCCTAACTTCTCACGGAAACTCAACACCCAGAGGGAAACTTTAGGTTGGGTTCAGCACATTGGAGTCCCTATAAGTCTCCTCGCTAATCCGAAAGATAGCCTCGTCGGCTGTTGTTTTACTGGATTAGGGCGCGTCGAGGTTTGTACATTTCTGTTCTGTGTTAGGGTTGTGAAGGGGTTTGTTTTCTTCAACGCTCTTAACCGCAGCTGACCTCGCTGAATCGTGATGCATGAACCGCATACTACCCTTGAGAAATTATTTTCAACCGCTTATTTTCATGCAAAACCCCCTGTGAGACCGCTTTTGTACAAATACTGTACTGTACCAGGATGCGCAGTCTCCAGGAGCTTTGTGATTGGTTCGACTTCAAAACTGTACCCCCCCTCCCTCCACCCAGGCTGCATTCAAGCAACTGAGAAATCACCACGTTGGTTTTGCTCGGGCCTAGTTTCCACAGAAAGTTATCCTTCAGTACCCCCAAATACATGCAAGTTATGAGTTCTGGTCTAAAATTCTGGCAAAATTCTGTGAGTGGTGCTAGACTGGATCTTCTCCATAATCTGTGTGCAGAATCACATAAGTGCGATCTCTGTGATGCTGCTACATTCACACCGAGCCTTGCAGTTGCTACTAGTCTTTCAGCACAAATATGCCGGAGATTTCAGCAACTACCCAGACTTTTGCAAGTTACAGCGCTGCGACCTTGACTGCATACAGTCCCTGGCGGAACTTTGTTGTTTGCCCTGAGCAGTGCTCGCTGTGGGTTACTGTTTTAGCAATGCATCACAGCTTCTCAAGGAATTCCGTGGCTTCAGCGAGGGTACAGTTACTTGTATTTCGGCCTTGAAGCCATCAGTTTTTGCAGGCAGGAACGACGGTCGGAGGCCATTGTTTCTTTTGTTTTGATGGTCCAGCAACAGTAAGGCAATAGGTTCATCACTCTTCTGGCTCAGCTTTTGATTCCGAGTTTCGGGTTCCGATATCCCGGCTCGATCCCTCCATTCATCCTCCTTTCTGTCCTCTCCTCACGGACTGAGCAACCCCCATTGATTCTAGAAACGAGACTGGTGTAACTGCAAGGTGGTCCTTATGTCAAAGGTGGTGTGGTGAGCACATGCGTGCTCCATCAGCCGAGCATTGATTCTTGGAAGGGATGCCTACTTCAGGCATCATATGGACCAAAAAGGCATGTGGTGGCTGCTACTCGGCCCATTCTCATGGCTCGCGAAGTGTAGCTTTTTTCTTCGCGGTCAGTTCCAAAGCGACACATCTGGACGCCGAGTTTTATTTGTTTCCCAGAGCACGGCTCGGATCGGATCAGATTGCAGAGCTTCTTGGGCCCTCTCTGTGCGGTGCGGTGCCTTGTCTAGACTCGGAGCGATTCGTCGTTTACAGTTTAGACGGAAGCGTAGCGGAACCTCTTACTTTTCGTTGTTTCGTAAGCAGCAAGAATTCATCGATAGCATAGCAGCACCGTGCTGACAGCAAGAACCGTACATAGCAGCAACACGAGTCGCACGCAACGAAGGCGGCGGCGCAGTCTCAAGGCCGTTTCCCCCCTCGACCATGCAGTAGCGCGACCGTCGATTAACGCTCGTTTTGTCGGGGGAAGGCGCGGAGGGCGGGCGGGACGGGGAGGGCGATGCGCGGTCGTTTGTGTCCGCTGAGGCCTTTAGAAGACGAGAGTGCATACTTCGTAATTTCCGTTAATCGTCCCGATATCGCGGGATCCAGGTGATGCGAGGTGCGATCGTTAACTCCGAGTCGGAGCCACACAGCGTCTCGGAGAGGAAAAGCGTCGCTCTTAGTAGTACTCTCACGCTCCCATCCTTCTTAAGATGCGACGCATGAGTCGCCATCATCGAAATGTCGTTATGTTGCGGCGACGAACCGCGGACGTTTGATTCCGAGTCGGAGCCATGATAGAGCCTTGAGAGGTAAAACCATTTCTGTCTGAGATCTCTCATTCTGGAGCTTCCATCGTCCTAATGGTGCGAGCTTCAGGCAGAACATAGTTGACTTTCGAGTCGACTAGAATATACAGCTTTGAGAGGAAAATATATATTTTCTGACGCTTCTATCGCCCTAGTAATGGTGCGAGCTGCAGGCAGGGCGGCATCGCCGCACTCCGCGGCAAAGCCGTCATCAAGCACCAGCATCCTTCCGCTAATCACCGCCGGCCACGTGTCCTCCATCTGGCACGACATCCTCCTGATTCCGCCTGCTCCCCCCGCGCCTGCGCGTACCCACTCCCCCTCCGGGATCTCCGCGCGGCGCCATCAGCATCATCGTCGGCAGCATAATCACCATGATGACAATAATCTTCATCATCGTCATGATTCTCCGCCGGCGGCGGCGGCGGCGCTCTCGACCTCCACCTTCACGTTCGTCTGCCGCTCCGCCGCTTCCCGTTCCGCCGAGTCGCCCTCCGCCGCCCACGACGGCGGCGGCGGCGGCGGCGGGGGAGGGCGGCCGAAGGACCACCCTCTGCGAAAGACGTTTCTCGAGAAGCGGAAAATATTGGCGCTGGACGGCAGTCTTAAAGTGCAAGCTGTCCCGTCGTCGACATCTTCAAAGTCCAAATCGGCCGAGTCGCCCGAGTCGCCCGAGTCGCTGCTGCTGGCGGCGCCGTGGAATATGGGCATTCTGCCGCAGACGTGCGTTCTCGCGCCGCGATCCATGTCGATGTTTTTCCACTGGGGAGTTGACGGGGATCCAACAGAAGAGAGAGAGAGAAATCGCAGAAATATTGGCAGTCTCTTCGATTCTAACGGTGACGATGATAATTTGAACGGTGAGGTTTCTGTGAAGGAGTTTAAAGATTCGCTCGTAACGGCGTGCGACAACTCGCCGCTTGAAGCGCTCGAGATTGGGTCGCACGCGCGCGAACCTGGCGACGTGTACGACGTTCTGCCGCTGCTGGCGATGCCCTTGCGACTGATGGGGGCGGAGCGAAGCAGCATGCCGATTTCGTGGAGGATTGTAACCATCGCAGCGGACGACGAGCTGGTGACAAATGGGCAGCTGAAAAATATCGTTCGCAGCCGATTGGACGAAGTGCGAGATTGGGCAGAAAAAACAGAGTTTTACAGCGAAATCGCAGGAGCAGGTATATATAGCCTCCCCCAGTAAACCAACCGTGTCGCCTCTTTTTTCCTTTCCCCTCGTCGATTCTCGTTGCGTGAATTTTGGTTCCTCGCCTCTTTTTTTTTTTATACATATTCGCTTGGTTTTTTTGTTACATTTGGTGTACAGGTCGATCTGTCAACTCCTGCGCCAAACTTCTCCCCTCTTTCTCATTCGTCGAAAGGCGTCCCACGGGCGGCGCAGCGGTTCCGGGGGAGCGCGGGGACCCCAAGGCGGGTTCCGCGGAGGGCAGGGAGAAGCAAGCGCCAGAGCAGCAACACGAAGCGGAGGAGTGCATTTGGGAAGCTAAGAACACGTGGAAGAATAAAAAGGCGAGGGGACGGATAAATCCCGCGGCGGAGAGCGCGGCGCGAGCGGTGGCGCAAGCAGCGGAAGCGGCGGCGGAAGCAGCAGCGGAAGCAGCGGCAGAAGCGGCAGCAGAGGCGGAGCACACGATTAGATACGCGCACAGCACGTGGCGGATTCTCTGCCACTCGCTGCGCCGCCCCGTGCTGCGGCGCATTGCGCATGTACCGGAGAGCCATGGGCGGGAGCGCGAGGAGGCGGCGCAAGCGGCTGTCCGGGAGCTGGGGGGGGGCGGGGGAGGAGATGCGGAAGCGCAGGGGAAGGGACATGGGGAGAAGGGGCATGGGCATGGGCATTGGCATTTGCATTGGCATAAGCATGGGGATGGGCATGGGCACAAGCATTGGCACAAGCATGGGCATAAGGATGGGCATGAGCATGAGGAGGAGGAGGAGGAGAAGCAGGAGCGGAAATCACCCAAGGGGCACGACGGGGGAGGAGGTGTGAGAAGTGGCAACAGCAAGGGCGCGCCTGTTGCTGCTTCTGCTGCGTTCTCGGCTGCGTTCAAGACTGCTTCTGCCTCCGCTCACGACCGGCCTCGCAAGCACGCTCACGCTCACGCGCACGCACTCTCGCTCGCGCACCCACGGCCGTTGTCAGTGTCTTTCGCTGCTGGTACTGCTCGTGGTGGCGAGTCCCTGCTGCAGCACGCGCATTCACGGCCCTATTCAGCGTCTTTCGCTGCTGCTGCTGCTGCTGCTGCTGCTGGTACTGCTGGCGAGTCCCCTCGGGAGCACGCTCACTCGCACTCGCTCGCGCACCCACAGCCGTTGTCAGTGTCTTTTGCTGCTCGTACTGCTGGCGAGTCCCCTCGGGAGCACGCTCAATTGCACTCACGGCCGTCGTCAGCGTCTCTCCCTGCGGCTACTGCTGCTGCTGCTGCTGCTTCTGCTGGTACTGAAGAGTCCCCGCAGGAGCAGGCTCACTCGCAGGAGGCTCATAGTGAATCTCGCGACGAGTCTCGTAACGAGCTGGAGAAAGAGTCTCATAACGAGTTAGAGAAAGAGTCTCAGAAGGAGTCTCATAAAGATTCTTATGAGTCCTTTAACGAGTCACAAAAGTGGCTCCACAGGGAGTCTCATGCTGATACCCCTCATTCTCATCACGGGTCTCGTAAGTGGTTCCACAAGCATTCTCACAGGGACTCCCATGCGGAGTCCCCTCATTCTCCTCACGAGTCCAAGTCGTTTCATAAGCATTCTCAGAAGGACTCTCACGAGAATTCTTCTCCCCACGACTCGCACAAATGGTTTCACAAGCATTCTCACAGGGACTCTCACGGAGAGTCTCCCCACTCCCATCACGAGTCCCATAAATGGTTCCACAAGCATCATTCCCACAGGGACTCTCATGCGGAGTCCCCTCATTCTCATCACGAGTCCAAGTCGTTTCATAAGCACTCTCACGGGGACTCTCATGGTCATTCTTCTCCCCACGAGTCCCGCAAGTGGTTTCACAAGCATCATTCTCACGACGAGTCCCGTGCTGAGTCTCCGCATTCTCCCCACGAGTCTCACAAATGGTTTCACAAGCATTCTCATAGGGTATCTTTCGAGGTGCCTCATAACGAGTCCCACAAGTGGCCTCATAAGGAGTCTCACAAGGAGTCTTATAAGGAGTCTTTTAAGGAGTCTCCAAATCAGGCCCAAAAAAACCACCCATTTAAGCAAATCCATCCGTCCTCATCCGCGGGGGACCTCGGAATCACCAGCAGCGCCGCCTGGAGATTAATCGCCCCTCCAGAAAGCTATGGCCTTCCGGGACTAATCACCCCCAGGGTCGGGGACAGTCTGGGCGGGAGCGGGGGAAGGGGAGGACGACGAGGGGAAAGTGGAGAAGGATGGGGCGAGGGGAGCAGCGTGCGCAGGCAGAGGCACAGTTGCACAGACCTGACCGACCTTACCGCTATGGGGGAGGGGGAGCAGCATGACTGGTTGAACAGCCCTGGTCTCGCTGGGTTCAAGGAGTATTTAACTGGTTCACACGCAGGCGGGTCGCTGCATGGGACGGGGAGAAGAAGCGGGCTTCGAGTTTCCATGGGGGAGAGACCTGGGGGATACGAGGGGTATGAGGGATATGAGAGGCATGAGGGGTATGAGAAGCATGAGAGATATGAGAAGCATGAGTGGTTGCGCAGTCCTTCTGCTGGTCAGGGGATTCTCATTGCTGCCCGGGGGGCTGTTGAAGGCGCAAAGGGTGTGGCGGATAAAGTAGCAGGCGTTGCTGCTAAACGCATTGCTGTAGCAGGGGCTGTAGCGGGGACGGTAGCGGGGACTGTAGCGGGGACAGTGGCAGGGACTGTAGCGGGGACGGCAGAGCACGTGGCTGGGAATGTGGCAGGGGCAGCAGGAGTGGTGGTGGGGAAAGTGACTGGCGCGGCAGGCGTGGTGGGAGGTTTGGTAACCGGGGCTGCTGGTAAGGTAGCCGGGGCTGTAGCGGGGAGAGCAGAGCACGTGGCTGGGAATGTAGCAGGGGCGGCAGGAGTGGTGGTGGGAAAAGTAACCGGCGCTGCAGGCGTGGTGGGAGGTTCGGTGACCGGGGCTGCTGGTAAGGTAGCTGGGGCTGCAGGGACGGTAGTGGGTACGGTAGCTGGGGCCGCAGGTACGGTAGCAGGTACGGTAGCGGGTACGGTAGCTGGTGCTGCAGGTACGGTCGCAGGTACGGTGGCCGGTGCTGCAGGTACAGTAGCAGGTACGGTAGCACATCTACCCAAGGATGCTGTAGGGGCTGTGTCTCGGAGGGTGCGGAATATAGGCGCGGGGGGAAAGGCGATGAGTGCGCGTGTGCGGAAGGGAGCGGAGGCTCGGATCGAAGCTGCCCAGAGCTCGGTGAAATCCGTGAGTGCAAGAGTGCAGCGGAACACCGGGGCCAGCTTCGGAGTGGCTCGGCATGCTGTGGAGGAGAGGCTCGGAATGGGGCAGCATGGTTCGGAGGAGAGGCTCGGGGTGGATTGGCATGGTGTGGAGGGTGGGAGTGCAGTGTTTGAGTCGTTTGAATTGGTGGGTGAGAATAGTTCGGAGGGAGGGAGTGCGGTGCTCGAGTTGTTTGGAAGGGCGGGTGAAGCTGGTTCGGAGGGTGGGAGTGTGGTGCTAGAATCGTTTGAAAGGGCGGTTGAGAATGGTTCGGAGGGTGAAAGTGTGGTGCTAGAATCGTTTGAAAGGGTGGTTGAAGCTGGTTCGGAGGGTGGGAGTGTGCGGGGGATGCCACAAACAGAGGCAAATTCGGGGCCGGAGGCGAGTTCTGGTGCAGAGGCGATTGGAGCGGTTCAAAGCGGTGTGGAGGAGTGTAGCAGTGTGAGGGTGCGGAGGAGAGGAGGCTCAGGGGCGCATCCTAATCTGGATGCGTCTCAGCGGAGTGAGGGTGCCGTGAGTAATGACTCGCGTTTATGCGAGTTGGAGAGCACTAGTGGGGGAGTGCAGAACGGTGCAGAGGAGTGTAGCAGTGTGAGATTGGGGCGTGGAGGCTCAGGGGCGCGTTCAGACTTGCAGGCGTCTCAGCGGAGTGAGGGTGCAGCGAGTGTTGAGTTGAATGAAAGAGAAGTGGAGAGCAAGAGTGGGGGAGTGCAGAGCGGTGTAAAGGAGTCTACGGGTGTGGGAGTAGGGAGAGGCGGCTCAGGGGCACTTTCTAATCTGGATGCGTCTCAGCAGAGTGAGGGTGGGGCGAGGAGTGAGTCGCTTGAACGCGAGGTGGAGAGAGAGAGTGGGGGAGTGCAGAGCGGTGCAGAGGCGTATTCCGAGGCACCTGGGAACGAGGCGAGGAGTGTGAGTGGGATAGTGGGAAGAGGGGGGCCAAGGGAACACGAGGAAAGTTCGAGGCAACACGAAGAAAGTCTGAGGCAACGAGAGGAAAGGCTGAGACAACTTGAGGAAAGCCTGAGGCAACGCGAGGAAGGTCTGAGGCAGCAGGAGGAAAGCTTGAAGCAACGATTTGCTAAGTCCAAGAGCAGGAAAGCCAAAGGAGGGATCGGAGAAAGTGAAAGGTTGGTTGTTTCTGAGTCTGAAGAAAGCAGGAGCGGAAAGGGCAGAGGGAGCGGAGGGAGCAAAAAGGGCAAAGGGAGGGGAGGGAGTGTAGGGAGCGTAGAAAGTGGGGGATTGGTTGTTTCTGAATCTGAAGAAAGCAGGAGGAGCGGAAAGGGCAGAGGGAGCGGTGGGATCAAAAAGAGCAAAGGGAGGGGAGGGAGTGTAGGGAGCGTGGAAAGTGGGGGATTGGTTGTTTCTGAATCTGAAGAAAGCAGAAGGAGCGGTAAGGGCAGAGGGGCCGGTGGGAGCAAGAAGAGGAGCCGAAAGAGTGGAGTGAGTGGAGGGAGTGGGAGAGGTTCTTGTGAGTCTGTTTCTAAGGAGGGTGGAATCGGAACGAAAGGCGGGAAGGGAGGAGGCGAGGAGGAAGGGGGGGAAGTGAGCAGTCGCAGTCACAGGGGCGAATCCCTCACTATAAGCACAAAGCACCGTAAAAGAGCCTCCCTTGATAGAATGACAGTGAGCCCTCCTCTTTCCACGCCAGCAGCCACTCCTCCTCTCTCCCCCTCTTCCGTCTCACCTCCTCATACTCTTTTTGAGGCGCCTCAAAAGCCCTCTCCTCCTCTCTCCTCCTCTTCCGTCTCACCTCCTCATACTCCATGTCAGCACTCCCCTCTTCTCCTTGCTTCTCACTCCTTCAACCTCTCTTCCACCTCTAGCTCTAGTGCCCTCTATGACCATTTAGCTGCCTCCTCTTGTGAGTCGACTCACAAGTTAGCTGGAGCAGGAGAAAACGCAGAGGCAGGAGCAGGAGCTAAAGCAGCAGCAGGAGAAAAAGCAGCAAGGCGACCAGAATTAGCAGGAGCAAAAGCAGCAGCAGGAAATGTAAAAGGAGCAGGGGGAGTAAAAGCAGCAGCAGGAGCAACAGCAGCAGCAGCAGGAGCAAAAACAGCAGCGGGAGAAGAAGCAGATGCGGGAGGAAAGCCACCAGGAGGAGAAGTGGTAGCAGCAGGAGGAAAGGCAGCAGCAGGAGGAGCGGGGGAAGGAGCAAATGCAGCAAAAGAAACAAAAGTAGCAAAAGGAGCAAAAGCAGCAAAAGGAGCAAAAGGAGCAAAATCAGCAAAGGTAGCAAAAGGATCAAAAGTAGCAAAAGGAGCAGATGCAGCAGGAGCAGAAGGAGCAGGAGAAGGGAGCGGGGGAGCAGCAGGGGCCGCGGGCGGAGCAGCAGGAGTGGGGGAAGGAGCAGTGGTTGCAGTACGAAAGAGGAGTGCACCTCGATGTGCGGCGAAAAGCAGGGAAGATGAAGCAAGCACAGCTGCACCTGCTGCGTCTGTTCCTGCTGATGCACCTTCAACCTTTGCTCCTACTGCTGTGCCTGCTGCTTGTGCTGCTCCCACTGATGCACCTGCAGCTAATGGGCTAGCGGTGTGTGGGAACGCTGACTCTGCCAGGCCTGCTGCACTTGCTGCATTTGATTCTGCAGCTGCAACTACTGCTTTGGCTTTCACTGATGCACCTGCAGCTTATGGGCTTGCGGTGTGTGGGAATGCTGAGGCCGCCACACCTGCCACACCTGCCACACCTGCTGCACCTGCAGCTTATGGGCCAGCGGTGTGTGAAAACGGTGAGGCCGCCAGGCCTGCCGCACCTGTGATAGAAGGGACAGCACGGCACAAGTATGGAAATTTTCCTGATCTTGCTCCTCCTGATCCTGCCCATAGTGCCCCTGCTCATAGTGCTCCTACGGAACCTCCTGCCGATTCTTCTCCTCCTGATCTAGCTCCTTCTCATACTGCTCCTGATGCTGCTGATATTGCTACTGGTGGTAATGGGGTTGCAGAACGAAAGTGTGGAAATACGGGTGCTGCACCTGCTGATGTCGTGCCTGCTGCTGTCGTGCCTGCTGCTGCTCCTGCTGCTGCTGCTCCTGCTGCTGTTGCACCTGCTGTTGTTGAGCATGCCGCTGCTGCTGCTGCTGCTGCCGCTGCTGCTGCTGCACCTTCTTCTCCTGCTGCTGCTGGTGCTGCTCCTGCTGCTGGCGGCGCCAGTCACGCAGCAGCGGGATCTGTTGGCGCTGCCCGACTTTCTTCCAAGCCTTCCTGGAAGTTTCTTCCAACCTTTGGGCCATGTGTTACGTGTTTTAGTTTCGACAAGAAGACCCTGGCCGAGCTTGGTGATAATGCACCAGGGGGGCTTTTAGCCAGACTGGAAAAGACGGGTATTGCTAGGTGATATAATATAGATACCAAGGGTTTTAGCTGCTTAAAGCCGGGGTGCAATATTCTAAGGAACAGCAGTGGAACTGTAGGCCATGGTGTGAAGCAGGTCTCCAATTGGTGCGCACGCGCTTCCTCCACACAACGAACTCTTGTTGTTGGACGGGGCGAGTATACTGAGAGCACCCTCTCTTCTAGTTATAGACTGCTTTCTGAACTGGAGACACTTACCTGCACGCATGCTTTTTTACTTCTAAGTATAAAGGTAGATATGATGAAATTACCACTAATAGGGTGATGACACCGTAACAGTTCAAGAACAATTATTGTGAATAATAGTTCGCTTAGTGTGAAAGTGTAACATGGAGTGATGTTACGAGTGCAATTGAGTGAGCGAACGAGAACTGCACTATCGAAGCAAGAGTACAATGAGCGAAGGCATGAGCGAAGAATATATAGCGAAACTACTGTGGTAACGGTAATGTGTGAAAAATGGGGTGCGCGACGGGCCTGGTGCCGAGGTTGGGAAAGTGTCGAGGCGGAGGTCCGGAGCGCGGGTTACCAGCCGAACCGTGAGGTTGGGTCGCGTCGTGAATGGTGGCGGGAATGGTGTCGAAGCGAGTGTCGCGAGTGGTAACGGATTACTGTTGGGTGCTGTGGGTGGGAATAGTGGTGTACGCGCTGAGCAGGGACGCGAAGTAAGGAAAAGGAAATTTCCTTACACTACCCCCCCTCCCAAGGAGGCCCCTCTTACGAGAGCGCGTGTACATCTCGGAAGTTTCGGCTTCGCAGATACTCGGTGAGGACAGGGTGTTTCGCAATTCTATCCAGGGGGACCCAGTTGTCTTTGGTGGGGGTGCGGTCCTTCCAACGGATCAGGAATTCGATTCTGCGGGCTCCCCGTGGGTCACGTACTCGATGGCTCAGTATTTTCTCAGGTGTGATGACCAGCTCAGTTGGAGGTCAGGTCATGCTGGCGGGGCGGTTGCGGGGCAGTTGGCTGGTGGATGGCACGTATGGGCGAAGCAGGCTGACGTGGAATGACGGGCTGACGTACCAGTCAGCAGGGAGGAGGAGGTGGGCGGTGACGGGTGTGATCATGTGGCTGATGCCAAATGGCCCGCAATATCGGGGGCGGAGTTTCGGGGTGATGGGCAGGCGGAGGTTTTGGGTGTCGAGTAAAACTAGGTCGTTTGGCTGGTAAGTGACGGGGCGGCGGTGTCGGTCGGCGTTGCGCTTAGCGATGACGTTTGATTTTTTTATTGCTTCTGCTGCTCGGGTCCGTGCTGCTTGTAATATCTCTGCGAACTGTTGTGCGCGTGGGACTGGGTTGTCGGGATTCGGGGTCATGGGTACTGTGGGGTCTTGTCCGTAGTTCAGGTAAAACGGTGACTGTTGGGTCGTGGCGGATGGTGAGTTATTGTATGCGAATTCGATGAGTGGCAGTTGCTGTTCCCACGTGGTCGGGTCGTCGCACGTGGCTCGGATGAGCTGTTCCATGGTCTGATTTGTCCGTTCTGTCTGTCCGTCGGTTTCGGGGTGGTACGATGAACTGAATTGCAGTCGCGTGCCGAACTGCTGCCACAGGTTCCGCCAGAAGTTGCTGGTGAATTTCGTATCTCTGTCGCTGATGATCGATGCTGGTATCCCGTGCAGTCGTACGACGGTGACGATGAAGAGGCGGGCTGTTTCTTCGGCTGTGATTGATTTCTTGCAGGCTGCGAAGTGTGCCATTTTCGTCAGTCGATCGACGACGACCAGGATCGCGTCATTCCCACTCGTTCCGGCAGGTAACCCCGTGACGAAGTCCATCGTCACCTGCTGCCAAGCACGCTCTGGGGGTGGGATCGGCTGCAACTGTCCTGCCGGCCGCTTCCGTGATGACTTCATGATCTGGCAAGTGGGACACGATGCCACGTGTCGTTGAACGTCGGTCAACATTTCGGGCCAGTAATAATACCGCTGCAGCTGCTGCCGTGTTTTCTCTACCCCGAAATGTCCCGAGGTAATTCCGTCGTGTGCCTCCTGTAACAGTAATTCCCGTAGCAGTGTGTACCCCGGTACCCAGATGCGGTCGGTCCCGGCTTTTACGTAATAGACTCCTTTTGCTGCTGCGAACTGCTGCGAATTTCCTCCTGTGAAGAATGGGTCCGTTTGGTATCCGTGGGTAAATAGTCCGGTCAGTAGCGGGTTGGTCTGGGCGAGTAGTATCGCGTGGATCTGGGCAGTGGGCCGGGTCAGTGCGTCGGCGATGTTCGAGGCTCCCTTTTTATAGGTGACCGTGTAATGAAAATTGGACTCGAGGAAATCGAGCCAGCGAATCTGTCGTGGGTTGAGGTGGGGCTGTGCGCGGAGGTACTGTAGTGATCGGTGGTCTGTCCGTACTGTCACGTCTGCGCCGGTCAAGTAACAGCGCCGTACTTTGAACGCATGCACGATCGCGAGCATTTCGCGGTCGTGTATCGGGTAGTTTTTTTCGGGCGGATGCAGCTTTCGTGACTCGTATGCGATAGGCTGTAGGCCGTTGCCGAAATCCTGTAGCAGTACGGCTCCAATGGCGATGTCGCTTGCGTCTGTAATAACTTCGAAAGGGCGGTGTGGGTCAGCGATGCGCAGTACGGGCGGGGAGCAGAGGACGGTTTTCAGGGCAGAGAAGGCAGCATGCTCTTTCTCCCCCCACGTAAAAATGACCCCCTTTCGTAGCAGATCCGTCAGTGGGGCTGTTAATTGTGCCATGTCGGGGACGAACCGACGCACATAATTAACAAACCCTAAAAAACTCTGCAGCTCCGTGATGTTTGTCGGGGGATGCCACGCTTTTACCGTGTCCAACTTCTTCGGGTCGATTTCAACCCCAGCCTTCGAAATAACGTGCCCTAAAAACTCTAGCCTGTCTTGAAAGAACTCGCACTTGGAACCCTTGGTCAGTAGTCTGTGCTCGTCTAAAACCTTAAATACTGCTTCCAAATCTGCTAAGTGCTGCTGCTTGTCCCGACTGTAAACCAGGATGTCGTCGAGGTAAACTATCACGCATTTATCTAAGAGCGGCCTAAACGCCTCGTTCATGGTCATCTGAAAAGTCGCCGGTGCGTTGGTCAGTCCGAATGGCATCACCGTGTATTCGAATGATCCGTATCTAGTCCTGAAAGCTGTTTTGGCGCAGTCCGATGGTTCGACCCTAATCTGGTGGTAACCTCCCCGTAAATCTATTTTCGAAAAAACCCGTGCTGTTCGCAGTTGGTCTATCAGTTCGTCGGCGCGGGGAATGGGGTATCGCGATTTGACTGTTACCCGGTTCAGTGCTCTGTAGTCGATGCACATGCGAAACCTTCCATCGTTTTTCGGTGTGAACAGTATCGGTGCGGCAAACGGTGACGAGCTCGGTCGGATGAATTTCTTCTCTAATAGGTAATCTAACTGCTTCCTCAGTTCGTCGAGCTCGGGTTGTGTCAGTCTGAACTGTCGCTGTACGGTTGGCTGTGCCCCCGGTTCTAACTCTATGCGATGGTCGTGTGCCCGCTGAGGCGGCAGTCCCTCCGGTAAATCATCCGGAAAAATCCCCGGGTATCGTTTCAACAGTTCCTGCAGTTCGGGCGGTACCGCTGCCAGCAGTTTCTGAAAATCACTCGGCTGCTCTGCTTCTCCTATCAATGCTATATCTACTGCGTACACGTCAGCTCCAGCGGCGACAGCCCGTTTCATCGTGACGGCGTTGACGTGGACCGTTGAAGATTCGGGCGACTGCCAGCGAGGTAGCACGACCCAGTTACCGCTACTTCGCACAGTGCAACTACCCGTCGTCCAGTCAATTCGCGGGTTATACCGTCGCAGCCAATCACGTCCCAGTAGAATGTCGTGCCCATCCAATGTCGTCGCGAGCATTTCCTGTGTAAACCCAAAGTTCCCCCCGCAGCGGACCTTTACTCTCTCCACTTTCTCCCGTATGGCCAGCGGCGTTCCGTCCACTAAGCGTGCATCTATTTCCGGTAAACACCGACTAAGTGTCAGTTGCAGCTTTCGTGCGGTTGCGGTATTAACTAAGCTGTGGCTTGCTCCTCCGTCTATAAAGATCTTTACTGCTGCTCCCTGTATTTTCCCGTAAATCAGTACTGGGCAATCCGTCGCTGTACCCTCCTTATTCATCCGAGCCCGATCGATAGCGTGAATCGGTACTGTGACTCGGTGAGGGTCGGTGCGGTTGGGCGAGCAGGCAGTCTCGTCAGTAGTTGGCCCAACTTCTACTGACTGCTGGCGTTTCCTTGCCTCTGAGACTCCCTCCCCTGCTCTGCTCCGCGGCGTCTCAGCTCCTCTGGGCATTCGCTCTTGCGATGGCCCGGCCTGTTGCAAGCAAAGCAGCGCCCCTTAAACGGCGCAGCAGCTGCATTTGTCGCAACGGCGTGTACAGTGGCGTGCTCGGTCGGTCCCCGAGGACGATGTCCGTAGTAGGACCCCGGTCTCGGTCGGCGTAGAATGTCGATTTTCTCGGCGAGCGCGAGAATCTCGTTGAAGTTCGAGAGTCCGCGCAGCATGATCTCGTGCGAGATATCCGGCTTCAGCCCTCCAACGTAACGGTCCACCCGCTCCGCTTCGTGCATGTAGCCGACTTGCTCGCAAAGTGCGAGAAAACCGCTCGTGTAATCTTGAACCGACCCGAGCTGCCGCCAAGTGCGCAACCTCTGACGCGCCGAAATAGAAGCCGCGATTGGCTCGAAGCGCGCCCGAAGCCCTGCGCACCACGCATCCCACGTGCTGTATTGGGCGATCTCGCAAAAAGAACTCCAGGTGACAGCTGGACCCGTGGGCCCTTCCTCTTGCGACAGTGGCTCGTAGGCGCGTGGCGACGTCACGATGACTCGCCACCAGTCCATGGCGGGGCCCCTTAGCAGCGAAACGGCATACCGAATCTTCGCTGCGTCCGACTCGACGTAATTCGCGTCGAAGAAGACGTTCATCGTGAAGACCCACGATTGAACCGTCGGACCTCCACGCTGGCTCGGGTCGAAACAGTGCGGGCGTTGCGGCTTGAGTGGCATTGGTGCCATAATGGCCTGTCCGCCATTTGTCGCTGCAAACTCCACGTGCCGACGGGCTTCGCGAGGCTCCCGCGGGCTTGGCGCAACCCTGTTTCCTCCCATGCCAGGCATTGGTTGGGCGGCGCTATCACTGGCTGCACCTGAGCGCTGTCCCACGCTGTCGTGCTGTGTTGGTGTACCGGACGAGATGATGATTGGCTCGTCCGATTGTGCAGGTGCATTTGTTGGTGCGTGTGGTGCTGCTGGAGTGTTCACCGAAGACTGCTGACGCGCGGAGTCACGTTCCGCCGTGAGCGTCGCTATTTCGAGTGCCGAATCTTCAACTTGGCGCACCAGACGGTCGAGCTGCTCCTGCGTCAAGGTCGCGAGATTGAATTCGGCCATGGTGGGGGTGTCGGGCAAGCTCAGCGAGAGCCTCGGTCGTGGCCGTGCGTGCTTACGAGAGAGCACTACAAGCGGCGGTGCTGTGTCGCTGAGAGACGTCTACCCCCCCCCCAAAAATTGAGATAGTGGGGAAGCGAAGGTGTGGGTGCGGTCCGAGAAGAGATCGTAGGCTCTGAATACCAAGTGTTACGAGTGCAATTGAGTGAGCGAACGAGAACTGCACCATCGAAGCAAGAGTACAATGAGCGAAGGCATGAGCGAAGAATATATAGCGAAACTACAGTGGTAACGGTAATGTGTGAAAAATGGGGTGCGCGACGGGCCTGGTGCCGAGGTTGGGAAAGTGTCGAGGCGGAGGTCCGGAGCGCGGGTTACCAACCGAACCGTGAGGTTGGGTCGCGTCGTGAATGGTGGCGGGAATGGTGTCGAAGCGAGTGTCGCGAGTGGTAACGGATTACTGTTGGGTGCTGTGGGTGGGAATAGTGGTGTACGCGCTGAGCAGGGACGCGAAGTAAGGAAAAGGAAATTTCCTTACAAGTGACCGATTATGTCACATGTACGTGTACACCATCTACAGTTGACGTCCGACAGCAAGCGAAACGCAGTCACGTGTTTTGTCAGTTTTTGTGGTGTATTGTTCACCACAGAACCAAGATTCAGCGCAACAAGACAAGAAGTGGCTCCCACGTAAGAGGCTGGCGATTGGTTCTCCCTTAGGACCGCTTCTTGTCTGAATCAAAACCTGCAGCAGGTCTGGCTGGCAGCACGCAGGCCGAGCAGCATGTCAATGGATTGCAGGGTGCCCCTTTCAATTTGAAACTGCACGTCGCTTGGCAATTGAAGACGGCAAAACAGAAAACTTCAAGCCTACAGAAAACTTGTAGTATTGCTACAAGTGACGATGAAGCCATGCCATGCCAGTCAAGGACAAAGGATTGATGTCAGTCATTTGTGTGCACGGCCGGGCGGTGGTGCTTCAAAACCCCGCTGATAAATGCTGCAGCTGGTGGAAATTCACAGGAGGCATACGATTGGTCCGTGCTTAGGACCATTTTGGTTTGTTGAGGCTCGGTGTAAGGGCGCGTTCTTGCCTGGTGTCAGGCTCTCTGACACAAGGCAAATGGACGATTTCGATCATTCCACGCCACCATCGTCAAAATCTACCGAAATCCCAACCTTTCAGAGCTTGGTGTCAAAATTCTAGACACCAGCCAAGAACGCACCCTAAGGCATGTCCAGCTTTGATGTCAGCAGCGGGGGCCCGCTAGGACCTAGCCTGAACAGGTTTGGTGGCCCCTTGGCTGGGATGTGTTTTCGGTTGCCCATTCATTATCTGGTTCGGCCGGGCAACACTGGTCGAAATCTACATTTTCTAGAGTGCCCGTGTTCATAACAAAATGCAATTTTCAAGAACAGAAATGCGGTACCCACTTCCGATCCTCCTGTAGGCCCCCCTTCCCCTTGGAAACCTCACGCCAGGCTCATTTCCCTCCCATAAAGGCTAATGGATAATAGTCCGAGAACCCTGGTCCATATTTTCTTGGTGAGAGTATAGCAGACCAGGTATACACGAGGTGAAAATAAAGGTGACCACCAGCTCTACCACTAGCGCTACCAGTGTCCAGCAGTAGAGCTCAATAGTTCCTGCATATGTACAAATAAAAAGGACAGTCACACCTTCTGGCACACAGTCACGCGACGCGACTTTTGCCTCGCTCACCGTCGCGTCGCGGTCTAAGAGTCGCCGCCGACCGTTGAGGATAGCCCAACATCCGCCCAAGAGTGGGTGGCGGATTGCCACATGGCTCCTCAGGCTTGGAGGGACGAGCGTTCCTTGCTTTCGCCGCGGAAGCGCCGCCGGGCGGGGAACAGTTACAGAAAAATAAGATTCGACATCAGGTTCGACCGTGGACTCATCATTCGCCTGAGCGCATGTTCCAGAGGGGACGAGTCAGTCAGACGATCCCTCGTCGTTATTCAGTATATTAGGGCTTCCGACGAGTCGTCGATTTCGAAAACCAACATCTCTCCTCACCATTACTACCGTAGTAGTGACTACTGCTCAAGAAGGCGGCTCTCACATAGTTGCATCTCGGCTCGCATCAACAGCTCAACGTATCCGATCGCCGCGAACGGCGAGGTCAAGTGCATGTCACTGACGGGAGTGACTGCGTACTACTGAAAATTTCTGCTTGACCCAACATGACTCAAGCTGCGACGCCGCCAGCGGGGCCGACTCGCACCGTCGGATCGTCCACCAGCATTCTCCCGCTAATCAACGCCGCCAACGTGTCCTCCATCTGGCACGACATCCTTCTCATTCTGCCTCCGCCTCCCCCGTCTCCCCCCACCTCCTCCTCCGCCTCCCCGCGCGGCGAGACGGCTTCCCCCTTTCCCACCTCCGCCTTCACCTTCGTCTGCCGCGCCTCGAAATCCAGCGTTTCCGCGGATCGCGGGAGCGAAAGCAGGCGGCGGCGCGGGGAGAATGAAGACCCTCTTCTCGAATCGCTGCGTGAGAAGCGCAAGGTCGTGGTATTGACTCTGGACGGCAGCCTTTCTACTTCTGCTAATCATGTGCAGTCGGACCGCGCCAACTCGAAGTCCGAGTCGGAGACGGCGGCGTTAACGTCGTCGATGGCGCCGTGGAATCTGGGCATCCTGCCGCAGACGTGCGTGCTCGCGTCGCGATCCATGTCGATGTTCTCCCGCGGGGATGTGGCGACGAACGGCTCGAACGGCACCAAGGAGGACCCCGAGTCGCTCCGCGACTCTCTCTTACTAACGGCGTGCGATAACGCGCCGCTGGAGGCGCTGGAGATTGGATCGCAGGCGCGCGATCCTGGCGACGTGTACGACGTGCTTCCGCTGCTGGCGATGCCCCTGCGACTGCTGGGATCTGGGCGAAACAGCATGCCAATTTCGTGGAGGATTGTAACCATCGCAACGGATGACAAGTTGGTGGCGAACGGGCAGCTGAAACATTTCAAGCTGCGAAAATTGTTGGATCGCGTGGAAGACTGGGCGAAAACGTCGGATTTTTTTGGAGAAATTGAGGGACCAGGTACCACTCGCAAATCTGAGCGAAGTTTCGAGTGTGAATTTTGAGGTAAAATCTGTTACAAAGTGTGCCAGGCTGGTTACCTTTCTCTGCCCCTTCCTCTCCCCCTATCCTTCACCTACCCCTCCTTCTACATCCCCTCCCTTCTTCCTCTCAACTCCTCAGCGCTTTCATGTCAATGCGTTCTTGGTCCTTCCTCCCGTCCTTCCCTCCCTCCTCCTTCCCTCCCTCCTCCTTCCCTCCCTCCTCCTTCCCTCCCTCCTCCTTCCCTCCCTCCTTCCTCCCTCCCTCCTTCCTCTCCTCCCTTCCTTTCCTCTCCTCACTCATACACTCCTTTCTCAGTCCTGTCACTGTCCTTTCTCGAAGCATATCCTGGTTCATAACCGCGGCTCCCTTATAGCTTACTTCCCATTCCATCTTTTTTGTCTTTCTATTCTAAGCATAAATTGCGCAATCGTTCATTGCCAATGCGGAACGTTTCAAGGCCGTACCCCGCCCTAAACCCGTCCTCGTCGTTCCCTCCGCACCCGCCCACCCCCCCCCCCCCCCCCCTCCTCCTCCCCGCGCCCACCCCCTCCTTTCTTCCCCCTTCCGTATCCCGCATTCTCCCATGCTCGGTCTCCCCTCTGTCCCTCGTCCCCTCACCTCCCTCCTCCCCCCCTCGTCCCCTCACCTCCCTCCTCCCCCCCTCGTCCCCTCACCTCCCTCCTCCCCCCCTCGTCCCCTCACCTCCCTCCTCCCCCCCTCGTCCCCTCACCTCCCTCCTCCCCCCCTCGTCCCCTCACCTCCCTCCTCCCCCCCTCGTCCCCTCACCTCCCTCCTCCCCCCCTCGTCCCCTCACCTCCCTCCTCCCCCCCTCGTCCCCTCACCTCCCTCCTCCCCCCCTCGTCCCCTCACCTCCCTCCTCCCCCCCTCGTCCCCTCACCTCCCTCCTCCCCCCCTCGTCCCCTCACCTCCCTCCTCCCCCCCTCGTCCCCTCACCTCCCTCCTCCCCCCCTCGTCCCCTCACCTCCCTCCTCCCCCCCTCGTCCCCTCACCTCCCTCCTCCCCCCCTCGTCCCCTCACCTCCCTCCTCCCCCCCTCGTCCCCTCACCTCCCTCCTCCCCCCCTCGTCCCCTCACCTCCCTCCTCCCCCCCTCGTCCCCTCACCTCCCTCCTCCCCCCCTCGTCCCCTCACCTCCCTCCTCCCCCCCTCGTCCCCTCACCTCCCTCCTCCCCCCCTCGTCCCCTCACCTCCCTCCTCCCCCCCTCGTCCCCTCACCTCCCTCCTCCCCCCCTCGTCCCCTCACCTCCCTCCTCCCCCCCTCGTCCCCTCACCTCCCTCCTCCCCCCCTCGTCCCCTCACCTCCCTCCTCCCCCCCTCGTCCCCTCACCTCCCTCCTCCCCCCCTCGTCCCCTCACCTCCCTCCTCCCCCCCTCGTCCCCTCACCTCCCTCCTCCCTCCCCTCTGTCCACACAGGTCGCTCCCCCAATCCGTGCCTTGACGGCCCCCCGTCTCCCCCGCCCGCAAAACCAGTGGAAAGGGAGGCGTGGGGAAGCCTCTCCGGACCTCTAGACTCCATGATAGACCGTGAGGGGCTAGCAGCATCACGGCGAATTTCTCCAGCAGAAAGGGAGGCGTGGGGAAACCTCTCTGGACCGCAAGACTCCATGATAGACCACGAGGGGCTAGCATCACGGCGAATCTCTCGAGTCGAAGACAAAAGCTCGACAATCAAGCGCGAGAGAAACGGACCTGTGAAGCCCGGGGAGGAGCTGGAGGGGGAGGAATGGGATGAGGCCCCCTCCCGAGAGGTGGAAGACGCGGAGAGAGCAGCGGAGCAAGCGAGGGAAGCGGAGCAGACGGTGCTGCATGCTCACAGCACGTGGCGCATCCTCTGCCCCACTCTGCGCCGCCCCGTTCTCAAGCGCATGGGTCAAGCTTTCAAGAAGAAAGGAACGCACCAGTCCGAGGAACAGCAGCTGCAGCAGCAGCAGCCTGAGCAGCAGGAACAGCAGCAGCGGCAGCGGCAGGGGCGGCACGACAAATTTCCGCGTGGCAGCAGCACCGGCGGCAGCTGCAGCGGCGGCGGCAGCAGCGGCAGGGGTGGCCCAGTGCCTTTGTGTGTGTCATATGATGTGCCACCGGTTTCCTCCTGGCCTTTCTCCTCCACCTCCCCTACCTCTCCTTCCTCCTCCCCGTTTTCCTCCTCTGGATCCCCCTCCAAATCCCCCTCCAAATCCCCCTTCAAATCACCTTCCCCTCCGTTCGCTGCCTCAGCCTCGTCTTTCTCTGCCTCTGCTTCTTCGCCCTGCCTGGACCGGGCGGCAAGCTCCAGCCGCCTGCAATCGTATCAGATCCGCCAGACCAAATCTGCTACGAGTTTGACAGCGGCGTGTGGAGGCTGATTGCTCCTCCCGAGAGCTATGGGCTTCCGGGCATGGTGTCTCCTATGAGGCTAAGAGGGGGAGAGGGAGGAGGAGGAGGGGGAGGGGGAGGAGGAGGGGGAAGAGGGGGAGAAGGAGGGAGAGCAGGGGGAGGGGTGAAAAGTGGTGCTACAGGAAAAGAGGTTAGCAGGCACAGGCACAGGCACAGACACAGCATCGACTTCTCTTTGATGGTAAAGAACAAGGACTGGCTTCACAGTCACGACTTTGCTGCAATGATGAAAAACAAGGACTGGCTTCACAGCCACGACTTTAAGGACTGGTTGCACCACCCTGAGTCTGCTGCTGGTCACGTGGTGGCTGCTGCTGTTGAGGGTGCAGCAGCAGTGGCAGGGGCGGCAAAACAGCAAGTTGTTGCTAGCCTGACTGCTGTAGCGGGGACTGTAGCGGAGAAAGTGGCTGGGACAGTGGCGGGGACTGTAGCTGGGACTGCTGTTGTTGCTAGCCTGAATGCTGTAGCAGGGACTGTAGTGGGTACTGTAGCCGGGACAGTAGCAGGGACTGTAACCAGTCGCAGAAGCGTGAGCGCAGTCTCTTCAGGTGTTTCTTCAGGTGTTTTTCCAGGTGTTTCTTGGAAAACGCAGTCTACTGTTGCAAGCCTCGAATGGGGGAGCGGAGGAAGAGGAGGAAGCGGAGGACGAGGAGAAAGCGGAGGAAGAAGAGGAGGAGGGAGAGGAGGCACAGAAAACATAGCTCACGCTGTCTCATCACTCACCCGATCCCCTCCGGTCACTTCCTCATCTCGAACCCCTCCTCTCACTCCTAACTCCTTCACTTTCTCTCCCACCTCTAGCTCTAGTGCCCTGTTCGACCATCCTGCTGCCTCCTCCCCTCCAGGTGCTGTGAGGGGGGGAGTCTCTTGGAACGGCATGGTTGATTCTGCTGGTGAGGCAGGAGGAAGGGCAGGAGGAGGAGCAGGTGGAGGGGCGAAAGATGGTGTTGCAGGGAAGCCGCCAAGCAGAAACAGGCACAGGCACAGGCACAGCGTGAGTGTGGACTTTGCATCGATGGCAGCAAAGAACAAGGACTGGCTTCACAGCCCTGACTCTCCCACTCAATGGCTGGCTGGTGCTGCTAATGCTGCAGCAGCAGAAGCAGCATCAGCGGCAGCAGCAGCAGCAGCAGCAGCAGAAGTGGCAGTGGCAGAAGCAGGGTCTGGGAAAAGGAGCAGTCCTGATGCTTCAAGAGTGAAAGGAGGGAGCAGAGGAAAAGGAGGGGGAAAAGGAGGGGCAGAGGATTTACCTCCTCCTGTCTCATCACTCACCCGATCCGATCCCCCCACTCGCTCCCCCAGACCTCCTTCTCTTACTGTCCCTCGTCGAAACCCCTTTCTCACTAATACCACACCACCTCGATCCCCCCCTCTCACCCTTCCACCTCGCTCTCCTTCTCTCACTGCCCCTCCTCGGTCCCCCTCTATCACCACCCCACCTAAATCTCCTTCTTCCACTCTTCCCCCTCGGTCTCCCACATCAAAGCTCCCATCTCGATCCCCTCCCTTCACCTCCCCATCTCAATCCCCTCCTCTCACTCCACCAACTCAGTCCCCTCCTCTCCCTCCCTCTCGCTCCTCTCTCTCTCCAACTCCTGGCTCAAAGGCCATGTACGACCATCCTGCTGCCTCCCCCCCTATGGGGGTTGTGAGGGGAGACACTTCTGGTGTGGCAGGAGGCGGAGGAGGAGTGAAAGCTGGTGTTGCAAGGAAGCTGGCAAGCAAGCACAGGCACAGCCAGAGCGTAGACTTTGCATCGATGGCAAAGAACAAGGACTGGCTTCACAGCCCTGAATCTCCTAGTCAGTTTCTGGTTGCTGCTGCTGCTGCTGCTAAGGCTGCAGGGACTGCTGCAGGTGGCAGCAGGAACGGAATTGCAAGCAGCAGCAGGGCAGCGGCACCACGATCCGCTTCTCTCACTCCCTCTCACTCTCCCACCGGCGCCCTATCCCCCTCTGCGCACCATCTGACCAGCAAACCACCTACTGCTGCCACCACGGCCTTTCAAGCCACCCGCAAGCGGGTGTCTTGGAACGTTGATTCAAAGCCTTCTCCTGGCAGTCCAAGGGGTGGGGAGATTGAACCACCGGAAAAGGAATTTAACAAGACTGTTGGTGAAACCACCGCTGAGGCTAGTCAGGAAACAACAATTCCAGCAGGTACTGCTTCACCTGCTGGCGTTTCTGGTGCTGCTGCTGGCGCTGCTGCTGCTGCTGGTGCTGGCGCTGCAGCGCGTCCGGCTGCTGCTACTTCAACTACTCCCGGTGTTGCTGCAACTGCTGCTGGCGCTGCTGTAGCTGCAGCTGCATTGTCAATGTCATCCCGTTCCTTCCAACTCCCGACCCGAGCCATGACCATGCGAGCAGCTTCCCGATCGCCCTCGCCCTCGCACGAGGCAACTCCACCTTTGAAGTCACCCCAAATGTCTCCCCGTTCCGTCCAACTCCCAAGCCGAGCCATGACCATGCGAGCAGCTTCCCGATCGCCCTCACACGAGGTCACTCCACCTTTTAAGTCGCCTCAAATGTCTCCCCGTTCCTGCCAGCTCCCAAGCCGAGCCATGACCATGAGAGCAGCTTCGAGGCCTTCCTCGCATCTTCCTTCCTCCAAGCTTCCTGTGAAGAGCCGGAGCGCCGACCAGAGGCACAGGCGGAACGCGTCTTTCTCAGAGTTTGGGGGGTTCGCAACAGGAGACATCTCGGAGGGGTTTGATTTTTTCACTGGTGGAGAAGCTACTGGGAAAGCAGGCGGGAAAGCAGGCGGGAAAGCAGGCGGGGAGGCAGGTGGGGAGGCATGTGGGGAAACAAATGGGATAGCGGAAGCAGGTGCGGAAGCCCAAGGGAGGACAAGAAGGAAAACACGACCTCCGTTCGTGGTGGTGCCTAGCCGTAGCTTGCACAAACGTAACTTAAGCCATGGCTCACCGTTTGGGTCCCCCACTCTCTCCCCGGCATAGACTGAGACGACTTAAAAGCCGCAGATTGCACAAACCGAGCTTAAGCCATGACACAGCGTTTGGATCCCCCACTCCCTCCCAGGAGTAGACTGCTCGGACAATACGGTCAGATCGAGCAAATAAGTTGTTGCACGGAAAAATGCTAAGTGTGGATGGCAGTTAAGAGTTGCGTACTGTGTCAGCGTAGCTGGCAGGGAAGTGTCAGCCGTACTGTGCCAGCATAATGTGTTGCTACTATTAGTCTAATGTCCCTAAAATCCAGTATTTTACCTGTTAGATTCTCAAAATTGTGGTATGTGGAAGTGTTACGAGTGCAATTGAGCGAACGAGTGAGAATTGCACTATCGAAGCAAGCGTACAATGAGCGAAGGCATGAGCGAAGAATATATAGCGAAACTACAGTGGTAACGGTAATGTGTGAAAAATGGGGTGCGCGACGGGCCTGGTGCCGAGGTTGGGAAAGTGTCGAGGCGGAGGTCCGGAGCGCGGGTTACCAACCGAACCGTGAGGTTGGGTCGCGTCGTGAATGGTGGCGGGAATGGTGTCGAAGCGAGTGTCGCGAGTGGTAACGGATTACTGTTGGGTGCTGTGGGTGGGAACAGTGGTGTACGCGCTGAGCAGGGACGCGAAGTAAGGAAAAGGAAATTTCCTTACACTACCCCCCCTCCCAAGGAGGCCCCTCTTACGAGAGCGCGTGTACATCTCGGAAGTTTCGGCTTCGCAGATACTCGGTGAGGACAGGGTGTTTCTCAATTCTATCCAGGGGGACCCAGTTGTCTTCGGTGGGGGTGCGGTCCTTCCAACGGATCAGGAATTCGATTCTGCGGGCTCCCCGTGGGTCACGTACTCGATGGCTCAGTATTTTCTCAGGCGTGATGATTGGCTCAGTCGGTGGTCGTGTCATGCTCGCGGGGCGATTGCGAGGCAGTTGGCTGGTGGATGGCACGTATGGGCGAAGCAGGCTGACGTGGAATGACGGGCTGACGTACCAGTCAGCAGGGAGGAGGAGATGGGCGGTGACGGGTGTGATCATGTGGCTGATGCGAAATGGCCCGCAATATCGGGGGCGGAGTTTTGGAGTGATGGGCAGGCGGAGGTTTTGAGTGTCGAGTAGAACTAGGTCGTCCGGCTGGTAAGTGACAGGTCGGCGGTGGCGGTCAGCGTTGCGTTTAGCGATGATGTTTGGTTTTTTTATTGCTTCGGCTGCTCGGGTCCGTGCTGCTTGCAGTATTTCTGCGAACTGTTGCGCGCGTGAGACTGGGTTGTCGGGATTCGGGGTCATGGGTACTGTGGGGTTTTGTCCGTAGTTCAGGTAGAACGGTGACTGTTGGGTCGTGGCGGATGGCGAGTTGTTGTACGCGAATTCGATGAGTGGCAGTTGCTGTTCTCACGTGGTCGGGTCGTCGCACGTGGCCCGGATGAGCCGTTCCATGGTCTGATTTGTCCGTTCTGTCTGTCCGTCGGTTTCGGGGTGGTATGATGAACTGAACTGCAGTCGCGTGCCGAATTGCTGCCACAGGTTCCGCCAGAAGTTGCTGGTGAATTTCGTGTCTCTGTCGCTGATGATTGATGCTGGTATCCCGTGCAGTCGAACGATGGTGGAGATGAAGAGGCGGGCTGTTTCTTCGGCTGTGATTGATTTTTTGCATGCTGCGAAGTGTGCCATTTTCCTCAGTCGATCGACGACGACCAGGATCGCGTCATTCCCACTTGCTCCGGCCGGTAACCCTGTGACGAAGTCCATCGTCACCTGCTGCCAAGCACGCTCTGGGGGTGGTATCGGCTGCAACTGTCCTGCCGGCCGCTTCCGTGATGACTTCATGATCTGGCAAGTGGGACACGATGCCACGTGTCGTTGAACGTCGGCCAACATTTCGGGCCAGTAATAATACCGCTGCAGCTGCTGCCGTGTTTTCTCTACCCCGAAATGTCCCGAGGTAACTCCGTCCTGTGCCTCCTGTAACAGTAATTCCCGTAGCAGTGTGTACCCTGGTACCCAGATGCGGTCGGTCCCGGCTTTTACGTAATAGACGCCTTTGGCTGCTGCGAACTGCTGCGAATTTCCTCCTGTGAAGAATGGGTCTGTTTGGTACCCATGGGAAAATAGTCCTGTCAGTAGCGGGCTGGTCTGGGCGAGTAGTATCGCGTGGATTTGGGCAGTGGGGCGGGTCAGTGCGTCAGCGATGTTGGATGCTCCCTTTTTGTAGGTGACAGTGTAGTGGAAATTTGACTCGAGGAAATCGAGCCAGCGGATCTGTCGTGGGTTGAGGTGGGGTTGTGCGCGGAGGTACTGTAGGGATCGGTGGTCTGTCCGTACTGTCACGTCTGCGCCGGTCAAGTAACAGCGCCAGACTTTGAACGCATGCACGATCGCGAGCATTTCGCGGTCATGTATCGGGTATTTTTTCTCGGGCGGATGCAGCTTTCGTGATTCGTATGCGATGGGCTGTAGGCCGTTGCCGAAATCCTGTAGCAGTACGGCTCCAATGGCGATGTCGCTTGCGTCGGTTACTACTTCGAAGGGGCGGTGTGGGTCAGCGATGCGCAGTACGGGTGGTGAACAGAGAACAGTTTTCAGGGCAGAGAAGGCAGCATGCTCTTTCTCCCCCCACGTAAAAGCGACCCCTTTCCGCAGCAGATCCGTCAGTGGGGCTGTTAACTTCGCTATGTCGGGGACGAACCGACGCACGTAATTCACGAACCCTAAAAAACTCTGCAGCTCCGTGATATTTGTCGGGGGGTGCCATGCATTGACCGTGTCGAGCTTCTTGGGGTCGATTTCAACCCCAGCCTCCGAAATGACGTGCCCCAAAAATTCTAACCTGTCCTGAAAAAACTCGCACTTGGAACCCTTGGTCAGTAGTCGGTGCTTGTCTAAAACGTTAAACACTGCTTCCAGATCTGCTAAATGCTGCTGCTTATCACGACTGTAGACTAGGATGTCGTCGAGGTAAACTATCACGCATTTATCTAAAAGTGGCCTAAAAGCCTCGTTCATGGTCATCTGAAATGTTGCCGGTGCGTTGGTCAACCCGAAGGGCATCACAGTGTACTCGAATGACCCGTACCTAGTCCTAAATGCTGTCTTGGCGCAGTCTGATGGGTCGACCCGAATCTGATGGTAACCTCCCCGTAAATCTATTTTCGAAAAAACCCGTGCTGTTCGCAGTTGATCTATCAGTTCGTCGGCGTGGGGAATGGGGTATCGCGACTTGACTGTTACCCTGTTCAGTGCTCTGTAGTCGATACACATGCGGAAACCCCCGTCTTTTTTCGGTGTGAACAGTATCGGTGCGGCGAACGGCGACGATCTCGGTCGGATGAATTTTTTCTCTAACAGGTAATCTAACTACTTCCTCAGTTCGTCGAGCTCTGGCTGTGTCAGGCGGAATTGTCGCTGTACAGTTGGCTGTGCCCCCGGTTCTAACTCTATGCGGTGGTCATGTGCCCGCTGAGGTGGCAGTCCCTCTGGTAAATCGTCCGGAAAAATCCCCGGGTATCGTTTCAACAGTTCCTGTAGTTCAGGCGGTACTGCTGCCAACAGTTTCTGAAAATCGTTCGGCTGCTCCGCTTCTCCTACCAATGCTATATCCACTGCATACACGTCAGCTCCAGCGGCGACAGCCCGTTTCATCGTGATGGCGTTGACGTGGACCGTTGAAGACTCGGGCGACTGCCAGCGAGGTAGCACGACCCAGTTACCGCTACTTCGCACAGTGCAGCTACCCGTCGTCCAGTCGATTCGCGGGTTATACCGTCGCAGCCAATCACGTCCCAGTAAAATGTCGTGCCCATCCAATGTCGTCGCGAGCATTTCCTGTGTAAACCCAAAAATTCCCCCGCAGCGGACCTTTACTCTCTCCACCTTCTCCCGTATGGCCAGTGGCGTTCCGTCCACTAAGCGTGCATCTATTTCCGGTAAACACCGACTAAGTGTCAGTTGCAGCTTTCGTGCGGTTGCGGTATTAACTAAGCTGTGGCTTGCTCCTCCGTCTATAAAAATCTTCACTGCTGCTCCCTGTATTTTCCCGTGGATCAGTACTGGGCAATCCGTCGCTGTACCCTCCTTATTCATCCGAGCCCGATCGATAGCGTGAATCGGTACTGTGACTCGGTGAGGGTCGGTGTGGTTGGGCGAGCAGGCAGTCTCGTCAGTAGTTGGCCCGATTCCTACTGACTGCTGGCGTTTCCCTGCCTTTGAGACTCCCTCCCCTGCTCTGCTCCGCGGCGCCTCAGCTCCTCTGGGCACTCACTCTTACGATGGCCCGGCCTATTGCAAGCGAAGCAGCGCCCCTTAAACGGCGCGGCAGCTGCGTTCGTCGCAACAGCGTGTACAGTGGCGTGCTCGATTGGTCCCCGAGGGCGATGTCCGTAGTAGGACCCCGGTCTCGGTCGGCGTAATATGTCGATTTTCTCGGCGAGCGCGAGAATCTCGTTGAAATTTGAGAGTCCGCGTAGCATGATTTCGTGCGAGATGTCCGGCTTCAGCCCTCCGACGTAACGGTCCACCCGCTCCGCTTCGTGCATATAGCCGACTTGCTCGCATAATGCGAGAAAACCGCTCGTGTAGTCTTGGACCGATCCGAGCTGCCGCCAAGTACGCAGTTTCTGACGCGCCGAAATAGAAGCCGCGATCGGCTCGAAGCGCGCCCGAAGCCCTGCGCACCACGCATCCCACGTGCTGTATTGGGCTGTTTCGCAGAATGAACTCCAGGTGACGGCTGGTCCCGTGGGCCCTTCCTCTTGCGACAGTGGCTCGTAGGCGCGTGGCGACGTCACGATGACTCGCCACCAGTCCATGGCGGGGCCCCTCAGCAGCGAAACAGCATAGCGAATCTTCGCTGCGTCCGACTTGACGTAATTCGCGTCGAAGAAAACGTTCATCGTGAAGACCCACGACTGAACCGTCGGACCTCCACGTTGGCTTGGATCGAAACAGGGCGGGCGCTGCGGCTTGAGTGGCATTGGTGCCATGATGTGGTCGCCACTTGTTGCTGCAAACTCCACGTACCGACGAGCTTCGCGAGGCCCACGCGGGCTTGGCGCGGCCCGATTTCTCTCCATGCCAGGCATCGATTGAGCGGCGCCATCACTGGCTGCGCCTGAGCGCTGTCCCACGCTGTCGTTTTGCGTCGGTGTGCCTGATGAGATGACGATCGGTTCTTCTGATTGCGCAGGTGCATTTGCGGGTGCTTGTGATGGAGCCGGTGCATTCACCGTTGATTGCTGGCGGGCGGAGTCACGTTCCGCCGTGAGTGTCGCAATTTCGAGTGCCGAATCTTCGAGTTGACGTACGAGACGGTCGAGCTGCTCCTGCGTCAATGTCGCAAGATTAATGTCGGCCATGGCGGGGGTGTCGGGCAAACTCAGCGGGAGCCTCTGTCGTGGCCGTGCGTGCTTACGAGAGGGCACTTCGAGCGGCGGTGCTTGTTCGCTGAGAGACGTCTACCCCCCCCAAAAATGGAGATAGTGGGGAAGCGAAGGTGTGGGTGCGGTCCGAGAAGAGATCGTAGGCTCTGATAACCAAGTGTTACGAGTGCAATTGAGCGAACGAGTGAGAATTGCACTATCGAAGCAAGCGTACAATGAGCGAAGGCATGAGCGAAGAATATATAGCGAAACTACAGTGGTAACGGTAATGTGTGAAAAATGGGGTGCGCGACGGGCCTGGTGCCGAGGTTGGGAAAGTGTCGAGGCGGAGGTCCGGAGCGCGGGTTACCAACCGAACCGTGAGGTTGGGTCGCGTCGTGAATGGTGGCGGGAATGGTGTCGAAGCGAGTGTCGCGAGTGGTAACGGATTACTGTTGGGTGCTGTGGGTGGGAACAGTGGTGTACGCGCTGAGTAGGGACGCGAAGTAAGGAAAAGGACATTTCCTTGCAGGAAGCATGGGGTATATCTGTTACGTCTTTTCGCAAACATAATCCGTGCGCGCGCTCGAGTGATGCTCCCAACAGCTGAAGATACGGGAATTGTGGTGCTGCTGTGCTGCGCAAACAAAACGATCTTGTTCTCCAATGAATGGAGAGCCTGCTTGGTTTGGGATCAGTTTGGCTGCGTCAGGTTCGGAATCCGTGTGATTCCAGCCATACAATTATCAGGTTTGGTAGAATCTAGGGCCAGCAGCAGGTTCGGTTTCGGCGTCGCTGATTCGGCGTTGCAAATTCATGCTTCCCAAACCATCCCCAAACCCATGTAAGGCTGCCCCAAATCAACCTCCCTCTTGTACCCAACCACCCAACCAAACCAGACCTCCCTTCACTCCCTCAGCTGGTCCCGAGCCGAAAGTTCACTCAGATTCCTAACCGTATGAATGTCCAGGCCGCGAAGTAGCGCTTCAGATTTGTGAAGCGACAACACCGCTCCAGATTGCGCGACATCGTACTCAACCGTATGTACCAGACCTATACCATACCAAGACTCAACTCGCAAAAGCTGTTGAGCACATCCGTCAACCAGACCTTTCTCTCGTAGCTCGAATTGGAAGCGACACGGTTGGCAGCCATTTCTATTTTTGACTGCTAGATCTAGCAGCGAGTGCGTGTGTGATGTATCATCCACAGAAGCGAGTGCGTGTGTGATGCATCATCTGCAGACACAAATATCTCTAAGTCCAGACCTCGACAACTCACTTGCACTGTAGCTGAGGGTACTGCATTTACAATCTGCCTCGACCGTACTTTACGCATCTGCTGTCTGTAATTACAGTCACTACCGGTCAGGAAGCCGACTGCAACGGAGAGTTTCCGTTAGCTAATTTTCCACATGGCTCCTCCTCGGGCCGCCACGAGCGTGCGTTACTTTGCGGGACCAACGGCTGCCAGGAGACTCATAACGATTAAGATTCGACGTCGGATTGGACTGCCGACGTCGTCGTTTCTCCGACTGCATGCAAATCTTGGAAGGGCCGCCATTAATGCTCGCGGCGTTTTCGCCGCCGACTCGGGATGAATCCGTTCAACCAATACGGCACTGGTATTATATCTCGTTCTCAGAGGCCTCCGAGAATGAGAGGCCGAGCTCGAGGCCTCGTCGTTCATCTTAATCTCGCACAGCTGCACCAGATGCCTTATTCATCAACTCGCACCATTTCCGCCTCGTCATTCTCGCATCACACGAGTAGTTCACTTGACTGCTGCCTCCCCGCTGCCTCCCTGCTGCCACTGCTGCCTTCCTTCTGCCTCACTGCTGCGCTGCCTCACTATCATAACTACTGGTATCTACAACGTCATCATGGCGCCGCTGCGGACCGTCGGATCGTCGTCTACGAGCACTCTCCCGCTAATCAACGCCGGCCACGTGTCCTCCATCTGGCACGACATCCTCCTCATTCCGCCTCCCCCGTCTCCCGCGAACGGATTCTCCTCCCCCTCCCCGCGCCACCCCGGTCCCCCCTTCCCCGCCTGCACCTTCTCCTTCGTCTGCCGCTCCGCCAAGTCCCCGTCCGGCGATTGCGGGAGCCGAAAGCTTCGTCGCCGCGACGACCCCCTTTTCTTGCGTGAAAAGCGGAAGGTCGTGTTGGGCCTAGACGGCAGTCGTATTAAAGTGCAGACCGATTGCGACTCGGAGACGTTGTCGCCATCGTCACCATCGTCGCCATCGCCGTCGCCGTCGTCGAAGTCGTCGTCGTCGTCGGCGCTTCTACTCGCGTCGCCGTGGAATCTGGGGATCCTGCCGCAGACGTGCGTGCTCGCGTCGCGATCCATGTCGATGTTCTCCAGCGGGGATGCGAATGGCGATAATGAGCTCACAGATTCGCTCTTAACGGCGTGCGACAACTCGCCGCTTGAAGCGCTGGAGATTGGGTCGCAAGCGCGCGAACCTGGCGACGTGTACGACGTTTTTCCACTTCTGGCGATGCCCCTGCGACTGCTGGGGGCGGAGCGAAACAGCATGCCGATTTCGTGGAGGATTGTAACCATCGCAGCGGACGACGATCTGGTGACGAGCGGGCAGCTGAAACACTCCCTGCACGATTTATTATCTCGCGTTCGCGAGTGTGCGAACAAAACGGAATTCTTTGGCGAAATCGTGGCTCCAGGTAACATGCCAATCTGGTTCATTCGACCAGCCCGTCTCCAAGCCATCCCCTGTCACCCTCTCCCTTTGCCTCCCGATCCGCTGCTGCCCTCCTTCCTAACGCTCCCCTACCCAGGTTTCCCTCTCTCAGTCTCTCACCTCCCCAGCCCGTTAAATCTTTCCTCGCTCCTTCATTCCATCCGTTGCTTCGTTCTCTTGCTCCAAACTCGCTCCAAACTCGCTCCCAGCTCCTCCCAGCTAATCTCTAGCTCCTTTCTCCCCCCCTCTCCCCGCCTTCCCCCCTTTCCACTCCCCGCTGCCCCTCGTCCCCGCAGGTCGCTCCCCCAATCCCTGCCTCGGCGCCTCCTCCTCTCTTTCATTTGCAGAAGCAGCGGAAGAAGAAGCGCAGGAAAGACCCTCCGGACTCCAAGGCTTGAGAACCAAGAGCCTGGAGAGGGGAGCGTGGGGCGGCGGAAGCGGAGGAGGCGGAGGAAGCGGAGGAGGAAGAGCCCTGATTCGAATCTCCAGAATCGGCGGCCGAGATTCGATGATCGGACACGTGACGCTAGGAGCGGAGGAAACCGAAGAGGAGGAATGGGGAAAGTCTGGAAGAATAGCTGAGGAAGCGGAGGAGGATCAAGCAGAGCAAGCAGCCAGGCAAGCCAGAGAGGCAGAGGAGGCGGAGAAAGCAGCAGAGAAAGCGAGGGAAGCGGAGCAAACGGTGCTGTACGCTCACAGAACGTGGCGCATCCTCTGCCCCACGCTGCGCCGCCCCGTTCTGAAACGCCTCGGCAGCTCTCACCTGCTTGAGAAACAGAGGCAGCAGCAGGAGCAGCAGCAGCAGCAGGAGCAGAAGCAGCAGGAGCGGCAGAATAGGCTTTTCCGCAGCCCCCCTGTGCCTTCATGCCATTCTGCCGGTGCCCAGCCGGATTCCTCTTGGTCCTTCCCTTCCTCGCATCCTTCTTCCTCTTCTTCTTCTTCTTCTTCTCCACTTACTGCTCCCTCGCCTTCAGTCTTGTCTAAGTCACATTCGTTATCGTCCAAGGCCACGGGTTCCAGCCGGGCGGCGTATCGAATCCCCCAAAGCAGATCTGATACGGACCTCAGCGCCACAGGCGTGTGGAGGCTGATTGCTCCTCCCGAGAGCTATGGGCTTCCGGGGTTGGTGTCTTCTCATGGGGTGGGGGGGAGTGAAGGAGGAAGCAGAGGAGAAGAAGGAGGAGCAGGAGGAGGGCAAGAAGGAGGGGGAGGAGGAGGAGTGAAAGGCGCGGTCGCAAGGAGGGAGGCGAGCAAGCAGCACAACCATGACTTTAGAGACTGGCTTCACACTCACGACCTTCCTTCCATGATGAAGCACAAAGGCTGGCGGCACAGCCACGACCCTTCTGCGATGATGAAGCACAGCGACGGGCATCACAGCCATGAGTCTGCTGGTCGGCTTGCAGTTTCTGCTGCTAAGGTTGCAGCAGCAGCGGCGGCGGCAGCGGCGGAAGCTGTGAAGTCGCAAGTTGTGAAATCGACAGCAGCAGCAGTTGAGACGTCTCAAAAGGCAGCCGAGTCTGTCAAGTCACAAGTTGTTACGACTTTTGAGACTTCTCAAAAGGCCGCGGAAGCTGTGAAGTTGCAAGTTGTTACGGGAGTCACGGCTACAGCTGCTGCTGTTGCTGCCAACCGCCATGCTGTGGCGGAAACGGTAGCAAGAAGTGTTACAAAAAGTGTAACACGGCCTTTTACACACGTAGCGCATTCCTCTCTTCTCAAGCCTGGTCACCCTCCTTCCGGGCTGACTGTAAAGTCACACCCCCCTCCTCTATCCCTTCCTCTCACTCCCTCGTCTCGATCCCCTCCTCTCACCCCCTCATCCAATCCCCTTCCTCCCACCCCCTCTCACTCCTCCACCGCCTCCCTATCCCCTGCTGCTCTCCGCTCCAGTCTGAAATCACCTGCTAGCACCTCCACCGCTTCTTCTCCAGACTTCGCCTCCCCCTCTCCTCATTGCTCCGTTTCAAAATCACCTGCTGCCTCCACGGCTTCTTCTCCTGAATTCGGTTCCCCTTCTGCTCAAAGCCCCAGTCTGAAATCACCTGCTAGCACCACCGCGGTTTCTTCTCCAAGATTCAGCTCCTCCCCTTCTGCTCACCGGTCCTTCTTCAAATCAGCCAGCACCTCCGCGGTTTCTCCAAGACCCGGCTCCCCTCCTCTCACTCCTGCTCACTCCTCCACCTCATTCCTATCCACCTCTGCGCGCCGTTCGATCCTAAAATCAGCCAGCATCACCGCCTCTTCTTCTTCACCTAAATTCGCCTCCAGCGTGGAATCACCTGCGCGCCCCTCCATCCTCAAATCTGCCAGCACCGCCGGGGTTTCTCCAAGACCCGGCAAGCGGGTGACCTGGAAGCTTCACCCAGATAGCCCACCTGCCCCTGCCAGTGCTTTTGAGAATTCTCAAAAGTCACCTGGGGGACTTCGATCACCGGGGGGAGGTTACCAGCCCATTTCACGAAGGGCATCGTGGCATGCAGGCACCTATCCTGACATGCTTCCTGATGATAACCCTGATGCTGCTGACATCCCTGCTGCTGCTGACATTGCTGCTGCTGCTGCTGCTGCTCGTTTTGCTGCTCCTCCTGCTGCAACGGCTGCTGGTGCTGCTGTAGCTGCTGCTGCACTTTCACTGTCTTCCCGTCCTTCCCCACTCACTGCTCGATCCATCACAAAGAATCATCCTTCCAGGCCTTCTTGGAATCTTCCTTCATACGATCATCCTCTAAAGATCTTGAGTCACAGCGAGATCCGCAGCCGTTTTGCAACAGCTGAAGGTCCGAGCAGGTCGAAAGCAAACAGAAGCGAGGAAAGTCAAGGGAGAAGAGGAGGGAGAAAGGCACGCCCTGCATTTGTGGTGGTGCCTAGCCGCAGCTTGCACACGCGGACCTTAATCCATGCTGCATGATCAGGGTCCTCCTCCCTTGAATATTCTACGGCAAAAAAATTGTGTGCATATATATAGGTATATATATTATATAATTTTCATCATAAAAATAAGTACTCGTGGACTGCGGACTGTCCGTATATTTTGCAACGGACAGTCCTACCTACTAGCTAGAACTGGACCTTCCGACTACAGTTCGGAACCTTGGCACCGTCCGGAAGGTTTTGCGACACCTTTTTTCTTGTTGGAGGCATTCGCGATCACTGTAGCCTCGCACGACGCACAGTACTCCCGTAACCTAAGTCGCAACGACTCGTCAGGGATTTCGTCCGCCAATCAGTAAAGGTACGGTACTGTAAATTGAGTTTCGCTTGGTTTAGGACTGTCCGCGGTTCACATTCTGAACCGTTGAAAGAAGGAAAAAGTGTCACCACAGTTCGAACTGCTGGCGACGTCGCACAAGCATTCACGAACATCTAAACGAGAATATGTGAAATAAGTAACCTTTTCGTCGACCGGACGGTCCACGGTTTGAACCGTCGGGGGCAAAATGGTTACACGCCCTTATCCGTGTCTGAAAAATGAAACAGGTTATTTTGGATTCATCTGATCAGCATTTGATCATTTTCCCGCTTGATATGGTAGGCAGCGTGGATGAGGCTATCTCGCTGCGGCAGAGTGGATGAGGCTGTGAAGTCCACCAAGGAGGGGTGCAAATTTCCGCATTTGCACAAATGTGCATGACTCATGCACACCTGTGGTAAACGGTGATTGCATTAACGGGCCGGGGGGGAGGGGGTGTGGGTTGGTGGCCAGGGTACAGATGTGGCTATCCTATTGGTTTGCTGATGTTTGTGTTGTGACGAATGGAGAGGAGAGTTGTAATTGCATGTGGTAGCAAGGCCTTGATAAAAGTGGTAACTAAGTGCATTAGCTCGCAACAAAGCACGCCGCCCGCCACAGTACCAGGAAAAAACAAACATGTTACCGCCTGTGCCTTTTAACAGCCCCCGACGGCCCAGGCGATGTTGACGAACTCTACGAAACCGGAAAATCGGTTGTAAGCCCAGAAGACAAGGGACCCTCGGGGGACTCTAACGCGCATCAGGTGTAGAAACTATGCACTCCGATCATTTTCCCTAGTGGCACGCACCTCGACATTGGTTACAGGGAAGGGAAAGCAGGTCTGTGTTACGAGTGCAATTGAGTGAGCGAGCGAGAATTGCACTATCGAAGCAAAAGTACAATGAGCGAAGGCATGAGCGAAGAATATATAGCGAAACTACAGTGGTAACGGTAATGCGTGGAAATTGGGGTGCGCGACGGGCCTGGCGCCGAGGTTGGGAAAGTGGCGAGGCGGAGGTCCGGAGCGCGGGTTACCAACCGAACCGTGAGGTTGGGTCGCGTCGTGAACAGTGGCGGGAACAGTGTCGAAGCGAGTGTCGCGAGTGGTAACGGATTACTGTTGGGTGCTGTTGGCGGGAACAGTGGTGTACGCGCTGAGCAGGGACGCGAAGTAAGGAAAAGGAATTTTCCTTACACTACCCCCCTCCCCAAGGAGGCCCCTCTTATGAGAGCGCGTGTACATCTCGGAAGTTTCGGCTTCGCAGATACTCAGTAAGGACAGGGTGATTCTCGATTCTATCCAGGGGGACCCAGTTGTCCTCGGTGGGCGTGCGGTCCTTCCAGCGGATCAGGAATTCGATTCTGCGGGCTCCCCGTGGGTCACGTACTCGATGGCTCAGGATTTTTTCGGGCGTGATGATTGGCTCAGTCGGTGGTCGTGTCATACTGGCGGGGCGGTTGCGAGGCAGTTGGCTGGTGGATGGCACGTATGGGCGAAGCAGGCTGACGTGGAATGACGGGCTGACGTACCAGTCAGCAGGTAGGAGGAGGTGGGCGGTGACGGGCGTAATCATGTGGCTTATGCGAAATGGTCCACAATATCGGGGGCGGAGTTTTGGGGTGATGGGCAGTCGGAGGTTCTGGGTATCGAGTAAAACTAGGTCGTCGGGCTGGTAAGTGACGGGTCTGCGGTGGCGGTCGGCGTTACGTTTAGCGATGATGTTCGATTTTTTAATTGCGTCGGCTGCCCGGGTCCGTGCTGCCTGTAATATTTCGGCGAACTGTTGCGCGCGTGGCACTGGGTTGTCGGGATTCGGGGTCATGGGTACTGTCGGGTCTTGTCCGTAGTTTAGGTAAAATGGTGACTGTTGGGTCGTGGCGGATGGCGAGTTGTTGTACGCGAATTCGATGAGTGGCAGTTGCTGTTCCCACGTGGTCGGGTCGTCGCATGTGGCCCTGATGAGCTGCTCCATGGTCTGATTTGTCCGTTCTGTCTGTCCGTCGGTTTCGGGGTGGTATGATGAACTGAACTGCAGTCGTGTGCCGAACTGTTGCCACAGGTTCCGCCAGAAGTTGCTGGTGAATTTCGTGTCGCGGTCACTGATGATCGCTGCTGGTATCCCGTGTAATCGAACGATGGTGGCGATGAAGAGGCGAGCTGTTTCTTCGGCTGTGATTGATTTCTTGCATGCTGCGAAGTGTGCCATTTTCGTCAGTCGATCGACGACGACCAGGATCGCGTCATTCCCACTTGCCCCGGCCGGTAACCCCGTGACGAAGTCCATCGTCACCTGCTGCCAAGCACGCTCTGGGGGTGGTATCGGCTGCAACTGTCCTGCCGGCCGCTTCCGTGATGACTTCATGATCTGGCAAGTGGGACACGATGCCACGTGTCGCTGTACGTCGGTCAACATTTCGGGCCAGTAATAATACCGCTGCAGCTGCTGCCGTGTTTTCTCTACCCCGAAATGTCCCGAGGTAAATCCGTCGTGTGCCTCCTGTAACAGTAATTCCCGCAGCAGTGTGTACCCTGGTACCCAGATGCGGTCGGTACCGGCTTTTACGTAATAGACTCCCTTGGCTGCTGCAAACTGTTGCGAGTTTCCTCCTGTGAAGAATGGGTCCGTTTGATACCCGTGGGTAAATAGTCCTGTCAGTAGCGGGCTGGTCTGGGCGAGTAGTATCGCGTGGATTTGGGCGGTGGGGCGGGTCAGTGCGTCAGCTATGTTGGATGCCCCCTTCTTGTAGGTGACCGTGTAGTGGAAGTTTGACTCGAGGAAATCGAGCCAGCGAATCTGTCGTGGGTTGAGGTGTGGCTGTGCGCGAAGGTACTGTAGCGATTTGTGGTCTGTCCGTACTGTCACGTCCGCGCCGGTCAAGTAACAGCGCCACACTTTGAACGCGTGCACGATCGCAAGCATTTCGCGGTCGTGCATCGGGTAATTCTTCTCGGGCGGGTGCAATTTTCGTGACTCGTATGCGATGGGC